CTACATTATACCAGGACACCCCCTCTCCCCCCCGTATAACGCACTATTCCCCGCTATTCAGTCCCCGGCTGTCTCTCTGTCCGGTCCGGTCACACTGTGCCGGTATCCGGTCCCCTCGCTCGGGGTATCGGGGGCGGTGGGAGGCCCGGCCCGGGTTTATATCGGGGAAGGCGGGACAGTCGGTCGGTGTGTCTCACTCACCGGCCGGTGTGAGCGGACTCCCTGCTCCCCGCTGGGCCCCCGGTATCGGTCCCTCCGTCAGCCGCTCGGTGCTCGGCCGGTCTGGCTGGCTCTCTGCGCTGCCCCCCGGATGTGACGTAACCAGCTGGTGGAGGACAAACCGGAAGTGATCCTCCCAGCCAGGCTTCAATAATAAGGAAGTAGAGAGCCAGGCAGCCAGCCAGGTGTGTGTGTGTGTGTGTGTGTGTGTGTGTGTGTGTGTGTGTGTGTGTGTGTGTGTGTGTGTGTGTGTGTGTGTGTGTGTGTGTGTGTGTGTGTGTGTGTGTGTGTGTGTGTGTGTGTGTGTGTGTGTGTGTGTGTGTGTGTGTGTGTGTGTGTGTGTGTGTGTGTGTGTGTGTGTGTGTGTGTGTGTGTGTTTGTGTCTGACTGTGTTTGTGTGTTTGTGAGTGAGTGTTTGTGTGTGTTTGTGTCTGACTGTGTGTGTGTGTGTGTGTGTGTGTGTGTGTGTGTGTGTGTGTGTGTGTGTGTGTGTGTGTGTGTGTGTGTGTGAGCTGTGTGTGAGAGAGTGAGCTGTGTGTGTGTGCGAGCTGTGTTAGAGAACTGTCTGTGTGAGAGAGGTGTGTGTGTGTGTGAGAGCTGTGCTGCCAGCAGCGGGAGGGAACAAAGAGAATTCAAAGGGAGTTTCAAAATAATCAAAATAGCCTAACCTAAAATATCCTCTTAGCCAGCTATGGAGACACTCCACTGTCCAAATAAATTAAAATATCACTGTCTAATTACAGGGAGAGGCAACCTTCAGCACTCAAGATGTTGTGGACTACAACCCCCATAATGCTCTTACACTCATAATGCTGGCAAAGCATCATGGGAGGTGTAGTCCAAATCATCTGGTGTGTCAATGGTTGCCTATTCCTGGTAGTAGATATACCACAATATGCATGCATTTATTTTATTGGGGGCAAAACCAACAGATATTTTGTCTTCTAACCCCTCCCAGACTTGCCTTGGTGGGATCTGTATTGTTTTAGATAATGGCAGTGGCGTACACACAACCCATGGGGCCACGGTGCGAAAACTGATCCATGGTCCCCCCCCCCGCGAGCAGATACACATACTCTTAAAGGACCACTACAGACACTCAGATTGCATCAGCTCAATGAAGTTGTCTGGGTGCCAGGTCCCTCTAGTTTTAACCCTGCAGCTGGTTTTACTGAGGGTTAATCCAGCCTCTAGTGGCTGTCTCATTGACAGCCGCTAGAGGAGCTTCCGCGATTCTCACTGTGAAAATCACAGTAAGAAGACCCTGAATGTCCATAGGAAAGCATTGAGTAATGCTTTCCTATGGGCGGTTTGAATGCGCACGCGGCTCTTGCCACGCATGCGCATTTGGAGCTGAGGCGGATCGGGGCGGAGAGATCCCCAGCGCCAAGCGAGTCCGGCGCTGGAGAAAGGTAAGTGCTTAAGACTCACACACTCTCATGAACAGACGCATACACACTAGCTAACAGACACACACTCAGTGACAGACATACATACACACTCACTTACAAAACACTCACTAACAGACACACACTATCACACACACTAACACACACACTCTAACACTAACAAACACACACACTCTAACACACACACACACTCACGTTTTAAAAAAAATAAATTTAATCCCCCCCAGCCTCCTTACCTGTGGGAGTGCTGAGGGGATTCCCTGGGGTCCAATGGTGTCACCGGGCGAGCAGGAAGGCTGGCGGGCGCGCGAGGGAGCACTCTCCCCTGTGTGTTCCCTCTTCAGCTCCCTCGCGCGCCGTGTACCGATGCCGGAGCCGGAAGATGACGTCATCTTCCGGTTCCGGAATCAGTGCGGTGCACGAGGGAGCTGAAGAGGGAACACACGGGAGAGTGCTCCCTCGCGTGCCTGCCCGTCGGGTGACACCAGGGCCAGCCTCGGGGGGCCCTGAGATGGCCAGTTTCTGGGACCCCCAGGAGAAGAGGCTGGCCACAGTGGCATACATACCTGGTCGCAGGGCGGCTGTGTGAGAGCTGTGTGTACTGTGCTGACATCAGGGGGAGGGACTAAAGAGAATTTAAAGGGAGTTTCAAAATAGCCTAACCTAAAATATCCTCTTAGTCAGCTATGGGGACACTCCACTGTCCAAATAAGTTAAAATAACAGAGATAGGCAACCTTTGGCACTCCAGATGTTGTGGAGTGCCGATGTTTGCCTATGCCTGGTAGTAGATATACCACAATATGCATGCATGTATTTTATTAGGGGCAAAACCAACAGATGTTTTGTCTTCTAACCCCTCCCAGACTTGCCTTGATGGGATCTGTATTGTTTTAGATAATGACAGTGGCGTACACACAACCCATGGGGCCCCGGTGCGAAAACTGATCAGTGGTCCCCCCCAAACCCCTCCCCCCCCGCAAGCTTACTCTGCGCGGGCTGGCCCGCAACACATGGCGGCGGGCACCTGGTCGCAGAGCTGCGACCCCTGCGACCGCGGTATGTACGTCAGTGCATGCAGATACACATACACTTAAAGGACCACTACAGACACCCAGATCACATCAGCTCAATGAAGTGGTCTGGGTGCCAGGTCCCTCTAGTTTTAAGCCTGCAGCTGAAAACATAGCAGTTTCAGTGAAACTGCTATGTTTCACTGAGCGTTAATCCAGCCTCTAGTGGCTGTCTCTTTGACAGCCGCTAGAGGAGCTTCCGCGATTCTCACTGTGAAAATCACAGTGAGAAGACGCTGAACGTCCATAGGAAAGCATTGAGTAATACTTTCCCATGGGCGGTTTGAATGCGCACGCGGCTCTTGCCACGCATGCACATTCGGAGCTGAGAGGCGGATCGGGCAGAGAGATCCCCAGCGCCAAGGGAGTCCGGCGCTGGAGAAAGGTAAGTGCTTAAGACACACACACTCTCACGAACAGACGCATACACACTAGCTAACAGACACACACATTTACTGACAGACACACACTCAGTGACAGACATACATACACACTCACTGACAGACAGACACACACTCACTCACTTACAAAACACACACTCACTAACAGACGCACACAAACTAACACACTCTAACACTCACACACACACTAACACACACACACACGTTTTTAAAAAAAAAAATTTAATCCCCCCAGCCTCCTTACCTGGAGTCCAGTGGTGTCACCGGGCGAGCAGGCAGGCTGGCGGGCGCACAAGGGAGCACCCACTTCAGCTCCCTCGCGCGCCACGTACTGATGCCGGAGCATGACGTCATCTTCTGGTTCCGGAATCAGTGCGGTGCGCGAGCGAGCTGAAGAGGGAACACACAGGGGAGCGTGCTCCCTCTCGCGCCCGCCCGCCCGCCCGCCAGCCTGCCTGCCTGCCCGACGGGTGACACCAGGGCCAGCCTCAGGGAGCCCTGAGGTGGCCAGCTCCTGGGCCCCCCAGGAGAAGAGGCTGGCCACAGTGGCATACATACCGCGTCGTAGGCCGGCCGGGCCCCCTGGTGGGCCGGGCCCGGTCACAGCCGCGACCCCTGCGACCCCGGTATGTACGCCACTGGATAATGATCAGTAGCCAGGAGGTATAATATGTGTGTGCTGTGACCAAATAAAAGCATTCCTATTATCACCCTTCATCAAGGTCAGACTGATGTTTGGGTGGATAGCTATGTCACTGAACACTCTGTGGGGAAAAAGGAGAGAGACTATGGCAATTCTCACTTTAGTAAATAACCCAGGACATACTTGAAAATGAGAGAAATCTCAATGTATCCTTCCTGGTAAAATATTTTATAAATAATAATAATAGTAATCCTGTTAGGCACTATTACAGAGCTCAGGAACAGATTAGGGTTCCTCTGTCACTTTGCCTCCCTTTTTCGGCTTAGATACTCTGGTGTGTCTATAGGAGCGATAATAGCAGTGATTATAGCCCAGTCTCCATACACTACTTTTAGATGTAGTGATGGGTGAAAAGAGATACAACTTTCACTGGCACAAAAGCAGCATATTTAGAACAAAATAGTTTATTCCCACCGCAGGCGGTAATTGACACACAATAGGGACAGACCCTCCTCCGTGCCTCTGTGTCTGGGCTGAGTATAGCTAGCTTTCTAATGGTGTTTTTATAAATGTTTGATAAATAAATATATGTGTTTTTTTTTTTTTTACTTGAGTCAGTAGTGTATGAGGACGTTCAGCTTTAGAGAAAACCCGATAGAAAAACATTGAGAGGCTTAATGCACAAGCGGTACTTGCTGCGCATGCACATTAGGTTCCCCAATCGAATGACATTGGAGGAGCTGGACCGCGACCTAGTGCTGGTCATGGAATCGGGTAAGTGAATAAAGGGTCATTTAACTCTTTACATCGCCGGGGTGGGTGGGGGCTGAGAAACACGTTAATGTTAGGAATACATCTTTGTATTTCTAACACTAAAGTATTCCTTTTAAACGTTGCCTGATTTCTCCTAAATCCTATGGAAATGTATCCAGCCCTTGTTTAGGAGGAGTATTTAGGTGTAGTATTTCAGTTCACAATTATGCAGAGAATTTAGTACACAAGGATAAAAGGCTGAGAGGCCCAACACATTTGTTTTTCTTAAGTTCTTAACAAAGAGTTAGATTACATTAGTTTACTCTGCATAACCCATTTGTTATCTTAAAGTGTTTTATCTGGTTTTCTTTATACACCCACTGATAGGATACAGCAGTGATTCTTCTTCTCATGACAAGGTTAGGAGACATTTTCAGGTTAACCCTCTCTTACTATTATTTTGCTTAAGTATTCACTTGAATGTATTCACTTCTGTTTTTGTGTAAACCCTACATAAGCTCTGGAGCAAACATTAGCCTTAAGAAGTCATACTCAGTTGAGTGGAATCCACCACAATTAACGTGTACCATGATCTCAATGTAAATACATCTGTTTTGCGATACACTTAACCAAACTGGCCGTGGACACAGGGCTAAGCTACTAGCACGCCCTCCTGGCTCTCCATATAGGCAGTGATTAATGCCCAGTGTACCCAAGGTAAGAAGTCAAACTGTTAGCAAACGGTTTGATAACTCACATTGAGGGGGAGAGGCACCAGGCATTACTGGCACCATAACCACTACAGTGTGCTGTAGTGGTGATGGTTCTTGGAATATTCCTTGAAATATTAATTATCTTTTCTACAAGCTAAGGCTCATTTTCACTTTCCTGCAACAATCTAACAATTCCAGCAGCTTTCTGTCATGACCAGACATGCCTTCCTCCACTGTATACACACAGCCAACCACAGGAATGTCATCAGTTGTACTTTATCTTATTCTTACTTTTCTTTTCCATCATTTGCTTGTGGTATGTGCATAATATGGTTAAGGTTCATGCTCTATTAGTGCACTTTAAAAAGACAGAAATACAAAATTATACAAAAAATATCATGGAGAAATTCTAAAATTTTTCCCCCTTCTCTAGCGTTGAACCTGATTATTCCCACACTGGCCCATCCTATATCTACTGTCCAGACAGTGACGACAATATATTTACAAGAATGCTATGGTGGCAATATGTCTCATTTCTGTTTCTGCTATCACTATCATGTGACGTCCTTCAGACAGATTCAGCCCAGGGAAGGACAGGACACTGAAGCAGAGGTTGACCAATGGCAAACACTCAGAATGTTACATCTGGAGGTGTGCTTATGCCAATTGGCAACTCTTGGAGCTATCACTTAAAACAGTCCTCACTTATATTCATGGACTACATAAATAGTGGAGGAAAACGTTAGTGAAGAATTGGAAGATATGATGGCACAATGTGGACCAGTGATGGAGAAAAGGAGATTTAAAAAAAAAAATTTTTTTATGGCATTATGTGATATAGTGGAGAACATATATCATATAACTATTACGTAGAATTAGGAAATATTGTAGTGAATGGGGAGTCTGATGCTGGTTATCTATCTATGTGTGCAGGTATCTATTAAATTAGTTTACAAAATACAGTCTATTCTTTTCTAAAAAAACATCACTGCAAGATCTGTTTTATACATGTATCCCTTTAACAGCAAGATGAGTGGTAATCAAAAGTGCCTACCCAGAATCCTTAGCTGCCACATAAGCATTGTAAACTGGGGAAATATGTGGCAAAACAGGTTGCTTACTTATCTAGGCTATTTTTGGTTGTACTCTGAATGCTTTTGTGGACCTTTACAGTGTTTATACTTGCTGGATTCCAATATCTTTTTTACTCATCAAAACATCTATTGTGTATACAATTTATTGCACCTGTTGTTCTTAAAATATTTCTTTCCTTTGCATTTCACATTTCTGATTCAAAGTAGAGATTACACAGTTAGAAAAACTTTGTGTATGCAATTATATTTTCAGATCTTTAACCCCTTAGTGACCAGACCGTTTTTAAAAAATGTTTACCGTTAAAGGGACTCTGCAGTGCTAGGAAAACATATCCGTTACATACCCTGCAGTGCCCCTGTCCTTCCCACCCCCTATCCCATGTTGCTGAAGGGGTTAAAACCCCTTCAGTGACTAACCTGAATCCAGCGTTGATGTCCCTCGGTGCTGGGTCAGGCTCCGCCCACGCTCCTCCCCTGCCGACATCAGCCGGCGGGGGAGACCTAATGTGCAAGCGCGGCAATGGCCGCGCCCACGCATTAGAACTCTCCATAGTAAAGCATTATTCAATGCTTTCCTATGGGGATTCCGGCAACGCTGGAGGTCCTCATGCATAGTGTGAGGACGTCCAGCGTTGTTTAAAACACTTTTCATGTTCTAAGAACACGGAAGTCCCTCTAGTGGCTGTCTGACAGACAGCCACTAGAGGAGGACTTAACCCTGCAAGGTAATTATTGCAGTTTATAACAATTGCAGGGTTGTCTGTATGTCTGACAGTATATGTGTCAGTGGATCTGTATGTAGTCAGTGTGTGTATCTGTGTGTCAGATATACATACACTGACAGACGGTATGTCTGTCAGTGTATGTGTGTGTGCCAGTATGTCTGTAAGTGTATGTATCAGTAGGTCTACCAGTGTAAGTGTCCGTGTGTCTGACATTATATGTGTTTGTGTATCTGTATGTGTGTGTGTGTACCTGTATGTTATCAGTGTGTGTGTATCTGTAGTATCTGTATGTAGTCCGTGTGTATACCTGTGTGTCAGGTTGTCTGTATCTGCGTCAGTTTATGTGTCTGTATCTGCAAGTGTGTCAGTGTGTATATCTGTGTATCTGCATGTGCTTCAGTGTGTGTCTGTGTGTATGGCAGTGTATGTGCATATGTGCATACATCTCAGCATTGATACACCAACACTACATACAAATACACCACTACATTCAAACTTCAACACTACATACAAACACACTCCTGCATTGAAACATCAACACTACATACAAACACACACATTTTGGTGTTAAACACCAAGGATATATAAACACACCCCTAAATTCAAAAACCAACACTTCACATAAATGCATGCTTGCATTCAAATGGCACATACAAACACACCCCTACCCATTCACCCAAACATACTCCATACAAAGACATGCTTACATTTAAACACACCAATACGGCTCAGTGCTAAATACAACCCTGCAAGCATGGGAAAGACATACTGATACACACAGATACATACACTGATTGACTTACTGACACACAGACAGACATACTGACCCTCACACACATCACATATACTGACATAAAAACTAACACACACAGATAAACACAGACAGACATACTGACACACAGAGGCACTGACACACACACATACTGACACACACACACACACAGACAGTATAACAGTAATTAGGTTGCGCCACAGTTCTTTTAGTTAAAAATGATAAAATTATTGTACTTACAGTAAAAGTCAAATGTTAAGGTTTATAGTCCAAAGATAATATGTGGAAGTAAAATTTTATTTTATTTCTTATATATGTATAATATATTATAAAATAATTAAAGCATTTTATAATATATTATACATATATAATGCATATATATGATTACATTATAAGTGTTTTTTGAGAGATGTGTATATATCTCAAAGTACACCTATAATGAAATAATTTATATGCATTATATATGTATAATATATTATAAAATGCTTTAATTATTTTATAATATATTATGCATATATAATATATGTACAATATATTTATTTTTAAATTTTTTTATTTTTTACTATTTTAGGAGTCAGGGGGACTTCCTGACAGCTCAGGCAGTCCCCTTGCTGGAAGCTCCATAGACCCCTATTGCGGCCATGTAATCATGGTGATCACATGGCCCTGCAGGGCCGCGGTGGCCGGAGCTGCTGCAGGGATACTGCTGGGGTCTCAGGCAGCCCCTCCCGACCGGAATCGCTGTGGATCTCCGGTCCAGGTGAGTACAGGGGTCATTTTTGCCGTGGACGTACCAGGTACGTCCGAGGTCGGGAAGGTGTTAAACTATAGTCAGACTTAGTACCATCATCATGTGCACCAGGATAGATAAACATATAGAGAGCGATAGAAATGGATAGTGAACAACCCGCTGAGGTTGTGTTAAGTCGTGTAACTCAGATGCAATAACAGCTCTCACAATCACGTTCCAAAGAGATGCTGAGGGTGAGAACAGGATTTTGTCGGGTCAGTGATGGTACGGGGGCTTTAATAAAAATAACAGAATAATCCAAGGCAAAAGGTATCCGAAGAAGGGTAAGGCAGAAATCAGAGTCAGACAGTCCAGAGGTCAGGGCAGGTGGCAATCAGCAAAAACCAGAGGGCAGGCAAAGTCAGGGAACCAGCAAGGACAGGAAACACAGGGAAACAAATGCTAGGAGTTCAGAGGCCGGCAATTAAACAACCAAGCACTGACTGAAAGGTGTGCTCTGCTTATAAAGGAGTGGCTTAATCACATAACCAGGTCTCACCTGTGGGAGGGGTATGACTGACTTTGACTGACTTTGAGACTTACCACCATCTTGCATACATCATCATCCTGGCTCTGCCACCGCCATGCCTCTATATATATATATATTTAATACATTGCTAAACACAAATACACACCAGTCAAGCCATAAGGCTTGCTTTTCCCACAGAAATCTCACTTTAACAGTGCTGTCACTACTACAAGGGATTTTGGGTAGGTGTATGCAAATGAGCTCAACAAAGAACCACTTTTTTGCCTCATAATTCCAGTTTATACATGGATTCCTTGGAGTATGTGTCTGCTGTATACAACACAGACCAGAGACATGGTCTGTGAATAAAAAGCAGCCCTGGAAAATATTATATATATATATATACATAAACACGCATGCACGCATGCACACATACATACTTCACCAAGTTCAAGGTCTTATGTGAAACTCAAATAGCTTTCAATGAGCCTATATTTGGATCAGAAAATGTCTAGTTATTTTACAGCACTAGCTGCTCAATTCATTCACCTTTTTCTTTTTTTCTCTCTCTTTTACAGGAAGACTGAAGTAATTCTATATAATAATCATTATAACCCATGTAGCTGGTCACTTTATTTATACCATCTCTGCTGTTCCAGTTATCAATTGCTCTCCCTCTAATTTCTGGCCCTTCTGATCACAAGTGTCTCCACCCTCCTCCGAATCTAGGGCTGTTCTACGCATTGCCCTCCCTCCTACTGCTCAGTTGGTTTGAACTGCATCCCTCCCTTTCCATCAAAGAGCTAGCCCACCAGCAGATCTGTGGCTGTTCTCCCAGCCTGCCTGCATACCCTCCCTCCTTTCCCCATCATTGACCACTGACTATTCTCTAGAATGGCCTGCTCCTCATTGATAGCAGGTAGCTGTCCACTGCTGTAGTGCTGATACTTGCTGATCTATACACCCCTTGGACCTCAGCTGGAGGTAAGTAACATATATTATTATATATACATGCATCATGTATGTTAGTGTTCTGAAATAGAATGTTCCATATTAAACAGACAATCACTATATTCTTGGATCCTTTATCACTGATTCCTGATTCTTTATTATTTGCTTGGATTTTAGACGCATACACAGCTCTGAAGACTCCCTGTCTAGTAATAAATAAATACACTTTTTGTTTGTGTTCACATGGAATATCTTGCATAGAGATTTTACTGCAATATCCCACCTGCCATGGCTTCCCTTATAATATTACTACTGTGAAATCCCTGGCTTCTAGCACAGAATTGAGGATTACTAAACAGATGCTTGTGCTGCTGTAACTGGGCTGGGATTGGGGCCATGCATCTGATTTTTTAACCACTGGGCCATGAACACTTATCTTCTCATCTGTACCCATCTGTGCTTCTTATAATGTCCCTGCAGCTCATACTAACCTTGAGAGCCAGTGTTAAAACCTACACCCCAACTGAACCTCTGCAATGTTTTGTCCCTTTTTTTGTTTTAAAATAAAAAGGGCTACGTCTCTCCCCTGGCACTGCTTTCTTAGTAGGACACGCAATCCACCCTCTGGGAAGCAATGATTTCCTCAATTCAACCTACTTCCCAGCAGTGACATCTCACTCATTGACACACAGTACATAGTCATTTTTAGAACCACAATCTAAGAGGCTGGATATGTGTATTCGACTCACCCTGTGTTATCTCTCTCATGTTGCAAGTTTAATATAGGAGGTGGCTGAACTCCTGGGAAGACAAAAATGAGAAAAATATTTGACAGACTTTAATGTTTACAGCCCAGGACACAAGGATCAGTGCACTGACAAAAAAAATAACACACTTAAAATATGATTTTCTTTATATGTAATTGAGGTATTGTACATGAGAGAACTGTCACCACCTGAATCACTCCACGTTACTTATATGTTAACGCCAGTACCTTCCTCTATTCCTCACCCGTTCTGCCTCTAATTAGTAAGACTCTTAAGCAGTTAAATATCCAAGAGAATGAATAAAATTAACATAAACAGATGCTAATTTATAATGCAACTTTGGAGAAGGTTGCAAACCGAGATTAAGCCACTGTTAATGTTATAAGATTTGAACTTTTACCCTAGCAACAAATTGTCAGGTGTCAGAATCACAAAAGACACCCACAGCACATCTCAGTGAAGCGGTCTGGGTGTAGTGACCCTCGATTCAATGAGAAGCATTGATCGGACGTGTGCATGACACTTGCTGCATATGTCTATATGTACTTAAATCAGTCTCTATAAGATGCCTCCATGATGATGTTGCAGCAGTTCCAATTTATTCTTGGCACTGGAAAAAAAAAAGGTAAGTAAAAACTTTTTTTCCACTACAGCTCAAAAAGGAGGTGGGGGAATCTAAATTGGGTCCAGGACCTAGTTTCTCAACCCATTGTATGCGTACCCAGGAGGTATGCACACCAAAGGCAGGGGGTATGCCAAGAGGTGGCCGGCTGGGGAAGAATGGAAGAATTATCATCCAGCACTTCTCCCTCACGCACCCTGAGGTGATATCGGGCCACAAGTCCCACAATGGACTGCAGGGAAAAGATCCACTCCAGCTCACTGAAAAGTAGAGAGGCTGGGTGGACTTAAATAAAAAATATTTTAAAACATAATAATAATTTGTGTGTTTGAGAGAATGTGTATGTGTCTGTCAGTAAATGTGTGTGCATCGGTCAGTGTGTGTCAAACCAGTGAGAGTGTTTGTCAGTGAATATGCGTGTCAGTAAGTGTGTCTGTTAGTAAGTGTCATATCAGTGAGTGTGTGTGTCAGTATCCTGCTCTGTGTGTGTAAATGAGTGTGTCCCTGTCCTCTGTGCATAAATGTGTTTGTGTCAGTTTCCTCTGTGTATATGTTTGTGTGTGTGTCAGTGTCCTCTATGTGTAAATGTGTGGGTTTTAGTGTACTCCGTGTGTAACTATTATGTGTGTATTATATTTTCATTTTGTGACTTTTCTACTTCACATTAATAGCTCACACACACTCTGCCGTACATACACAATATTCACATTATGTCATATTTATTTAAATATTCTTTACTACCTTTACTCAGGCCTGTTCTCAAATATAGGATTAACTTAAATATCAGTATCAACACATTTCATTTGAAATTTAAATCAATAGAAATGACTTTCTCGAGGAAGAGGTACTACTCTGTAAAAGGTTAAGAAACACTGGTGTAGGACATGTTTTTATTTCTAATGCTATGGCATTCCTTAAATCTTATTAAAAATGTCTCAGACTGGTAAACAGATCACTATTTAGACCCCTCTCCCTCGCTCCAAAGCACGCTCACAGTTTAATATGTTGGGTCAAGAATTATCAAAGTGCTGTGTTTGAAAAAGTGAAAGGAATGGAGCTACCAATGGATCATACCTGCTGGTTCCATTTGTTTCCATGGTAATTGCTGTGCATTTAGGATTAAATCTCTCCCATCGTCATGGTTAAGGGACACAAACATTGTTTGTTTGTTTTTTGGTTTACAAAAAAAAAAAAATATGCATATCTTAAAAAACATACAAACATAAAATGAACCACACACAAACACCACCCCTAGGGGGAGACACACATGCACGCAGACGTACGACCATAAACAAAACCTCTATTGACCACATAACCTACGGTTCAGGTAAAGTGCACAACCCCATACGCTACCCATCAGCATACCAAGACTCGCGACGGAAGCTTCAGACCGAGACACCCAAAACCACACTAAACGGGAGAAGAACTACAGAATACACACGCAACATACGAGGCTGCACAGCCCTTCAACAACCACAACACTACACACACACGCGAACACCATCATCACCAAGACAGAGCCAGCCCCGCTTGGTAAAACACAGGCATAAACCAACAAACCACCCGTATTAAACTACGCAAATGCATCATCGCCACACGGACACGATCACACGAACCTATAATCATTGAGTCACGAAAACGCTCTCACTACTCACAACAAATATGAACAGGCGCACTGCCAATTTCAGCACGAATACCGACATTACCCACCTGGATGATAGGAACAATATACCAACGCAAGGGTCACACCAGGTGGCTAAACATTTGCAAGTTTATACCAGATATACAATGCGCAGTGCCTCTGCGCAGGCACCAAAACGACTACATAGGATGTATACGCTAGGAGTGCACAGATAAAATACAATCATACTTGCAACAAACTAGCTAACGCAAGACAACAATAAAAACCTACTAACACAAAGCAACTACACAAACCAGCTAACACAAAGCAACTACACAAACCAGCTAACATGAGGCGACTACACGAACCAGCTAACAAAAAGTATCTACACAAACCAGCTACCACAAAACAACTACACAAACCAGCTCACACAAGACAAATACACAAACCCAAACCACATTAGGTTCTGCAAACCCAGGCAATATGTCTTAAAGTTCGCAGAGCACACATCTGCCTCACTAAACTAACTACACATGTTCCGTTTACATGTCTCAATATATACGCCTCTGCGTAGGCGGCCATATGCTTTTACAATAATATGTTTGATGTCCGCATATACAATGTGACGACAATAGAAAACTATTTAAAACAAACATAAAATGAAACAAAATAATTAACACAGATACAATACAAAACAATTCATAACAAAATATTACATACAAACAAGGCTGAAATGACTGATGAGAGACTATAGCAAACTCTGATCTGACTTACTACCTCTTATCAAAAACTGCATTATTACCAAAATTAAAGGCTATACTAGTTTTAAAGGTCATTAAAAGCCTCACTTAAAAAGGTATATACAAGAAGAATGCACTTCCAAAAGAAAAAAAAATTAAATAGAACATTCACAAAACACGCTACTCCTAGTTTGAGAAATTTTTGGACACAACCTCCATATATTCAAAGGATTGCCTTCAGACAGATTACAGCACTAATACAAATTGGAACAACCACAACCAGCATCTATCTTATTCCTAATTTTAGAAACCAGATGCCACCTGTGAAGAATCTTATAATGGGGTTCTAGATTATTTAAATAATGAATAATCTTCTTAATTTCTAGCGTAGAACTAAGCCATGAATCAAGATGATTTTCTTTACCCAGTTCTCTTTTCCATTTAACCCAGACAACCGGTTTAATTTCATTACCTCCAGAAAAGAGCAAAGTATGACATAGATTTTTAAATATATTGTTGTTGTTTTCAAACATAGCATGGTGGCTGAGGTAATCTTTACCACTTAAAGCGGCACTGTCATGGCCGAATCCAGTTTTTTTTTAACCCCCCCCTCTCCCCCTCCCAACTCCACTACATCTAATTGTCCAACTAGTCAGATTAAAATCTCCCGAATGCCCCTACTCACTATGCTGCGAGTAGGGGCATGTTTACTAAACAGTGAGCAGCCAGTAGCCCCCCCGAGCACCCACCCGCCCCCCCCAAAACTGGGGGCTATGCAACTAAGCAGAGGACATAGGGTCCCCCTTGGCCCCCACCCATGAGTGGCGGCTGGGGGCCCTAAATGAAAATGGGGGGGGATACCTATTGTCCTCCCCCCCAGCCCACACCCATGAATGGTGGGTGGGGGCCCTGAAAGACCATGGGAGGGATCTATTGTACCCCACCGGCCCCCACCCATGAGCGGCGGGTGGGGGCCCTAAATGAAAATGGGGGGACCTATTGTCCTCCCCATCCCCCACCCATGAGCGGTGGGTAGGGGCCCTGAATGAAAATAGGGGGGACCTATTGTATTGTCCTCCCCCTGGCCCGGACCCATGGGCGATGGCTGGGGACCATAAATGAAAAATCGGGGGGGGACCTATTGTCCTCCCACCTTGCCCCCACCCATGGGATACAGGTGGGGGTCATAAATGAAAATGGGGGGGATCTATTGTCCTACCCCCCAGGCCCTTACCCATGAGCGGCAGGTAGGGGCCCTCAAAGACAATTGGGTGGCCTATTGTCCCCTCACCGGCCTCCACCCATGAGTGGTGGGTAAAGGCCCTAAATGAAAATGAGGGGGACCTATTGTCCTCCCTCCGGCCCCCACCCATGAGAGGCGGGTGGGGACCCTGAATGACAATGGAGGGTACCTATTGTCCTCCCCCCACCGGCCCCCACCCATGAGTGGCAGGTGGGGGCCATAAATGACAATGGAGGAGACCTATTGTCCCGCCACCGGCCCCAAGCCCATGGGCGACGTGTAGGGGCTTTACATGACAATGGGGGGAACCTAGTGTCCTCCCCTCCTGGCCCCCACCCACTGTAAACCCCTCTCAGGTGACTAAGGGTACCCAAACCTCTACCTACCCCCTCACCCTAAAAATTGTGAGGAAGGAACAATAAAACTAAATACCTGTAAATACAAATTTTTTTTACAAAAGTTACCATTTGATGTCTTCTTTTTTCTAAAACCTTATTTTTTTCAGCCCCCAAAAAGGCCAAATAAAAATCCATAATACCCATCGAAATTTGAAAATAAAATAAAATACCGGAGCGCCCCCCCCCCAAAAAAAAATCAGTTGAAAAAAAAACCCTGACGCTAAAAAAAAAAAATCCATCTTCACCCAGCAAGGGCACCATGCAGACTGAGCTCCGCAGGGCAGGGAAAGGCTTATAAAGCCTAAACACGTCCTGCAATTTGACTTAGAGCACTCTGATTGGTTGATTCAAACTCTGACCCACAGGAAATGAAGCACACTTTGCTCCTCCGCTGGTCATAGCTGGTCAGGTGTAGGAAACCTACATAAGACAATATAGTCCCTATTTTGTCTTATGTTTTAGACAGGAAGAAATGAGGAACCGATCCTGACAGAGGGAGAGAAGAGGAATCGATTGGGGAAGGGTACATTCGGCATGACAGTGCCGCTTTAAATAAGAAAAAAAAGTCTTTATGATCAAAGTGAAACACCAATTGTACTTGAGAAAAGTTCTCGATCTTATCATCAGCAATAAACTCTCCAATTTTAAGATTATTAATAACATAGCAAATAACTGGACAAGTGGAAGTACGATTATCTCTTTAGATAGAAAACCTTGCATTAAATGACCCATGCAGACCATATGAGTTCCTTTTTGGACTCTACATGGTTTTCAAAATACTTTGCCTGGAGTCCTATAGAAGTTGTAAGCTAGACCGTGAATCAGATCACGAGTATAACGGACCAAAAATCAGTGACTCAAGGTTAACGCTACTTTTATTTAGTAAGTTAGTGGTATTAACCATGGGGGAAAAAAAACAGATTCTCAGTTTCAAGAATAATTATTTTAACCCCTTAAGGACACATGACATGTGTGACATGTCATGATTCCCTTTTATTCCAGAAGTTTGGTCCTTAAGGGGTTAAGGAAGTAACCGCATATGGAGCTGTAGTGGTAATGGTATGAGCACAAACAATCCAACATCTTGGCATCTCCTCCATATCAACCCCGTCTGTGGTGTCCTACCTATGGGATAGAAACACTGTAAACTGCAATTCACATTATTCTAAATCAAGATATTGTCAGGATTACAAGTTGATCCAGCACGCAGCACTGTGTCAGACCTAGGACTAAAGATAACGTATAACCGGACCTTAGGATGGCCGGACTTAACGTCTCCAAGAATAGTCAAAATACTTCCAAGGTCAGGAACACAGAATCAGACACAAAAAAATTGGGTTTAGATACCCCTCCTGTGGATCCGATTGGCTGTAACCGGCCTTTGACCCCAAAGGCAATTACCAGGTGTGCATGATTGCTGCTTGGCACAACTTTTCCTGTCAGGACTGTAATGCTGCTCGGCACAACTTTTCCTGTCAGGACAGTAAATGCCATTAACCACATTTTTATGTGCGGATGAACACGTGACACATATACAGTAAATAGAGGAAGGATCAATCTGAGTGGGTATAAAAATACATTGCAATAGTGCACATTAATCCTCTTTTGCCTTATGATAATATTACTGTATGGTTATGAGTATAGTAGCAGTGAATCGGGTGCCATTGCACAAGTAGGCTATGTGGTGCATTTAATCGATTTACTTGTATAAAAGTGTAAATATAAAAGTGTTCCTAAATTTTACTTGAACACAGATATGCACACACACACGAGACACAAACACATATAGAGGTATGTTTTATATATGTGTGTTTGTGTAAGCATGCTAAACCTTTTTTCTCACTAGGAATGATAATGGAGGAACCCACTGAAGATCCAGGAGGACAAGAAGCTTCAGGAGGGGCATCTGGACGTCAAAGAGAGCACTCACCCATGCTGCACCTGGATCTTTATAACTTTGAGAGCGCCGAGGCAGAGGGAAGTCGTTATGTGCTTACAAGTCCTCGCTCACTGGAGGCCTGTGCTCGTTGCCTTGTAAAACCTGTTGAACTCCTGGCCCGGAGTCTGTCTGACCTAGTAAAAGAAGCACCTGGTAGATCTATGCGAGTGGCAACAGGTCTTTGTGAGGTTTACGAGATAGAGAGGCAGAGAAAGCTGAAGATGTGCAGGGAAGAGAGAGAGAGGATTATCCGTCAAGAAAAGAGACGGATTCTACCCTTGATAATTGGCAGCAGCCTTGGCTCCCCATCAACTTCAAAGTGTCCCTCACGTGGTGAACTTAATTCCACCACAGATCCCAAAAGGTATGAATCTCTGCCTACCACAAGCCACCAAAGAAAAAGTACACCACCTTCAAAGGATGCACATAGAACAGATACACCACCTTCCAAGTTTCACCAAAAGAACAAATCCCCACTCACCAAAGGATCAAAAAAACATCATGCACCAACCCCTAAGGATCAGAAAAATGATCCTTTGCTCATCAATAGAGCTGAAAGTAGTGAACCATATACTTCAAAAGAGCCTGTCCGTGCAGTGCCCCCAAAAAATAAGAGCCAGTCCTTAGACTCGTTGCAGAGAATGAGGGATGGAGCTTCTGCAAGAACATCTTCAGAGTCTGCAACATCATCTTATAGTGGTGATAGTATGAAGGACAAAACAGCACAGTTTCCTCAGAGGCCCCAAACTTTAGATACTGTTAATTCTCTGTTAGGACGAAGTTTTAGCCTTGGAGATTTGAGTCACTCACCACAGACAACTAAGAAAGTGGAGAAGATGGTAAAGGAGGTGAAGAAATTGGGTGTTCAAGAACTTCCACAAAGGGACAAGAAGATAGCAGCCCTTATGATCGCCAGACATCAAGAGGAAAACATCAGAAATGAGCAACGCTATTGGGCTCACTTACAGTGGGACACCCAACGTAAAAAATCTGAACTTAAGAAGGAACAGGAGGATAAGGAAAGGCACAAGTTCTTGGTGCAGGGACACAGAAGGTGGGAGTCTCAGATAAAGAATAGACATAACCGAATTTCATTGGAAGAGTTGGGCTCCTCCTCCCTAACCCAAAGCAGGAGTTTAGTACAGTTAGAGAAGTGGAGGGACAAATCTCTGGAGACAGAGAAACACAAGAAAGGGAAGAAGGAAAAAGCCAGGCTGGACGATGAACAAAAGAAGACCCATGAAGAACAAAAGTTGAAATCCAATGATCAAAAAGAGAAAGAGTCATTTAATCAGGAAGAAGAGATACTTCAACAAAACATGCTTGCAGGTCAAAGTAAAAAGCAGGAAAAAGAGCAACACATGCAGAAAAGTCTACAAAATAAAACAGACAAAATTAAACATCAGATTCTTCTACAGGAAATCTCTCAGAAGGAAGAGTCTGAGAATGAGGAGCTCAGAAAGAACATGGAGAAAAATCTACACAGGGCACAAGAGAATGTGGAACATCTTCTAGAGAAAAGAAACCAAGAGTTGAAGAACAAGGCTCGTAAGGAAGAATTACAAATTTTGAGGGCCAGGCAGGTAGCAGAGAAGAAAGAGAGAGAACGTAGGGAACATCTGGAAGAACTGGTCAGAACCGCGGAGAGAAGGCTGCAACATGCAAGTCAGGTAGCTGAGGAGGTGGTACAGCACAAAGCAAAGAAGGCTTTGGAAGGAAGATTGGAAAAAGAGAAGATACAGAGGGAAAATAGGCAGAAGGTTCAGAAGAACGAGGACATGAAGCGTCAAGAGCTAGTCATGTCCATTGAAAAAAAGCTAGAGCGCAGTGAACAAATATACAAGGAAAAACAAACAGTGCTTGACAATGCTCGTTCGGTAGCCAGAGCTTCTTTTAATATCCGAGAGAAGGTACGAGCTGAGACCAATACACGTACCTTTGACAAGATGGCTCTGGAAGCTGAACTATATGCAAGCATTGACAAAAACTGAGAATTAATAAAGGCCATCAAAACACACTTATGCCAGTCTAGACATTGGTAAGTATCCACAGTATTACGTCAGTACCTACCTTTGCGGAAAGAGATTTGCACTCCTAAAGAGCTGTAGAATGGTAAATGTGCTGATTGCAAAATCCCAACACAGGGAATGTCAGGCTTCTCATAGATGCTATGATTATTTCATGTTTCTCATTGGCTTTCTTCAATTCTATCTTCTGGTAATCCTATGTAGATCTATCTATGATTAATCCATTATCACATTACAGATTAAAAGGGACTGGGAAAATGTACACATTCAAAGAACTGCCTCAGAACTCAGGGAGAGTGAATTTATTGTGGCTTGTCTACTAGATGTAATAAATCTTCACTTGATTTTTTATTAATAATACAGTTTCATTCAGTTTAATCAGATATCTACAAGTCCAGTGACAACTAATGACAGCAATATACCTATTAGGTTAAATAAGGACACAGTGTATCAATGTGTTAGTCTGATTTACCAACCAAAATTGAAAACTTTATATTTTTATTCCTGTTACGACCCAGAAAGTGAATGGAGGTACTGTAAAATTCACATAAAATGGTTTTGTGTGGCACTAGGTAACGAAGTGTTTTTCATTTTGTCAGTAAGTCCCTCGTGATTTTAGGAGACACCAGTGTCTTCGGTGACAAATAACACACTGCAAGCAGTTCAGGATGTCTTTGGACCAGACTTGTATAGTTCGGCATTCAGTGACTGCGCAACGTAGGATTAGTTAAAAAATTAAGATTGCTTAAATTCGGCAAAATTCGATATTTATCTGGCATGCAGAGATTAATGTGCAACCATGGTGTCACTGGGAGGAATAGAATTTTGGAACAATAAAGTTAGTTTAAAGATACTTTTTGTAAAATATTAGCAATCAAACTGGCGCAATAGTACTAACAGAGCATTCAGGGCTTTTTGGATGGAATATACCCAATAGTTTACACAGTAGTCTTTTGGCTTGTGGCTGTTAATAACTACTCATACACATAATAATCAGGTGAGGTTTGACTTGGTTTTAAAGAAAGGTAACTGGTAAATACTAAGTTTCAGAAATAGGCTACATTGTTGATAGTTTTAAAGAACTATTTAAGATACATGCAAATACATGTAGAGAGTCATCAGACATGGTTATTTGCTCAAGTGTGAATTTTGGGGAATTCAAAGTAAATTTAAAATTTTAGGCCAGCATTGCCAAACAGAAAAAGCAAATTTTTCCAATTTGGCTATTTTGTCGTACGATTTAACATTCAATTTTAATTCTCACATTTTGTAGAGGTTAGTGTATAAAGAAGAAACAATAAAGTATAATTTTGGAACATCTCTGGTTTTCAAATGATTCAGAATTTACAGAATACTTTTTTCATGAGAAAGGGAGACCAGGGTTATCTCTTTTTAATTTTTGTGAGAAAAGGTATTTATTCGCTATATTGCAAACTGTAGTGGATTGAAAAATGAAGGAAAATTCAAACTTAAAGGAACACTATAGGGTCAGGAACACCCCTTTAAGGGTAAGAAAACGTACCTTGTTTACAGGGCCACGTGGATCCACCTGCGCTGGTCCCACCCCCGATCTGCCTCCTTAGCTGAGATCATCAGAATTTATGTCAGCCAATCCAATGCTTTCCCATAGGAAAAGCATTTGATTGGCCGAGGTCATCAGTGAAGCGGGGCAGGTTTGGGGCCAAATGTTGGCCTGGCCAATCGGCATCTCTTCATTGAATCAATGCATCTCTATGGGGAAAGTTCAGAGTCTCCATGCAGAGTGTGTAAACGCTGAATAACAATGCTGTATATTCTGCAGCACTGCCCCAAGAAGCACCTCTAGTGGTCATCAGAGGAGTGGCCACTAGAAGTGTCCCTAGGCTGTAATTATAAGAAACACTGTCCCTTTAAATTAAAGCTTAAATATTCAAGCTGTGAACGTAGATGGGAAAATTATTCTGAATAAGCTATTTTGGCCTAACTTTTATACTTCATGTTTCACTTCATTGCAGTTCTTCATTTAGCGAATAAACCTCCGGCATTAAGAAAGAGATCGCATATACTACATATGTTACAAATGCACATTGCAGTCTGTTTACTAAACAGTGGCTTGAGGTGATTTAATCCACCGTCAAAACTCAGGCTAAAGTTTTAAAGTTGGGGAAAAAAACAATCTGATTCAGCCCACCTTAAATGAAAAGACCCATAGGGCCACAAAGATCAACAACACTAATCACCTAGATTGTTCTCGGTGTAAAACAGACTAAAATTGCTGTCTCTTGAGTTTAGCTTCACTAAGCTAAACAAACCATAAGCAACAGGACCAGTTGTGTGATTAACAGTCAGGGGTGTGTTACCAGGTTAATATATAAAAGTGTAAATTTCAACTGAAATCTGCACTTTTTGAAAAATGAAAAAGAGGGCACACACTGCATACATACATCTTTTCAGCAAGCTAAAGTGTTTTAGCGGTCTGGAGTGTCCCTTTAACAAATTGAATCCAAATGGAAAAAGTGAGGCTAAAATAGCAGATATTTAAAATTCCTAAAATTAAATAAAATAGTTAATTCTTTAAAATTATTATAGTTTAGCTCAGGGGTTCCCAAACCGGTCCTCAAGGCACCCCTATCAGTCCAGGATAGGCATTACCCAGTTGTGTCTAAGATTTTTTTATTTTTTTTTAGAAAGAAAAATAAAAATAAAAAAACACCTTAGACACAACGTGGTAATCCCTAAATCCTGGAGTAGTAAGGGACCAGGGTTCCTTGAGGACTGGTTTGAGGATCACTGGTAAAGTTAATAATGGTTTGAATTCACACAATCGCTGACAAATCAAATGAGTGAATTAGCGAATAACCTTGTAATTGTTTTACAAATAGCAGTTCAGGTTAGTCGGTTTTATTTATTCATGTGGCATATAGTACTTTAAAAGGATATGCAAATGGTTACATAACTTGTAAGAGATTTGTGCAAAAATATGCTAAACTGCCATATTGCTTGTAAAAAAAAAAAAAATGGCACCACTGTCATGGCATAGTTTCCGACGCTGTACGCAGAACCAAGCACTGGGGGCTAAGTTTTATGACACCTCAGAATCTTGGTGTCCAGTCCAAAGAAAACATATAGAAATTTCTATACTGATTGGAGATCATTTTCTCTTACACTTTAGTTCAGAAATTTTGCATATGTTATTCATGATTTCATAATGTTATACCTGCGTTTCTTCACTTTATTTTCATCCTTTGTGTACCGATAATATTAAAATTAAAGCCAAATTGTAATTGTGTTTTGTAAAATCTCCATCAATGTAACTTGCCTACTTCCATACTGGGACCTTGAAGGAAAGGGTGAAAATATATGAAGAAACTTACTTCCATTAGCTCCATCTTCAGAATATAGCAATTTCATCTGCCAGGAGCCCACATCACTGTTGAAGAGTAAAAGTTTGTAGAACATTGTCCGTGGGTGATCTCACACAGGCGCAATGAGATGCAATGGGATGATGACATTAAAAAATGTCACGGAGGAAACTACAGGAAGCTCTGCCGATTGCCAGATGTTATAATAATGAATTGCATACATAAAGACAAATTACCCCTATATTGTCACAAATAGTGTTTACACTCCTCTATTGGCTGTCACTTACATAGCCACTAGAGGAACTTCCTGGATTCAGTCCTGCAAAAATTGAAGGATCAACGTTCCATATTGTGCATGGAGACGTTGAATGCTCCACATAGACATAAAATGTCTATGTGGATGATTATTTATCTTCTACAGGTGGTCCTCGTTTTGCGACCTACCTGTTTTATGACAGCACGCACTTCCGACCAGCTCTCTCGTGAGGTGGTAAGTGCAAGACGTCATGGGAATTAGAGGGTTCCCTGCAATGCTGCTTTCTTCTATGTTCGAAGAAATTTCTCCGAGCATAGATTAGAGGGATTCCCTGCTCTTGTGCATTCGTCTATGTTCCGGGAAATGTCCCTAAACACAGACATGCGCACCAGAGCAGGGAATGCCTTAAATCTATGTTCATGGAAATTTGCACGAACATAGAAGAATGCAGCAGAGCAGCGAATCCCTTAACTCCTCACTTACCAACCAATTTGTTCTACTACCTGGTCGTAGGAACGGAACCCGGTCGGTAAGTAAGGAGTGTCTGTATTTCTTTAAGCAGAGTAATCACAAAAAGGTATTGCCTTTAGTAAAATTACTTATTTCAACTGATAATTAGGTAAAAGGAAAGACTTAAAGGAAAACTTTCATTTTTTTTTTTAATTACTGAAATTACAGTTTTCCTTTGACAAAAAACATAGTTTTTAACGGTAGTGAATTAAAATATATTCCTGAAGCATAATTCCCATTCCATAGACTTATAACAAATGAAATCTCATACAAGGACAAGTACTCTTTTTGTTATTCATTATTCCACAGGTTGTGAAGAAATTACAAAGGAAATTAAAATTGTAATGTTGATGTGAAACTGTTAATTGGGAGTTCTTTGTATTGTAATTGTTTTCTGTTGTTCAAAACCAAGACACAAGCACAATCTCTGGCAGAGCAAATCAAGAATGAAAGGAATGTAATGAAATATACAATCACCATACAGTTTCATTTTCCAGCATTTGTTTGCTTTTGACTGTTTAACCTGTTGGGTCTTGAAGGTATTCGATAAAATCAATAGTACTTCAGGATTCAAAGGTTTTAATGCACATCTTTAACTCCTACGTGATACAGGGAAACTGTCCAGTCCCTTTCCAGTAATACGGATTAAGGACTCTGCATGTTACAGATCTATTACACAGCTTTTTAATGTGTGGTTCCCCACTGGATTTGTGAGACCTCGTTATTAAGCACACTGCTTTATTCGCTATGTAAGACTCACTTTGCACTGTTTAATTTATATTGGTTTGTGTAAAATACTATTTTTATATCAATAAATTGGCAAGATTATGTTGTATGATTGTTATTGAGTTGTGTACTCGACAAACACTCACTACATGACATATTTAACATATAACTCATAAAATGATATCTATCCACGCTTACTTGATTTATATATTATTTTGTATTGGATATGTTAAAGGATTACTCCAACTACCATGATCACTTTAGTGATTTGAAGTGGTCATGGTGGTAGGAGTCTGGATGTGCAGGGTGAAAGTGATATGGTGGTAGGAGTCCAAATGCACACTCCTTTCCTTTGCTGGCTCAAAGCGCGCATGCAAAGTCACCCGAAGGAGGGGCACTAATGTGTGTCAAGTGCAATACAATCTCCCCATAGGAAAGCATTGCTTTGCTAAGGGGATTTTATTGACACTGGTTGTCCTTGTCCAGTGCAAGAGGACATCCAGCGTCAGGCGACCAAAAGTCGCCTAGCACACAGGAAGTGCCCTTTTGCAGTTGTCTGAATGACCACAACCAGAGGCAATCTTAACCTTGCAATGAAATGTTTGACAAAAACTGGGGCTCTCACTTCACCCAAAGCTTGGTACCTTGTCTGCCACCACGATAATATGGAATTTCAATTTATTATTGGTCTAAATTTGAATGGCAATGGAAGGCTTTGAGCACTGGTAGACGCTTTGGAAACGGGCTGTGTGTCGTAAGAGCCACAATTTTTCTCAAGCCAGTCAAAAGCAACTTGCCGAAATCATGGGACTGCACCCAAAGATACTTCACATTACAATAAATATGGAGATATTCGTAGCGGTGATGGTGCATAGAATTAAATTCGTAAATCAGTATGCAGATGTTAGCCAAGGTTTCTGGTTTTCATTTTTAAATGTAAAGTTACATTTATTGCTACTTAGTGTGCTTTCTGTATATCCAGATAGTCTTTGTTCACACGGTACGTTTTTCACCTTTATTTCTGTGTAAGCTTGTTTATTTTTCCGTTTACAAGCCCTGTAATTTTTACATTTAATTGGTTTATATTTCAGTTTACAAGCCCTGTAATTTTTACATTTTACCTTAACCGGGTTACATCCAGGTGAAAATGACTTCAGTTTTCCAGCTTGCTGCTTTATATTGCGAAAAGGTCATTATGATGTCACACAGTGATTGTGATATGCGTGTGATGTCATCAGCAGAACTCTGTACAAGCATAGGTGCAAAGCTTAATTCCTGAGTAAAATGTGAAATATAATTAGTCTGATTAACTACTCCTGTATGCTTAAAACCCCAGAGAAATACTGTATACTCTTAGTAATCATTAAACAAAAATGAACTTCTACCTGCATTATTCTGACCTATAAATAACTTCTTCAAGCACCAAATTGAAGGTTAATCATTTTGGAGGAGGGCTCTGGTGCTGTAAACATAATTTATAGGACAGTTTTCTTGTAAATTGTGTCTGGATTGCCTCTTAATGAATCCCCCGCACACGGCATTATTCTAACATGCACACTGTGGGACCTTTATCCTCAAACCTACACTTTGGGTTGGGTTATCGAACTTTCCTCAGTAAATCAAACCAAAATAAGCGTCATATTCAAATATAAGACGTGGGAATACAACTGAAATCTAAAAATTAACACAATAGAGTAACAGACTTTTGTGAATAAGCCCGAAATGGATAGATTTGCACTCACAAGCAGAAGGAATTAACAGGCATATCACAATGCCTCCCCTCGATGTGTTGGGGGTCAGAAACGCTCTCCTTAGCTGGTGATGGATCTTTTGTAGCATAAAAGGAAAGCTTCAATACTTAATCCTTCTCCAACAGAATTCATTTCACAGTTTAAAACAAATGCAAATCTATGCATTTGGGGTTTATTCACAAAACCGTTTAACACTATTGTGTTCTTCTATTATTAGATTTCAGCCATATTCCCACATTGTATATTTGGTTATACACGAGACTACACAGGAAGGTCTCAGGGAAGACAGCCACAGTAATTTCCAGCACATCACAGGTGAAGTATTTTTATACAAAATAAAAGCGATATTTGTCAATAGTGCTGTGAGAAAACATTCTATATTCCATTTATATTGGTGGTGTTGGATTACCATACTAAATAAGCTTCATAAAGATGTGGATGGTAGATTCCCCTGACGGGTACAATGTCAGTACGTATTTCCAATAATTCTTTAATAGTCAGTGGAAGGGAAAAAAAACCTAAAAACGACAGACATTATTTGTCGGTTTCCTGGGAGGATTCCTGCTTTGACATGGTTTGATAGACATTTCCTCTGTAATGTTGGTCTCGGCTCAGGGTCTTTGCAGTTTCTTTCACGCTCTGGTTGTCACATGTCTCAGGAGTAGACATCAGGAATGAATGAGAGTGCCTTACTGAAAAAGAGACAGAGGTGAAAGCTGGACATGGAAAATCAAGGATCTGTTAATTGCAGATAGAATTTTCTATGTAGTTAAGCAATGCTGTCTGCTAGGAAAGACATCTCAAAGACAAAAAGGTAATTGGGGGCACAATAGGAACATGTATTCTGTAGGAATGGTGCCGCCGTAGTGCCCAAAATGTATACATAATACAGATTAAGGAACAGCACACACATAAAAATATATTTTTCCATTTTATAAGGCTATTCAGTTCCACCATATGACCATATTGTGTTAAGTCCACCACTACGCCACAGTACCCCAATATCGGTGGGTCCTACACTATTCCAACCTGGGAGACAAATCAAATTGTGCTAGTGCTAAATAAATTGAAGTATATTTGAATAATCTGTTGTAAGAGCATTGTGAATATATATATATATAATGCAAAATTAATGTGATAAACGAAATCCAAAAAATTACAGTAAAAACTAAACTATTACAGTGATGGTGCTTTGATGTATATACCCACAAAGCATATTATATATCTGGTGTATGACATTTGTAGTGACATTACTTTTCAAAATCTCAAATATATACCTGTGGTCGCCTCCAAAGGGGTCTTTGTAGCTGTAGCTACAGAGCAGTAAAAAATATATATATAATTTAAAAAAAAAAATTTTTTATAGCAATGGGCATGGGCCTGCAGCTCCATCAGCCCCTATGTTAATCTGGCCCTGGCTAGACATCTATAGTAGAATAGCCATGTGTTAGGAACAGAAAGTTTGCTGAACACATAAGTCAACCGAAAGGTTTTCCATCAGATCTTTGAATCCATCAACCTGTTATTTTTCTTTTTTGGGTTTTGCTTTTATTTGAAATTAAAACCAATTCAGATCTATTCACTAAACTAAACAGAGTTACACATTTTAGGCTAAAATAACAATTACAAAAATTCTCCAACTCCGTTATATTTTTGATATTTTGGTCTAAAATAAACGAATAAACTGGTTATCTTTAGTCAACAGTCCTCGATGGATTAAAGAGATCAATTTTGGTAGACTTGCAGTAGGGAATCGACCAGGAAATCGCACATTTACATATAATGAAATGGAAACATTGTTCAACTTCAATAGTGGGCTTACACCAAACTTACAAATGAACCAAGCATGATCCCACCTCTAAGGGTAACTTTGGGTTTAGTGGAGCATACCCTTTCTGTTATACAATTTCTTCTTATAGGGACCAAGAAGCACTGAAATTCATTTATTTACATGATTGTCACTCACGTCGGGAAAAGCTGGGTCTTTGGTGATGAAAGCGGCAACTTTTTATCCGCCTGGTCGCTGCTCTGGGCACATAAACAGAGTTCTTCATTATGGTGGGTTTCATGGCCTCAATCTCTGACTTTCTGATACATTCTTCAAAGAATTCTGCAAAGAATCGAAACAATAAACCCCTTAATTGACAGACCGATCTGGCCCTTATTTCTGCTCAGTTTGCATTCGAGTGAAAGCCGAAACAAAGAAATCATGCAATTTAGGATAACGTCCTTGCCGACAGCACTGGCTCTGCGCAGTGCTATGATTACGCTGGGCATATAAAACCCCTTGCATTTCATGATGGTACTGTGTATTTTACACAGCTGTCATTTCAATACAATGTGTACCAGTTATGTACAACTTTTTATACTGCCATGATCTTAAATTTCCTTACTTTCACGGTGCTCGTGCCAGGAATTGTACATTTCCAGACTTCTACTCACTCTTCAAGTGGCTGACATCTGCTCTCATTTTCTTTTCCTTGTCTTGGTTCATGACAGCAGAATTCAGTCCCAGTTCCAGCCTCCTAAGAGCCTCCTCGGCTTCACGCAGCCTCTGTTCCAGGTCCAACTGTACCTTCAGCTGAATCTAACCATAAGCAATGCAATGCAAAAAGCCTCAGTAGTGATCTGCCCGTTATGTGCTTCTAAAGCATCGATAGCACTGATCTAATGCCTCGTTTCCACTCAGCTTTATGGTTCGGAAGGGTTAGAATGGTACAGGCCTATTCAAGTGAGCGTTTCCACTGCAAGTCGAATCGTCAGGAGGCATGCGGGGATTAGACCAAATGCCTAGCGTGTCATTTGTCGTGAGCATTGACGTTTTCCTGTCCGCCAATCAATGGATTGTATAGTGTGACACCAGTAGCTCCGTCGTAACCGTACCGTACCATTTCTTATGGACCTACATCTGAAGGGGGCCCAGAATTGGTGCGGTACGGTTCAGTTGTATGGGCCACTTTTATAATGGAAACACTCAAAATAGCGTACCAGACTGTACCAACCCAAACCGTACCACTCAGTGACATGAGCCCATTCTCCTGTGTCATCCCCAGGTTTCCCTGATTTCAAAACCATGTCCCCTTCCTATTGATTTAAGTGTTTAGTTTTCACTCCTGTTTTTTTGGCTTGTTTACATATTACCTTATTGACTTCCCTCCTGTTCCAGCCTCATCCCTTGGGGTTTTTTTTTTTTTTTAAATCATTTCTTCTACTTTCATTTCATTCCTCTCCTCTACTTATTTCCTTCCTGTTCTCTTTTCCAAATATATATATATGAGTGGAATTTTATCACCCCTCAATGTCTGTGTTCCCTGGAATCTCCTTTGCCGCTGTCGAGTGTGGATTAAATTTGCGATGGTGTTCTTTTCTAATTCTGAGCTGTTCCATTTGGAAACCATTTACTTTATTTCATGGTTTATGTACGATATTCATACAAGAGCTGCGAGATGTTAACATAGCCCTGTTTATTCTAAGATAACCTTACCATTTTGGTTCTATTGTATGGTCGTACTATGTTTGTTGTTGTTCTACATGTGACTATCCACGTAATAAACACTGATTTATTACAATCAATGCTGATTAATGATGCTTAATTAACATACTGACATTACAAGATATTCACACACTGATAACATAAGGTACAAACGGTGGTCATGCAAGATATGTTGGAACACTGTGAAAACGTGAACAAATTATTTATTTATTTTTTAAAACACCTGCCGGATTTGGGTCATCTGCAGACCAGACATGCAGGAGATGACACTACTGGATACGGATTACCTTAAGCTCCTTCTCTGTCTGTTCTTTCTCAGCCGTGAGCTCCGTCAAGGAATGTTGCAAGGCTTGGGACTCTGAAATAAAGAATGCACGCTCCTCTTGCAACACTCGGAACTTCTCCTCATTCTCCTTGATCCTTCAGAGAAACAAAGCTCTGTCATGTGTGCATATGTTGGCACATTTGAAAAATATAAACGGAGGATTTATCAAAGCGTCGGTGAATAATATGTGCAATTTTTTTTAATGGTGTGAATCACCAACTTTAAAGGTTTTTTTCCACTATTTATCACTTTTGCGAATCTTATGTTATTTTTCTTTTGTTACCTTAAGTGTGTATCATTAAATGTATTATTATTTCTACCTCTTTTCTCCCAATAAGGTATTCTGTATTCTGGTATTCTCATACACCACTTTTATTTTGCTGTTAAAAAGCGAGGCAGAATATTCACAGAATACTCACATAGTTACTAGGATATAACTGGGGAGGCACAACAATCTGTATGAACATAAAAAAAAGAAAGCTAAAGAACTACAAGAACCAATTCTCCCACGGGCTACACACAGTGTTGTTGGGTTTTTTTTGTGTCTCTTGGCAACTATCCCTCCTAGTCCATTAAGCCAATCAATGATGTTCTATACGTCAGAAATAGGAGCTAAAAGGAAGCCTTCAGGCCTAATATTCCACCACTGAAGGCACACTGAATTAATCAGATTTCAGGGCATGCTTTTCAAGTTTGTCCAGAAAAGGAAAGATTTCTACATGTTCTTCTTAAAATTATTTTTAAAAAGAAACGGACAGGGAATTCCATCTTTATCTAGAGCTCAGACTTACAGAGGCATTTCAAATACCAACATATGTTTAGTTCTACGTATAGGTCAAAATACAGTTATTTAAGCTTAATGTTTTGTTCTCTCAATTTTAGAAGTGTTTCTCTTTTTTAATACCAACTAGTATTACTGTGTTTTGCTCCATAAGCCCATCCTTCCTGTCCTTTCCATCTAGAGATGTCACGTTGAGGGGGCCCCATAGCCGTCTTTAACGCTGGGCAAACGGAGTAGGCCCAGTTACTCTTTGGGGGCCCAAGGCAGCTGCCCCATGGGCCCTGCAGCCCTCCACAATTTTTTCCCCCCATCATCTAAGGAGTCCAATGCACTTAGGGCCACTCAGTGGGCTTGTATCAGCAGGGGCCCGGTCGGGCGCTGTGGCCCTTTAACAGCGCGACCAGGCCCCCTTTGCTTTTCGGTAGTATGGGAGGAAGTGACAGCCGCGAGTCATTTCCTCCCATAAAGAGAGGAGTAGTGTGGGAGGAGGCGGCGGCGGCAAAAGTGAGGATAGAGGCTCCTCATTACCATCAGCCTCAGGCACTACACTGAACCCCAGGGAAGCCACCTAGCAAAAGGAAGGAAACTGGAGGGTGGGTTTAAAAAAGATAAGTTTTAAATGTGTTAGTTAGTGTGTGTGTGTGTCAGTATGTCTGACAGTGTATGTGTGTGTCAGTATTTGTATCTGTGTGTGTGTGTCAGTATGTCTGTCAGTATTTGTATCTGTGTGTGTCAGTGTATTTGCCTGTCTCTGTGTGTCAGACACACTAACACACATACACTGACAGAAATACTGACACACACAGACAAATACACTGACACACACCGATACAAATACTGACAGACATACTGACACACACACACGGATCATGAGCCGTTGCAAGGCACATACACTGATAGACATACTGACAAACACATACACTGACTATAGCGTCCCTTTAAGCAACATATATTCTTTTTGCTGCAGATACAGAAGGTAATTCTATCACATAATCCAGAGATTTGTTCCAGTTCTGCTAATGATATCTATGACTCATACTCTCCAGAGATGGATGTCCACCGCCAGCTAGGTGTAAACATTTGCGGTTCACCTACATATTTGTCAGGTTACAGTGTTATATGTCTTGTTTGGTTCTTTATATTCCTGCATTCAGTGGGACTGCACCTGCTTTCTGCTTGCATCTTCTCTTGCAGTAACGCCTGCATCTTGCTCTCGATCTGTTGAAGGTTACCATGGAGACCCTGCTTGGAAATCTCGCTGTGACTGGGAGATGGCTGCAGGTGATGCTGACTGGCTTCCATTATAGCCAAAGTCCTCTGCTTCTCTACAGACAGCTCCTGTTACATTATAAATGAATACATTTCACAAACGTGTCCTGAGAAATATTAAACTAATATGTATACATATACACAAATGTGAATTTCCCATAGTGTACACATTGCAGTTGTGAGATTTTTATAAGTAGGCAGAAGCAACATTTAAAAAGTACAGAATCAGTCAGAAAAACGTTGCTCAATTAACATTTATCATAAATTTGTCTCACTATTTCTTGAAGTTACAATGGGTCTGATGAAAAAAAAAAATCAAACATTAAAGGGACACTCAGCGAACCAATACATCTTTAATGTTTTTGATGTTTTTGGGGCACGCAACCATGCTTGGGTTTTTTTAAAAAATGTTGCATGCTTAAATCTTTATAGTTTTTACACACAAAAATACCACACCACAGATGAGGTTTAAAGAGTGGAGGATCCAATAAGCCACCACATACTTGATTAATAAGGTCTGCCACCACTTTCCAATTTAAAATTTAAAACCCAGATATTATCAAAGTCACTGTGGAGATAGCCATGCAAATTACAATTATTACGCGTATAAAAAAGAGTCGCTCAAGTCACCAACACGCCATTTATGCAGTTATAGATTTAGGAAAAATACATAGCTGCATTTTTTGTAAAGTTTAAAAAAAAAAAAATCATATTAAATTAAAATGTGCAGCATTCTGCATCTTAACCTTTCCTAAACAAGAATTATAACTGTATAAATATAATTCATTAATATTATAATCATAGAAAAAGGAATCCTTTAAATTAAAGGGATCCTGAGTTGAAGCTCCATCAATACAGAGGGGAATGGAGTCCCTACCTTGATTAGCTCTAGGGTTAAACGTTACAACTGTAACCAGAACTATAGGAAAAATAGGGTGGGGATAGTGCTGGGGTATATATAACCAATATTGGGCGACGGTTGGCTCAATAGGCTCAACAAATCCTCCACACCGCATTTAATCATATAACAAACCCACCGACACTAGCAGCCATCCCTTCCCACGGGATATAGGTAGATATTGAAGAGAGGTAAATGGGGAGGTAGGCGTGTGGGAATATTAATAGACGTCCATAAAGCTGTCTGTATTCCAACCACAGCTTCCCCTAACCATACCTCGGCACCGGGGATAAATCCATCAGTACCTACCTAAACCAAACTATTGAGCCAACAGTATTACCCAATATTGGTTATATATACCCCAGCACTACCCCCAACCTATTTTTCATTTTTCTATGTTTGTACTTATTTTAAGGGTTATCCCCTTCCTTGAAGCTCGGCTTTAGGCATTTAAAGGTCAGGTCATGAGCCCTTGATGCTTATTGGGACTCTTGACTTGTACTTTTTATTGCTTTTTTGATTTTGTTATAATTCATTAATTTTAAACCATTATTTCTCCTTATTGGTTCCTGTACCTGTGTACAGCTGCCTGTCTGTCCCAAACGCTTTACCTATAGTATCAAACAGCACGACTGTGTACAGAGTTATGAATGTTTTTATTCACTCTCACCTGAGCGAAACATAACAGTTTAGTGTCAGCTGATCATGCTCAGCCAACGAGCTAAGCCCTGTATTGCAGGGAGAAGCTCAAAGAGCCAACATTGTCAGGCTCCCGCGGGCGGCTGCGAGGGGAGGCTGCACTCCGCTCACAGTACTCACCCTCCAGCCGTCCGCGGTCCCCTCCGCCTCGTGGGTACGGCGAGCGGCATCCTTCCAGCCTCGGATGCCGCCCGCCGTTCCCTCCACGTCCCCCAGCGGCAGCATGCATGACGCTGCACGCTGGGAGACCGCCCAGGTTTATACACGCCGGGGTCAGTCACCTGACCCGGCGTTAAAGGCACAGTGCCTCAATCACAGTGGGAGGTCTAAATATCTCCCACGTGTGATTGTTAATTCTGATTGGAAATTATCCAATCAGAATTAACCTGATGGTTTAAATACTTACCTTTCCTGTTCCTCCCTGCCCTGTTGTGGTCTTTGCTTGCTAGTATTGCTACTTACCTTGTGCTTCTGGTTACGTACTCTCTGGCTTGTTTATCTGACTCTGTGACTTTCTCCTACCCTTTGACCTCGGCTCGTTTCACGTTATTCTGTCTTCTGGTTCCCCTTACTCGGCTTGTTTCCTGACTATTCTGTGTGTGCTTAGCCCGGCCACTCTAAGGTCCGGTACGGCACCTTGTGTGTGTGTGTGTGTGCCAGCGTGTTGGGTTCCCCGAATCGTGACATTACAACAGGGCCATAATGGAACCTGCTGACATACCACAGCTCCTAGTTAATCAAGAGGCTAGAATGGATGGCTTGGACCACCGTATGGATCAGTTTGCTCAAGCTTTGCAAACCATTCTGGCTCATACTGCACACTTGCAACCTGCCGTTCAGGAGGCTGCTGCTGCTGTGCCCGAACCCATTCCCACTCCAGTACCTGTTCCCGCTCATGTAGTTCACATGACGCCGCCACAGCGCTACAGTGGTGACCCAGCATTGTGTCGTGGTTTCCTCAACCAAATCGACATCCATTTGGTGATGAATCCACGCTCCTATCCCACTGACAGATCTAAAATTGCCTTTTTGATAAACCACTTGTCCGGGAGAGCTTTAGCATGGGCCAACCCCATTTGGGAAAATACGTCTCCTATGTCCTTTGCAGATTTTCTGACAGCTTTCAGACGCACGTTTGATCAACCCGGTAGGGTTGCTTCTGCTGGCAAGGCTCTGCTTAGGGTCCGACAGGGTAACAGGTCTGTAGCAGATTACACTATCGAATTTCGTACTCTAGCAGCTGAAGTGGTTTGGAATAATGACGCCCTCGTAACAGCCTTTCAGGAGGGTCTGGCCGCTTATATACTGGATGAAATAGCATCCAGGGAATTACCTGCTCTTCTAGATGATGTTATAGACTATGTGATTCTTATAGATAACCGTATTAGAGAGAGGCGTAGCCAAAGACGGTTGGATACACGGGTGTTACCTGCTCTACCTAGTACTTCCCTGCTAGCGTTACCCACTCCTGTGCAACCATCCCCTGAACCCATGCAGTTGGGTGCTACAGGGTTAACTGAGGCCGAAAGAGCGTACCGTAGAAGGGAGGGGTTATGCCTTTATTGTGGGAAGAGGGGGCATCACTGTAAAGCCTGCCCTAAAGTACAGGGAAACTGCAGCACCTAAGGCCTAGAGAGGGGTCGGCCTCGGGTGTTATGACTTTGTCCCCTCATATGTCCATCTCTAGACCGTTTATTACGGTTTCTCTCTTGGTCAATAAAACCACTATAACAACCAAAGCCCTGATCGATTCGGGTGCGGCAGACAACCTTATGGATGAGACCTTTGCCAAAACCGCAGCCCTGAATTTGATCCGAAAGGAGACACCCTTGGCCGTTGAGGCCATAGATGGTAGACCACTGGAGAAACCTCTGGTGACCCATGAAACCCAGGAAATAGTTATGTCTGTGGGTGTTTTGCACAAGGAGAAGTTAACCTTCCAAATAATTGACTCCCCAACAGCCTCCATCGTTCTAGGTTTTCCCTGGTTAGTTAAACACAACCCTGTTCTTGATTGGGGTTGTTTAGACATACTCTCCTGGGGGGAATCTTGTCAGCGAGACTGTATGGCTCATATACGTCCTGTCTGTTTCCTTAACGTGCCCACGGCTAAACCACTCTAGGTTTCTGTTCCCTCTGTTTATGCAGACCTTGCCTTGGTTTTTGAAAAGAGGGAGGCAGATAAGCTACCTCCACATCGTGAGTATGATTGTGCCATAAACCTCTTACCGGGCACTATGCCTCCTAGGGGAAAGGTCTACCCTCTTTCTGAAAAAGAGAACCAGATCATGGAGGAGTACATACAGGAATCCCTAAGAAAAGGTTTTATTAGAAGGTCCTCCTCTCCTGCTGGTGCTGGTTTCTTTTTTGTGGCTAAGAAGGAGGGCGATTTGAGGCCATGTATAGACTACAGGGGTCTGAACAATATAACGGTTAAAAACGCCTACCCTATCCCCCTCATCACTGAGTTGTTTGATCGTGTTAAAGGTTCTAAATTCTTCACCAAATTAGACCTCAGGGGGGCTTATAACCTTGTCCGTATAAAGGAGAATGACGAGTGGAAGACAGCGTTCAACACACGCAGTGGGCATTACGAATATCTGGTCATGCCTTTTGGATTGTGTAATGCTCCTGCCGTGTTTCAGGACCTCATAAATGATGTCCTTAGGGATCTATTGCATGTCTGTGCTGTAGTGTACCTTGACGACATACTTGTGTATTCTCCTGATTTGAAGTCACACCATAACCATGTTAGGATGGTGCTCAAAAGGCTATTGCAGAACGGACTCTACTGTAAGTTAGAAAAATGTTTATTCGATCAGAATGTTTATTCAATTCCTAGGATATATCATTACTGAACAGGGTTTCAGTATGGATCCTGCTAAATTGGAAGCTATAATGTCCTGGCCACTTCCTCAAGGACTAAAGGCTATCCAGCGTTTTATAGGATTTGCCAACTATTATAGGAAATTTATAAAAAACTTTTCACCACTCATATCTCCCATAACGAAGTTTTTTTTTTTGTTTAATTCGAGTTTTATTGTTATTTCACAACGTATAACGGGGATACAGAAGGCAAGAAGGGAGGGTAAGGTATGCGGTTGTGGTTTGTACATTTTATACAGCAATGTCGAAATAGACAAATATACATCAATCCCCATTGTTCTTTGCATATTGGTACCGCTGATATTGTCTCATCATTCTGTATTACACGAAACCTTGGTGCAGGGTTGGTGACTAGTGTCCCCAGAAATATTGGGGGTAGGGAATGGTGGGGAGAGCGGGGAAGTACTATATACATGGGAAGTGGGTGGGGGGGGAGGTACAAGGTATCTTTTATTGTTATTACTGTTCCGTCTATTGTGGATTATTCTGTACTAGTGCCCAGTGTTTTAGCCATGGTTCCCATATGTTTAGGTATGTAGTGTATTTACCTATTGTGGACCAATGTAGCATTTCCATTTCTCTCATGTGCTCTACCCTTTCTATCCATTGTTTGGCTGTGGGTGGTACATTTTGTTTCCAGTGGACCGGTATAAGGTTGTTTGCTTCTCCCAGAAGGAGCCATAGTAGGCGCTGACTCTTCATACATTGAAAGGAGTGTGGCCATCCTAGCAGAATTTGGGAGGGGGTTAGGGAGTGTGGTAGTTTTAAGATCTCATCGATCTTGGAGGTCACTTCTGCCCAGTATGTTCTCATGAGTGGACAAAACAGGTGTTCCATACTGCCCACTTCTCCCCCGCACCTCCAGCATTGTTCGCTAACTGTTTGCCAATATAGATGAAGTACCTCCGGGGTTCTATACCACCTAGTGATACGTTTATAGAAGGACTCTTGTCTTGATAGGCTACTGGAGGTGTGCATGGGTTTTGTGAAGACATATGCCCAGTCCTGGTGTGACATATGTATGTGAAGTTCCTTCATCCATTTACGTTGGTATGCTAGGGTCTCTTGAGCATTATCATTAGTTTGGATGAGTTTATAAATTTGTGATAGGGTGCGTTTTATCGGTTGTGCGGTCGTGCATAATTGCTCAAAGGGGGTTGAACCTCTTGGGGTCCAATATGGTAGTACCGCTTGAGTGATAGAGTGTCTTAGTTGTGCGCATCTCATTGCTTCCATGAGCGAATGGTGGCCTCTCGTAATTTGGGGTTGCTTGACTTTAGGGGGTGTATCTCCTGTCAGCAAGTCTCCTATTTGTGGGTTTTGTATTCCCCATAGTTTTAGCATAGTATCTGCCCCTCTGCCTCCTAATATATCCGGGTTGTGGTTTAACGGGTATAATGGAGATATGCCCGGTGACAGTTTCCAGGTATTTTTGTGTAATCTCCACTTCTTTAGAATGTGGGGAATAAGGGGGTGTGTCATGGTGGTCAGCCGCTGAAGTTGGCATGTCTGCCAAGGGAGGGATGGTAAAGGAGCCTGTGCATACATTTGTTCTATGTCGTACCACGCTTTTTTGTGTTTTATATCTATCTATTCCCTGAGTCTAGTGAAAAGGACTGCTATGTAGTAGTTGTACATATGGGGTAGTCCGACACCTCCTTTCTTTTTATCCCGCGTGAGTATGTCATATGCCAGTCGGGATTTTTTATTTCCCCAAACAAACGTAAGGAAGATGTTTTTCAGTGTGCGGAAGAACTGGCGTCCGAGCTCGATGGGGAGTGTTTGAAATGTATATAAACTTTTTGGTAGTATCATCATCTTAATGATGTTGACTCTTCCAAAAAGGGAAAAGTGGGGTTTGTCCCAGTGTTTGAGTTGTGATTTAATGTTATCCAATAGGGGAATGTAGTTCATTCTATAGAGGCTTGTCGTTGTGGGTGCGAGTTTGATGCCTAGATATGTTAGGCCTGTGTTTGCCCATCGATAAGGGTAATTGTGGCTTATGTGTTTGAGTTGGGTCGGTTTTAGGTTGATGCCCATTAGTTCGCATTTATCAGCGTTTATTTTGAAATTTGAATATGTACTGAAGTGTTCTATTTCGCTCTGAAGATGCGGGAGGGAGCGCTCAGGGTGTGTGAGTGTTAGGAGTACGTCATCTGCGAAAGCAGATACTTTTACTTCCTGGTCTCCTGCCCTGATGCCTTTAATGTTGGCATTTGCCCTGATGGCGTTCAGAAATGGTTCCATCACCAGAACGAATAGTAGTGGCGACAGAGGGCACCCTTGTCTTGTGCCATTACCTATGGCAAAGGGGGGAGAGTCTTGCCCATTGACTCCAATCGTGGCTGATGGTCCTTTATATAGTGTTCTCACCCATCGTATGTAATTGGGGCCGATTCCTAGGGTTTCAAGGGTGGTGAATAGGAAGGTCCAGTCTACTCGGTCGAACGCCTTTTCAGCGTCCACCGAGAGGAGTATTGTCGGTACCCTGGTGGTAGAGGCACAATATATGAGGTTGAGTAGTCTTGTGGTATTGTCTCTCGCCTCCCTTCCAGGGATGAAACCCGCTTGGTCTGTATGGACCAGGTCAGGCAGTAGTGTCTTGAGTCGGTTGGCAAGGATTTTTGCAAGTAATTTAACATCGAGGTTAATTAGGGAGATGGGTCTATAACTACCACACAGGCTCTGGTCCTTGCCGGGTTTTGGCAGGATTGTTATCGATGCTTTCAGCATCGGGGGTGGTAATTCGGTAGTGGTTAGTAGATTGTTAAGTACTTCTAGATAGTGGGGAGATAGGATGTGTTGGAAAGATTGGTAATATCTGGCCGTTAGGCCATCTTGCCCTGGGCTTTTACCCTTAGGAAGTGTTTTAATTGCTCGCTGCAATTCTTCCAGCTGGATGTGGGAGTCTAATATGGTTGACTGGTGTAAGTCTATTGTTTTTTGGATATGGGAGGAGATGTATGTTTTAATGTCATGGGAAGGACCTCTTTGGTGCTCTAGGTTATATAGGTTACTATAGTATTCCCGGAAGATTTTGGCTATGTCCTCAGTTTTATCTTTGCGTATACCGTCTTGCGCCTTTATGTGGGATATGTATGTTTTTTGGTGCTTTTCTTTTAGGGCTCTGGCCAGGAACTTCCCACTCCTATTACCATGTGCGTAGTATGTTCCCCTGGTTAGAAGTACTGCTCTGTATGCCTGCATCGTAAGGATATTGCGTAGATCCATTCTCAATGCCGTTAGCTGGTTATACGCCTCCACTGAGGGGTCGGTTTTATGTTCCATTTCTGCTCTAGCTATTGCTTCTGTGAGTGATTTGATCTTTGCTTGGCGTTCTTTTTTTATACGTGCACCCCACTTAATCAGTATGCCTCGGGTGATACCTTTGTGTGCCTCCCATACCCAGGTGTCTGCGGTGTCTTTGTTTTTGTTTTCAAGAAAATATCTAGGGAGGGAATTATTGAGGTCATCAGTAACTCTGGGGTCGTCCAAGAGCGATTCATTTAACCGCCACTTGTTGGTGGGTGTGCATGTTCCTGTAATGGATAGTGTGAGGAACACTGGGGCATGGTCTGACCATGTGATGTGGCCAATTGATGCTTCCTTTAACAGGTGTAAGTGCCTATGTTCTAAGAGGAACATATCCAATCTGGAATAACTATGGGCCACCTGTGAATAGTAGCTATAGTCCCTCTCCTGTGGGTGGGATATTCTCCAGCAGTCCACCAGCTGGTGGGCATGGAGGGATCTTTGAAATAAAGCCCTTTGGTGTATCTGTGTGTCTTTACTGGTTGTGGAGCTGTCCATAGAGTGGTCTAGGACCATGTTCCAGTCTCCCCCTAAAACTATTATCCCATTAGCAAATTTGTGTAGTTTCCTAAGACATGAGTTGGCAAATGATACTTGTTTGGTATTTGGGGCATATATAGTTGCTAGTGTCACCAGTGTGTTATTCAGTGAGCCCTTGATAAATAGGTATCTTCCCAAGTGGTCTGTTTTGATTTCACTCGGGGTGAAGACTATGCGTGGTGATATTAGGATGGCTACTCCTCTCGCTTTGCCCCCGTGATAGTTGCTGAAGAATGCTTGTCCTATTGTTTTTGCCCTTAGTTTCGGTGTTTGATCCCCCTTTAAATGCGTTTCCTGTAAGAAAACGACATCAGCCCGTTGTCTGTCTATTTCTTGGGTTAGTACTGTACGTTTCTCTGGAGTATTAAGTCCCCTGACATTTAGGGACATTATTTTGATATCAGCCATTGGGGGTCAGGTGGTAGTGATGGCGTGTCTCCTCTGAGTGGTAATGCTTACACTTGTACCTTCGGGGGTCAGAGGGGTGTATGGGGGGATGTAAACTTGGAATGCTATGTACAATGAGCATGTGGGTAACATGCATCTACCAGATGGTGTCTAGCGCGCTAGGCTCTGTGTGAGTCCTACCTGCTCTCTGCGACACCTCTAGGGGGTTACGGGGTCTTGGTTGTCCAGAACTTGGCCTGTAATCTGATTGGTAAATTTATCATTCTAAAAGCGTTTCCTATAGTGTGGCTTGTGTTTTCTTATGCTAGCTCGTTATAAGGTTTGAAATGTGGGTTTTTATCCCCTAATTTCGCGCAGCCAGGGCCCGAACCCCAGGAGGGTGTAGGCGGTGGCGCACGAAAGGCAGTTTAAATCTACAATATGATAATCAATATTCAAGTTACGACAAACGGCATACAACTTTCAGTCATATAAGAAAGAGCATCCAGGTGCTTCAGAAGTCTGCTTAACATAATAAAGGATATATTGGGTCCCTCAGGTGGGTCTGCTTGTGGTGCCTCTGGGTGACGTGGTCTGTTCATTGCCCGATGGGATACGCCTTCTGCGCTTCTTCGGGGTTCTTTGCCATTTATTTTTCTGAGAGGCGTGTGATGTCTGTCCCAGTGTTAGCCCAGTCCAGTCCTCCACTGCGGCCTTTGGTAGTTTTAGGGCTTGCTGGAAGGCTTGGACCTCCGCAGGTGTCGAGATAGAGTACGTTGTCCCTTGCTGAGTGACCACAAGAGCGAAGGGATATGCCCATCTGTATCTAATGTTCATGTCCGAAAGGGCTGTTGTTATGGGTCTGAGTGCTCTCCTCGCTATGAGGGTCGATTGTGCCAAGTCTTGGAAAATCAGCACTTTATGGTCGTCATGTTTGATTTCTCTGAGGTGCTTAGCTTTTTGCAGGATTGCTTCTTTGAGTGGGAAGTGGTGGATTTTACAGATAATATCCCTCGGTTTGTCCTGGGGCAGTGCCCGAGGTCTAAGCGCCCTATGTGCGCGGTCAAATTTAATGACTGTGTCAAGAGGCCTGCCCAGTATCTTGTTAAAGAGGCCAGTGAGTAGGAGTATGATATCTTCTGTCTCCCCCTGCTGTGTTTCAGGGAGACCCCTTATCCTGAGGTTGTTTCTCCTGCCTCTATTGTCCAAATCCTCTATTTTTCTTTGTAAGAATAGGATGGCTTCATTGTGGGTTTGCTGGAGGGATTGTATGTTTGTGAGATGCAGAGCACTTGCCTCCCCTTCTTCTTCTAGTGTCTGTACCCTGTGGCCTATTTGGCTTACCTCTTCGTGGAGCGATTGTAGTTTGTCCCCAAAGCTCCTCTCCATCTTGGAAAACATCAGTTCCAGATCTAGTTTAGATGGTAGTTGTGAGAGTAGGGTTTTTAGGTCGTTACCCTCTAATGAGCTTTCTGAGGGTGCAGGGCTAGAAGGTGCGCTGTGCGCGGGAGATTTCTCTACCGCCGCCATCTTGGATTTGCTCTCCGGCTCCGGTTTTTCTCCGAAATACCGTCGGAGGGAAGTTTTGGACGTGGTAAGTGGTACCGCTGGGGTAGTGTTTGCCTGTGCTCGAGGTTTTTTCGATGCCATGTCGTCTTAGCTGCCGGGGATGCTGCTTATAAGGCCTGTTCTGGACGGAGCTCAGCTCTCATGCGGCCATTCACTCCGGTGACCAAGCCACGCCCTCCCATAACGAAGTTGACAAAAAAAGGTCTACACCCTAGGGTTTGGACTCCTGAAGCCCTTAAGGCCTTCGAAACCCTCAAGAAGGCATTTGCCTCTGCTCCAGTGCTGCACCACCCTGATCCTTCTCTTCCCTTTGTTATGGAAGTAGACGCCTCGGAGTCAGGTGTGGGAGCCGTACTGTCACAGAGGTTGTCTTATGACAAACCCCTCCATCCCTGTTGTTATTTTTCTAAAAGGTTGTCTGATTCAGAGAAGAATTACGATTTTGGGAACAGGGAACTATTAGCTATTGTGTTAGCTTTCAAGGAATGGAGGTACTTATTAGAGGGTTCTAGACACAAAATTATGGTTATAACAGATCATAAGAATCTATCCTATATTGCTGATGCTAGAAGGTTATCTGCCCGGCAAGCTAGATGGTCTCTATTTCTCTCACGCTTCCAATATGTTATTACCTATAGACCTGGTTGCCGTAATGCCAAAGTTGACGCTATCTCTCGGCAGCATGAACCAGTAGAATTTGTTAACCCGACTCCTGAACCTATTGTACCTGCGTCTCAGATAATAGCTGCTACCCGTTTGGTTGTTTCTTCACCTTTCCTTAATAGTATTAAGACATACCAAACCCAGGCACCCCCTGAGACGCCGGTTGGTAAACTATACGTTGAAGCTGATGACAGAAAAAAGTTGTTAACTTTATTTCACACAGCCAAAACTGCTGGTCATCCGGGGGTTACCAAAACCTACAAGGGCCTCCTTCAACAGTTCTGGTGGCCTTCACTCAAGCGAGACGTAGTGGATTTTGTTCAGGCTTGTCAGGTCTGCACGCAATGTAAGTCCCTTAATGTGAGACCCCAGGGTTTTCTGATGCCTCTATCTATACCCAAGAAACCATGGACCCACTTATCCATGGATTTCATTGTAGACCAGCCTCTTTCTGATGGTCAGACGGTGATACTGACTGTGACGGATAGGTTCTCTAAAATGGCGCACTTCATTCCGCTTAAGAAACTGCCTTCTGCGGTTCAGTTAGCTCAGGTGTTTGCCAAAGAAGTGTTCCGATTGCATGGGGTACCTCAGGATATCGTATCTGACAGGGGCCCTCAATTTGTCTCTCGGTTCTGGAGGGGCTTTTGTGCTGAGATGGGGGTCTCCTTGTCGTTCTCTTCCTCCTATCACCCGCAATCTAATGGTGCGGCCGAACGTGCTAATCAGTCTGTGGAATTATATTTGCGCTGCTTCACTAATGCGCACCAGGATGACTGGTCTCGCCTTCTTCCGTGGGCTGAATTTGCCAGGAATACGGTGTCTCATTCGTCTACTGGCTTAAGTCCTTTTGAGGTTGCTTATGGGTTTCGTCCTTCTGTCCTTCCCGGTGCGTTCTCCGACAAGGGAATGCCCGCCTTGGACCAGCACCTCACCTCTTTGCGGAAGACGTGGGATCAGGTCCATGTTGCGCTGTCTCGTTCAGCAGCTGCTCAGAAAAAGTTTGCTGATCGCCGTAGGGTTGCGGCCCCTTCTTATCTTCCGGGTGATAGGGTATGGTTGTCCTCCCGGAACCTCCGTCTCAAGGTTCCCTCGATGAAATTTGCCCCCAGGTTTCTTGGTCCCTTCAAGGTGTTACGTAGGGTTAACCCCGTTTCCTACTCCCTTGATCTGCCTCCTTCCATGCGTGTCCCGAACACGTTTCACGTCTCACTTTTGAAGCCCTTGCTGTGTAACCGGTTCTCTCGTCCCCTCGGGCGGCCCGTTTCCCCTCGAGCTGTCTCTGACGACGTGTACGAGGTGGCTGCCCTTCTCGACTCTCGTGTTTCTAGGGGTCGGCTGCAATATTTGGTGGACTGGAAGGGGTACGGCCCTGAGGAGCGGTCCTGGGTTTCAAGCTCCGATGTGCACGCTCCCTCTTTGGTCCGCTCCTTTCATGCCCGCTTTCCTTTGAAGCCTTCCGCTTCCCGCCCCCTGGGCGGTCTTCGAGGGGGGGGTAATGTCAGGCTCCCGCGGGCGGCTGCGAGGGGAGGCTGCACTCCGCTCGCAGTACTCACCCTCCAGCCGTCCGCGGTCCCCTCCGCCTCGTGGGTACGGCGAGCGGCATCCTTCCAGCCTCGGATGCCGCCCGCCGTTCCCTCCACGTCCCCCAGCGGCAGCATGCATGACGCTGCACGCTGGGAGACCGCCCAGGTTTATACACGCCGGGGTCAGTCACCTGACCCGGCGTTAAAGGCACAGTGCCTCAATCACAGTGGGAGGTCTAGATATCTCCCACGTGTGATTGTTAATTCTGATTGGAAATTATCCAATCAGAATTAACCTGATGGTTTAAATACTTACCTTTCCTGTTCCTCCCTGCCCTGTTGTGGTCTTTGCTTGCTAGTATTGCTACTTACCTTGTGCTTCTGGTTACGTACTCTCTGGCTTGTTTATCTGACTCTGTGACTTTCTCCTACCCTTTGACCTTGGCTCGTTTCACGTTATTCTGTCTTCTGGTTCCCCTTACTCGGCTTGTTTCCTGACTATTCTGTGTGTGCTTAGCCCGGCCACTCTAAGGTCCGGTACGGTTGGGTTCCCCGAATCGTGACAAACAGAAGCTCTTACTTAGACGCCTACAGCTCTCCTGTATTAGTAGTGAAGGCGTCTGGCAGCAGGGAATTCATGGCACCATAACCACTGCATGGTGCACGTCATGTTTTTTTTTAAGTTTGCTGTTGAGATAGCCAATTGGATAAGACCACTGCAGAATCTCAGTCACAGATTTGATTACCAGCCAGTGTGGTCAGCTCAGTCTAAAATAAGGTGGGTAATAATCTTCAGGGTTATTTACAAAAAACAGAAATGTAGCAAATCCTGTACAAATGGAAAATTTGAAGCTAAAATAGCAGAGCGATTTTGGCCTAAATCTGTAGTTGCCTGATGACAGTTTCTGTAAAAATAAAATCTGTTAAAAAAAAAAAAAAAGACAAAAAACACAACCGTTTGTGTTACAGATTGGTAAATTCCACTTCTTCGTTACTGCTGGTTCCGTGCTCAGACTAGCCACCTGAGGCCAGATAGTATAAAGATCAGTAAAAACCTGTTTTACGGGTTTCTGAAATACTGAGGGGAATTTCTATGAGAGTCCCAGTAGTATTCTGTTCTAGATCTATGGGCAATGTACCTGACAAAAAAAGCTCACTGCGGTTAAAACTCATTAACTATCCAGTACCAACACACGATCAAAGAAACAGGCTCTGCAGGAAGCCTATTTACTAAACAGTGAATTGCGGTAAACTCGCTGTAATCTAAATTGATGCTGGCCAAAATAGCAATATTGTGGGTACAGCAGAATTTAAGATTTTAGTTTTATAATTCATCTAATTTGGCTTAAAATGAGCAATTATTAGAATTAGCATTTTAACGCACCATTTTTGTTCACCAAGCAATAAACAAAGAAACACATTTTGGCAGATACAAGAGGTATAGAGGACCCTGCTCAAACAGGCTTACAATCCGCTCTATTCCATAACCAGTTTAGTAAATAAGCCACTTAGTCCACGTGTGAAATAAGAAACCATGTGAAATAGAATCAATTTACTCACCTCCATTGTCCTCTGAAGATGCTGTGTCAGACTACACAGTTCTTGTTTCTCCTCTCCTAGACCCTTCAGACAGTGGATGGTAACCTCCAGCTCTCTGAGACAGTAACACAAGACAGAAAGAAAATAGTGATAAACTGCACTCTTAAAGCTGCGCTTTCAACCAGTGTGCCCAGTGGATCACTGAGGGGTCTCAAGCTGCCTTAAACTACGCTACAAACACACTGAATTAAAAAGGCTGTCATAAATCGAGAGCAATTCTTAAAATCTTAAAATCAATCTGGTGCAATAAAAAGTGAGAACAGATAAGAAGACGGGGTAGAGCCTTGATGTATTTCCTGAGATACAGGCGTGTTCGGAAATAGTAGAATATGTGGAGACAGAAAATATAGCAAAATATAGTGTCGTTTATCCTGTGACAATTAAAAATAAGGGGGAAAAAAAGGAATTGCGCTCACAGTTTGTAGAGCTACGATAGCTCTATCTTGATGCGCCTGGGTAGTATAATTCCCACCTAAGGATGGTTGGTGTCTTCTTATCTTAAAGTGTCGTAGTGCAAAGAACTGAATACTATAGATCGGGATGATATCAGTGCATAGGAATGTCGCCGCACTTCTGGGCGCCATCTTTTTGGATCCAGGAAAGCGCAGTGCGCCATTTTCCCAGACACCGAAAAGTTTTACGCGAAATATATGAAGTTGTTTTTGACCTCGTGTGAACATTGCACAAATGTTGATTTCTGCACTGTTGCTATAGATAATGGGATTTGTTGGCTACGGCACACTTGCTGGCACATTGGGTCCTCTGGCAAGCTAAGCATTCCAGAGCATGGCTGCTTGTTGTTAGCCAATGAGAATGAACATTTCATGCCTTGCCACACCTGCTGGGAACAATTCATTGGCATAGTAGGTTCTCTAATACAGTAAGTATTCGACAGAATGGCTGCATGTGACAATGTGCACTCTGCAAATGACCCTTGGCTTTCCCTATAGCGCTGAGCTGTTGGAGAATGCATTTGACATTGATGACTTTTCCTTACTTTTTTGAGCAATCAGTCTTATTTACAGCATAGAAATTGCAGTTGCCCTTTCTGAAGATACTCCGAGACAAGGAAAAACCAACAGACTCTAAATCTGTTTTGCTCACAAAATGAATCTCAACTTTTGCACAGTCAGAGTTATGCTGCAGACTCCAAATCAGGCTGTACTGTAACATATATGTCTGTATGCGTATGCAATGCTGCTCTCTGTTTACCCATATGTTACATATATATGTGATAATGAACACACTGCTTCCTCAACAGAAAGCAAAATCATGAATAAAACATGTGCATTTTGAAGGGAAATGGACAGGCTAGAGTATTTCGTTGTGTATTGTATTTATCGTGAAAGTAAGTAAGTGTGTTATCTACTATACCGGCACTCAGACTTTAGATTGTTACTTTGCATGGAGCCTGGTAAACGATTCGATTTACATTTCATGAAAAGTTGTGCCAGCACTCTTGGCCTTCTTTCACAAATCTTTTTTTTTTTATATGGTCAAATAAAAATCAGTGTTTTAGTTCCCTACTGGAACTTTTATCAGGACAATTTAGACATTTATAAACAGTAAAAAGCGCTTATTTATAGATAAACCAAAAGGTTTTGCTACTGCACACTTCTGTAGGTGGCATGTGAACTGGTGAGTGGTAAATGTATCTATAAATAAGTGCATTTTACTGTTGATAAAGGTCTAAATTGTCCTGATGAAAGTTCCAGTAGGGCACACTGATTTTTATTTGACAATATCAAAATAGAGGGAGGGAGAGAGAGAGAGAGAGAGTGTGTGTGTGTGTGTCTGAGAAATGTTGAACAATAGGATGTAGCATTAAAGTTTTAGCATTATGTACAGAGAGCGATAGAGGATAAGATAAGGCTACACCAAGCTGGGTGTAAGTAAAAGTGTCCCAGAAGTGATACATAATATCTTCACAAGCTTAAGCAGCTCTAACCAAATACATTGTTTCTCCCAAACATATATACATGTATCGACTTGCACGAAAAGAAGCTTCATCAACAAGGTATACATAACCACACAATGAAATAAAAAAAAATAATGACCATAAACACCACTGCTAAGGTCACGTACCCAATACGGATATGAAAATCTGTCACATTAAATATTCCAAGTATAAAAATTTTGGGTAACGGCCTGGGAGATGTGGGATACATACAAAGGCGAGTCACCCCCGAACAGTAAGGAACATGAGAGTAAACGTAAACCAATTCCTAGAACACCACATACATAGCAGTTGACTAGCATAGGCAATGCGTAAGGGAATACCTTGACAACACCCCCCCCTCCATCCCTACTCCTCACCCTCCCCCTTTCTATCCCCATTATGTTACTTTACTATGTTACTACTATTCTTGTTGTGTTATGATATATATATTCAAAAAGGTGCGCCGGTTTCAACGAACTGACATCCTACTTGAGGTAGGGCCATGTAAGGCCACGCACTGTAGCTGTTTACATGAAAAATGTTTGACGAGCTCTGTATGTAATTACTATGGCAAACAACTGCATATGTGACATACTATGTGATACCAGCCACAGCAAATGTCAAAAAATGTCTGATGTAACATGCACCGCTTCAAAACTACAAATAAAAAAAATATATATATATTCCAAGTATGAAGTTAGGTGTGGAACATCCAACGGCCCTTATTAAGCTTTACTAATACACCATAAGAGGCAATGTGTAAACAATTTATACACCTAGAAAAATAACCATTCAGTGAACAGGTTCTCGATTTGTCAAGTAGTAAATCAGAGTGTAAGCACACTGCATAGGAGCACTGCAACACCAGTCACTAAGCAATATAGGAGGTAACTGAGAAACTTTTTAATGCCTAAATAGGAAACAATTTAGTGGTTTCGTCTCATTAAGACCTCTAGGTGCCAGTGTCCAGATTGTAGATCTACCTTGCCTCCCTTCACAACAATTCAATCTCCCTCTCCCCCATGGGGCAAGGGGGGTTTTCTATCAATCCCCATAAATTATAGCGATGACAGAGGATGTCTGAACCAAAAGAAATACTTTGCGACAGAAGGAGTATTTGGATCCTTTGTGGCATTCCTAATTGAGGAACGATGATTCCTAAAACTCTCACAAAGATCGTTTTGGTTTTGCCTCTATAGGCTAAAGCGCATGGGCACATCATTTTGAAAATCACATAATCAGAGGTGCATGCAATCCGGTATTTGATTTCATACTTCCTACTTGACTGTGGGTGATGGAATAATTTACCAGGTGTGATATACCACAGGTGGTGCAAACTAAACACTGGTAGCAACCTATTTGTACTTTAACATCTTTAGATTGAAACTGATGTAACTGATTAGCGTGTACTAATAAAATCACTTTCTGTAACTCAAATGGAAATTGTGACAAGGAAACTGATAACTTGTCATTTTGCATAATTTTCCAATTCCTTCTGATGGACCTGGATAACAGGTGTGATTTAAGGTGAAAAGAAGTCTTTTGGAAGACTATTGGTTCAGCAGTATTTGTGACCTCCGAGAGACCGTCAGCAAATTTCTTGCGTTCAAAGATTAGAATTCTAAGATGTCTTGTATGATAATCTCCTCACGCAAAGTTTGTTGCTTAAAAGTTTATTTGACTCACCAGCCACCAATTGTATATTAAAAGCTTTTGCTGGTGACAGTCTCACATATTGCTTTATTACCAAACAAACAGACTGTAATAATTTGCTGCATGCCACTAGCTGTTATCCTATGAATCTTAAAGTCTCATTAACTGTCTCAATTTCTTAGAGTGCATGAAATTCTAACTTTAGTAAGGGACTCGTGTCCAAAACAACTTCATGTGGCAATGGTTGTTTAGGCCAATACTCCATTTACAGTGGAATACAAGGAGGTCTCATGAAGTTCTCAACTGCATTCATAATTCGAATTGTGTTTGTCTGAAAAATGATTTAACAATTCAAAGGCTTTAATATTTCTACATGGGAAATTGCAAATAGTAAGGGGGTTGGTAATGGTAATCCTTTTGTATTTGAAGGTTTTGCAACATTTTAATAGCAAGATGCACAGATCATCACACGATTACATCCTTAACACGCAATGTAAAGATCAGATGAAAACGAAGGGATTTCATCCACGAAAGCCAATACCACGATATGAAGCATCCAAAAGGCACATTCGAATCTTTCAAGCTTTAAACAGATTGCTGCACAGTCTTACAAGATTAGACAAGTCGTCTCTAGGTTAAACTGTACTGCTATGTGAAGAACTTCAAAATTCTTACTTGAAATGTTGATGATCCAGTGTCTACTGCTAGGCTTATAAAGAAACCTGCATCAAATTCCATGACCAGAAACGTATTAACATGAATAGATGTACATGAGAAGAAACCCCAAGGTAATAGATAGATTTACTGGTGCAAATACAATTTAGATAGGTTTAAGGGACCTATCTTTGCAGATCCCTTAAACCTGCAAAGATAATTATTGCAGTTTTTAAGAAACTGCAACAATTACCTTTCAGGGTTAACTTCATCTTTAGTGGCTGTCTAATAGACAGCCACTAGAGGGACTATGCATGAGGACTTCCAGTGTTTCACCCGGATCCCCATAGGAAAGCAATGTATAATGCTTTCCTATAGGGAAATCCTAATGTGAGCAAGGCGATTGCTGCCTTTGCACATTAAAGGGACACTATAGTCACCTGAACAACTTTAGCTTAATGAAGCAGTTTTGGTGTATAGAACATGCCCCTGCAGCCTCACTGCTCAATCCTCTGCCATTTAGGCGTTAAATCCCTTTGTTTATTAACCCTAGTCTCACCTCCCTGCATGTGACTTGCACAGCCTTCCATAAACACTTCCTGTAAAGAGAGCCCTTGCTAGACCCTGCAAGAGCCTCCTGTATGTGATTAAAGTTCAATTCAGAGATTGAGATACAATTATTTAAGGTAAATTACATCTGTTTGAAAGTGAAACCAGTTGTTTTTTTCATGCAGGCTCTGTCAATCATAGCCCAGGGAGGTGTGGCTAGGGCTGCATAAACAGAAAAAGTGATTTAATTCCTAAATGACAGTGAATTGAGCAATTGAATTGCAGGGGAATGATCTATACACTAAAACTGCTTCATTTAGCTAAAGTAATTTAGGCCACTATAGTGTTCCTTTAAGTCTCCCCCGCCAATGTCAGCCAAGGCAGACTCAAGCCAGTGCCAAGGGACATCAGCACCCAGGTAAGTGATAGAAGGGGTTTTTACCCTCTTCTGCACCATGGGGGGAAAGGGGGTTAGGGATCTATTGTGATCTATAGTGCCAGGAAAACAAGTTTGTTTTTCTGGCACTATAGTTTCCTTTTAATCAAGTTTAATCAGTGCACTTGCTCAAACAGTTATATCCCAGAAGAAAGAGATTACGAATTGTGTTTCTGATTGGATAAATTAATACAATGTTAATATTGTATTAATAACTATTAAGAACTGTTGGGGCATCGACCTAGAATTTCACATTATACAAACATACTTCCAACACTGAACCATTGCATAGTGTGGGAAATATGTGTTTATTAAAATAAACATTGTAATAATAAAATATACATTAAATGATTGTGGTATAATATTAGATCAGTGTAATCGCCTGTGTTCTCACCTCTTTATCTGTTCCTGTTCTAGTCTTAGCTCCTGCACCAGGTCCTCAAATTGACACTTCTCAGACTCCAGGACCTGGTTTAACCTCTCCAGCTCCTAAATACAAAGAACAAAAACACTCATTAAAGGGACACTCCAGGCACCCAGACCACTTCTGCCCATTAGAGTGGTCTGGGTGCCAACTCCCACTACCCTTAACCCTACAACTGTAAATATTGCAGACAGCCACTAGAGGGCACATCCGGGTTTATAGCACACGCTATGTGAGGACCTCCAGCGTCGCTGAAATCCCCATAAAAAAGCATTTTCAATGCTTTCTCATAGGGAGGTCTAATGCACGTGCATGGCATTGCTGCACATTAGGTCTCCCCTGTCGCCGCCCGCGCATGCGCAATAGGTCTCCCCCGCTGGATGACGTAGGCGGGGGAGAGGTTTAGGCGGAGCCTGACCCAGCACCGAAGGACATCGGCGCTGGATACAGGTAAGTCACTGTAGGAGTTTTAACCCCTTTAGCAACCAGGGATAGGGGGTGGACGGAGAAGGGCCCGGCAGTGCCAGGAAAACGGTTTGTTTTCCTGGCACTGGAGAGTCCCTTAAAGTGGCTGATAGGAAAAAATGACTTGTTCGTTAATTGTACAGTAAATGATTACATGAACAAGACAAAGCAGCGGGGAGCTGCAGACTGAAAAAGATACAATTATATGTACAACCTAGATATAAGTATTAGTGGACTGCTACCACTAGGCCCGGGAATTCAATGCTGGCCTATGGAAAGAAAACAGCTAATCGCTCAGGGTCACCTCTTTCTGTTCACGTTGCGAACACAGTTCTTCTGTTTCCTCCATCAGTTTATCTGTAGAACAACATGGGATATATCTTCAGAAGGCTGTCTTGCGCAATGTCTACAGAGCTGATTTATAAAGACAAGTTTATAAAGACAAAGACAAATACAAAGAAAGACAAAATAAAGACAAAGACAAAGACAAGATTTATAAAGACAAAAACAAATACATTGCAATTTCCAGACAGAATTCTTCTGGTGTATTCAGAAGTTATAAGAGCCATATAGTATTCCATTGGTTGTCATGGTGATAACTACCCTTTTAGAACTCTTTTCCACCACATAGACATTATTTTGCATAAGTCATTAAATACGATATACTAAACAGAATGAGCATTATGTGTTTAAGAGTTAGTGCACATTACGGAGCTGGATATTCCACAGACAAAACGTACAATAATCAACAAAAAGACATTTGTTACTGGACACATGGTACATAATATGGAATACTGAAAAATAAGCATACATAGTGCAAACAGTGCACAGCATCATACATCATGTATATGTAATGGTTTACGTGACACTGCCCACGATATACAAGTTACAATGTTTCCTAGATCATAGAACAGAGGGCGCACTAACCAAAATATTCCTGTCTTTCCTTAGCTAGCTGCAGGCCTTGGGCTTCCAAACTCCCAATCATTGCCTCCCCAAGCTGGGCATTCTGCCAGGTTCTGAAAGGTCAATAAATGTGGATTAGTTTATTACACTGGAATGACCCTATTCACCACTAATTCAATAAGAGGAAATGAATAAGGCTTTTGTTTTCACTGCCATGCACACCTATTTGATTTTCATAAAATGAAGATTGTTTAGAGTTTGCTTGTAAGTTTTGAGATAGAGGAATTATAAGTATTAATGATGCAGAAATTCCCTCTCTGTTCTGTCCTTTATGGAGTATGTGACATATCAAAAATCAGCACTGTATTGTTATTTGTTACAAAATTTTGGGGCAAAAATAAATACCGTCCATAGGCCATGTGCGAACTTCTAGCAACTGCGTAAAAGTAACAAAAGAAGATGAAGTGAGTTTAATAAATTAAACATTTATTTACATTTAATAACTGTATAAATCACTCATTGCTCTCACTACTTCTCCTCCAAGGTATTTCCTGTGTGAGAGGCTGTTAATGGGCAGATGGGAAGCGATCCCTTCCACTTCCTGTCCAGCCTCACATACAGACACCGGAGGATCTGGGACAGCACTGAGTTTTTTTCCCTTTATAACTGATTCTGCAGCTTTGCTATCAAGCATGGGAGGCTGACTGGACTACAGAAGACACTGGCCAAAGCTCCTGGTACTTCTCTCTCCACCAGTCACACATGCTTCAAAAAGGCACATTATAAGTGCTGCAAATAGTGTTTAATTGGAATTCACAGACTATAAGCTTTTTTATCCCTTGATCCATACAGCTACTTCTGTTGCAATTACTTCATAGATAGAGTTATAACAGTTATATATATTCATTGCGCAGTCTGTTCTACTATATCTGGTGGCAGAGTAATGGCCACTAGAGATGACAATGCCAGACTTACACCTTTCCAGATTCATGCAGCATTTCCAGCCACTGGTTCTGTTCCAGCTCAGACTCTGCCGCCAGAAGAATATTTCCCTGCAGACAAGAAGCAAAGTGTTGCATTCGCTTGACAGACAGTTTATGGGTGAATTGCATGTTCCCATTTTTGCTCACTTGCAGTAATTTACATCTGGATCGAGAAATTGAAACATTGATACCCCTAGAAAATGAATCAAATTCCTAATTTCTTTTTACAAAATTAGCAATGTCTCCAATCACCGGCTATTTTGATTTATGCTTTTGGGCCTGATAGAAGAATAGGTGGATAGACGGACAGGTATAGAAAAGACGGAAAGAGAAGACAGACAAGAGAACAAAATGGACAGGCAGACAGACAAAGAGAGACACATGGAGAGACTGTTCTAAATAATATTGCCTAGTTATTGGTTTGATTTTCTTTATCTCTGTCAGAGGTAAATGTAGCTATAAACATGTGCAGTGCCAAACTGGGGCTATTATGGTCTATATATTACTATATCTGCTGCTCAAGAGGTGTTTTATGAGACCAAATGGCTACGCCTAGTATTCTAATTTTACAATAGTATTTATGAGATTTCAGTTGCACATATACTAAGCATGATGACCAAAAGACTATATATATTTTTAAAATAATTTAAAGGGAATTATGGTGCTTAGAGTGTAAGTACACTAATGGTGTAATTTATTTATAACATGTGTTTCATTGGAATTTTTAGCGATTCTATCTTTATGAAATACTAATTTGTCAGGGGGGGGGAAGGGGTGAAAGGGGATTGACAGTGTAAAAAAGGAACTAAGTTTCCCAAATACAAAAATAAAAACATATATTTTTAGTAGATATACAGGGACAGTGCACCTGTACCTCTTTAAGTAGCTGAAGTGGTCTGGGTACCTATAGTGATAGACAGGATACCGACGTTGGCATGTGGGATTAATATTTACATGTTTATACTCTTACAGTAATATTATTATATTCTACATACGGTATATAATTGTGGCGAAACCAGCCTCGCCACTGGGCACTGGAGAAGACTGATTGCCAGCCTCCTGCCCTGTGACTATGGCCCCATGTTGAAATGCTTGATTTTCCCCTGCAAAGACCCGAAAGGCGGGTCATTCGGTACTTTTGCTATTTGAACAGTGATACCCCAGATAGCTTTGCCATGTAGCCCATTCGTATAACGAAAGACTTTGTGAAAGACTTTGAGTCCATGGCAATTGAACTGTATGTATGTGATCTGAGCACCATTCAGTAATAATGTGCGCTCAGATCTAAGCTAAGGATATGTACCTGCTTTATGCAATGGCTGCACAGTTATATATTTTTATGTATTTTATTGTCGTTTGCTACCATGTGGCTAATGGAGTTTTGCCTCTGTCCTTGGAGGTAATTGGATTACATCCCAATTATATCCAGGATAGAAGACTCTGTGGAACTGGTTTTGGGCAGAAAAGCCATGCTTCATTTGGTCACAAAGGACGTCGATCTAACCTTTGACCCACTGGAGCAATTTGTATGATTTTGACGTATGTTGGTATTTGGAGTATGCTGATTCTGAAAATGTAAGTTTTATGTGAATGTGATGCATACGTTTAAAGTTATGGATATTGTGTAAAACTGTGTATTTTCCTGCCTGTGATAATTATATTAACCCATTGTGTAAGGTAATTGTATCACAGGCAGAGGGGAGGATTTTGTGTGGGAGTGTGTCTGAGTGTATTGTATGTGTTTATTGGTTGTTTTACAAAACCCTGTGGGTGGTACTAATGTGTAAGAATGTGTGTATATAAGAACAATAAACCCACAGCTCTGTCAGTTCTACTTCACCCTCAATTAGGAGTATTGTCTCTTATTGGGGGAATCTGCTACAAGGCATTGCTATGCTCTGCATATTCCCTTGCTATAATCACTCCTAGGCTCTTTTAAGAGCTCGTTCCTGCTTCGCTCTGAAGGAAGAGAGGTTTGGCCTGCGGTGGTTGTGGTGTCAGCTAGAGTGCTTGGAATCCTCAAGAAGCGCTAGGAGCATCCATCAACGGAGGTACCCAGTCAGGTGATCCGTTACAATAATTATTACATGGCAGGTTTCCCAGTGCCCAATAGCCAAACATGGCTTGTGCAGATATAGAAGCATTAACAGCCCAAAAATGAACACAAGTAATGCTACACTGATTTATTGAGAAGGGAAAAGAGCAAACTTGGCCCTAATACATACATGAAAATCCTCATGCGAAATCTTCATTGCATGTGGCATGTTTGGCTCCTCTACAGCATCCACCCGGCATCCACTTAGCGGTATCACACCCTAATTAATGAACATAGAAAGTTTATTACAACAGAGAAATGCTAACTGTCTACCAGGCATCTCTATCAGGATTTTTTACTAAACTGTGAATTTGAGAATTTCACATTTTAGACCAATATTATCGAACAGGAAAAAAAATCCACAAATCAGCATTCATTTCTGGTTTTCTGAAAATACGAATAACATATGACTGTCATAAAAGAATTGTTGCATGTTTATCAAGCATGATCAGCCAGTATGAATCATCAGTAAGTAGGCATAGCATGATCTGTGTCGAATTAAGAATCAGGTATGGCAATCTGTTGAGATGTTAAGAGTTTAAGTTTAAAGTTAAATAACAAACGTAATTCTCTGATCTAAAACATAATTTTTTTTCTCTCTCGGTTAGAGAGTATAATAATCTCTAAGAACTAGTTGGGTGGATTTTATGTTAGATATTAGCTGAGCATGATGGGAGTTACAATACAGCAAAAAAAAAATATATATATATATATATATAAATAAATAAATAAACGTGGTGTCCAGCTTTGGCCCTCCTACGACCTTTTCTAGAGAATTTTGGCAACTGAAATGTGGACTAGCAGAGAATTCAAGGAATTGCAGTTCAGCAATTACTGCCAAGCCAAGGTGGGACATCACTGTTTTAGAAAGCCAGAGAAAGTGTAAATCATTCATATTAAACAATGCCTCTCGCCTTGTAATCTTTCTTTTATTACTGGTTCCAAACTCACCTTGGGGTGTATGTTAAAGTATCGGTTGCTTTCAATGTTTCTTCTTTCATTTTCTGCGTAGTACAATAAAAAGCTGTCCTTTATGATAAAGAACCTAGGGAAAAAAAAGTGAAAAATCTACAGCTTTTTTGCCCCTAAATATCTGAATGTATATCATATTTATTTAGACTAATAAATCATAAATTGGGACAAATTTCCTAGAGACCCTTCTGCCTTTAGTTCCAAATCACAGCTTTAAAAACTTTAAATTATTCATGTGATTCAGGACTTGCTAGACAATAAAAACATATAATAAAATGTAAAGAAAGTAAAGGCAGTAGTAATTGATAGTAAATAATCCATTTGCCATATTATAATGACGAGAGCCATCCTTGCAAATTAATATATATATTGACAATCTGCACTAGCTGGTGGCAAACCTTTTATAAGCGGATCAGAAAATTACAACGAATAGAACAAGAAAAAGTTCTAGGTCGTGTGCAGGATCTAATTTTAGTCTCACCTTTTGGACCATTTCGTTGATTGTCTCCCGAATGGTCTTTTCCAGAGCACCCCCTGAAGCTGAACCTTGGTTCTGATGTCCAGTTTGTCTGTGTCTGCGTGGTCCATAGAGGCAGAAGGAGACATGGAGCAGGATTTTGAGGTGGTGAACATCTTGTTTCAGGCGTGGTTCGGACTGAGATAGCCAGAGGACAGTTAGATGTTATGGTCCGTCAGCAAGGGAGGGAGAAGATAAAAGAGCAAGGGAGGGATGGGAGGAAAAGGGGGAGAGGATGAAATGAGGGATGGAGGGAGAGCGGAGAGGAGGAGAAGAGAAGCAAAGGAAAATAAAAAAAACTGAGATTTGTTAAATAGAAGAATAAAAAAAATAATAAAATAAAACTAGGTTTGATTAAAATGACAGCGAATAAAGTTAGCAATTAAAAAATAAAAACAAAGAAACATGGTGGGATAACGATTGAGCAAAGGAACATTCCCCTTCAATCAATAGCTGCTCTGCTGAGTCAATATCAGCCTTGTGCTCTGCGATCAGTAAGTGCGAGTTCATGGCCATATCTGATCATTTGTCTAATGACAGAAAAAGGCAGGCCAGTGAAATGAGAAACACAACTGGGAGGGGTGAGGTTTGTAAGAGCTGTACGTTATAAACTATGCTGACCAAACAACTCATCAGGATGGTAGAATGGTAGGAATCCTGTAACAATGTCTTGGTCTGAAACAAAAGTTAAAGTTTTGAAGATTTAGGCTTTCCCCCTCTCCCCAAACCCACTTATTTTTAAACATTAAAGTCAAAGAGGTGCATTTGAAATGTCTCTGTTAAATATGGCGAAAGCATTTGTAAGAGCCTGGTGTCATTACTGCAAAATGGATGGGTGTGAAGGGGTAAGCTAGAGAGTGCTTATGGTTAGAGGGTGTTAGGGTTAAAGTTAGATGGGTACGTGCCTTGAAGGTGCTGTGGACTATAAATGCAATAAAGGCTTGACAAAAACTAGTGATTTCCTCCAGACTCAATGTCCACCTCCATTATCACCAACGTAATAACGAGGAAGTTTTATTTGTGGATTATCCATGCAAATTCACCAAAGTGTGGACAGCAATCACCGGCTGCACGTGCCATGGGTAACTTAGTATTATGGTGCGTTGCATTGTTTTCTGCAAGGTTTGTGCATGCACAGCCGTTTCTGCTTGCAGCGCGCGTAACAAAATGATGTGCACACAGGTAGTGGACGTGCCAGGAGCAGGACCTGTGCTCCATTACGCATGTTGAGTGGCTCTGTGAATCTTGGCCATGCTTCTCAGAGAAGTCAAGATCGCACAGATTCATGAGATAATGCAGGCAAAATTAAGTAAATGTGGGCAATGTGGCATGAATTGACATGTGCATAATAAAATGGAGGCAAATTGAAATATATGTAAGCAATGTGGCATGTGGGTATTATAATGCAGCTTGCAATCATATTTGCATTATATTAAAACATGGAAATACAGTTTTATTGGCCATGATAAAGAGGCCACGACAAAATGTACACTATTTTTGTTCACATTTGCACAAGCATACAGTGCGCACGTACATTTGTAACAGGAATAAAATTTGCACAACAAAATATTTCTGTGCACACCATCTATTAAACATGATAAGAAACATTGGTACTTCGAGGGTTCCTTTAACTCCGGGAGGGCACTTGGGATAATACCAGATACTAATGTATACAAAATGGGATATATGCTCCAATTAAAAAGCAAGTTTCCTAAATCACATCTGCAGACAGGTTATAAGTGTACCAGTAATCAACAACTTTAACTGTGATGTGCTAATCAATTATTAAGATTATTTATAATGCTTTACATAACTGAACAATCAGCTACGTGTCTATGTATTATTGTGCAATTTGTAGCACGGAATTGTGAAAGTGCATCATTCATGGTAATAAGGTGTACTGTGGCAACTGTCCATTGGTGCAATTGGCAGAAATATCTAACTCGCTCAATATAAATATCTGCTATTGAAAGGATATCAAGTCAAGTTTGTACATGTACAGCATGTGAAGCAATGATATTAGGATCAACCAAAAATGGGTGATTTACTTCCAGCTTAGAAAGCAATGCAGTACCAGATCCAGCCCAAGACGGAGGATTCAGTCAAATTGCAGGTCAGAACTGCTGTTTTATACATTTAACGGGACAAATCCTGCTTCCTGAAACAGAGGTTGTGCCTGTAATCACTTACCTGTGTCTACAAGTTAAATGCAGCCCACAAGGACATTTTGACCTTCTGCTTATATTTTAACCATCATGGTGGAATTCAAGATGGCTGCATAAATATACAGGAGGTGTGCATGGTTCCGTGCAGTGCTAATAGGTTTATAGAGTGCATTGTTGTCTACCAGGCCTCTGGGACACTAGCTAAAGACATCACTAGTGAGAGAGAGACTGATGAAGGTTAACATTGACAAATCTCTCGGAAAACTGGAAATTACTAGTGGCCACTTAAAGGATCACTAATACCAAGACTTCTTTATCTCAAAGAAGAGTTCTTGGTGCAATGGTCTATTAGTTTTAACCCTGCAATGTAAACCGATGCCGTTCAGTAGATAAAGCAATGCATACATTGCAGGTTTAAATAGACCTCTAGTGACTGCTTTCTTGATTCTATAATGTTAGGAATACAGGTTTGTATTCTTCTTGCTACAGTGTTCCTTTAATGTCCTTACTATTCTCCGTATAGCCATACAGATTACTCCAGTTCACTATGCAGAAGACAGTCATTTCCATTTGGTCTCTTGGAATCGGTTTAAAAATTATGCAGTGAACTCCAGTAATACACTGTCTTGGGACATTATTAAATATTTATGTGAAAGAACTGAGGATCAATACAATGTAAAATAGCCTATGTTTATGCTCTCAACATGGAAATGGGGAGAATTGAAAAAGGAATCTTACATTTTAGGACAAAACTTGACTTAAAAGGAAAGAATTTTCTAATCTTGGTTATTTTTGTCTAAAACCTCACGGTCTACAGTACAGAGCAGGATTTGTGGCTCAAACACGTTATGAAACTCTATACATTCTACGATTTCCCAGTGACAAACTATATACCAGATCTCTTGGACGATTGTGAAAGGCAAATCTCTTGTCTGCTATTCTGGATACAACTGATGGGAAGAACTAAATTAATAATGTACTATATAGTCTGCAGAGAAAATGTTAGCCTGACTGCAGGTACATTTCATTCAAGGTCTTTACCTGATGCTATCCGTTTTCTCTTATTGAAATGTTTAGCCATTAATATGAATTATTACATCTGTTTCAGTTAGTAAACAGTCTTTTGGTTGTGAACCTCCTCTTGTGATTAAGGCCAGCTTACCTTGTCCTCAAACTCACCATTTTTCAGGAATTCCCAACAAACCAACATTTAGTGATTCATTCTGTGTAAGTACAACAGAGCTATATAAAAGAGATGAAATATACAAGGTGGCTCAGACAGGGCTAGTCACTAAAGTGTGAATTGTCTGGGACTCAAAAAATTGATAATTCTGTGACTAACAGATTGTTTAGTTACAGAGGTAACAATATTATACATCACCTGCCCTGTTAAAACATCTCTTATGTGGAACATTATGTATTCATTGGGTTAATAGTACAGCAATTAAACTGCAATTTCTAAGTATTTTGGGAATCAAGGTCCTGTTATTATAAGCATTTTTATAGTGCCAACATATTCCGCATCACTTTATAAATATAGAAAGGGGACATGAAGAGGACCCTGCTTAATGGAACACTATAGGGTCAGGAACACAAACATGTATTCATGACCCTATAGTGTTAAAACCACTAATTAGGTGGCTTGCCTCTTTAGAAAGGGTTAAAACATAACTTATTTCCAGCGCCTTGCAAGTCCACTGGTGCTGCCCCTCCCACCCCCCGATCTGCCTCCTTGGTGACATCATCAGAATTTACCATTTTATCAAATCCAATGCGACTAAAATCGGCAATGAGGCGGGATTGGGGCCAATCAGAACCTCCTCATAGAGATGCATTGAATCAGTTCATCATTATGAGGAAAATTCAGCGTCTCCGCTTAACGGCAGTGCTGCTTACTGTGCAGCACTGACCCAGGAAGGATCTCCAGTGGCATTTGAGGAGTGGTCACTGGAGGTAACCATAGGGTGCAATGTAAACACTGCCTTGTCTCTGAAAAGGCAGTGTTTGCATGAAAAGCCTGAAGGAACATTAAGCTGTAGCTGTTCTGGTGACTATAATGCCCCCTTTAAATAAGATTACATTCTATGAATATTTCAAGTAGGTGGATTATATATAATTTGGTCACAAAAAAGTAATGATACTCCTGTTTGAACAAATGAACAGAGGAATTATATCTTCAATTCCCAAATTCAGTAGACTCTTATCTATTAATGAGTTTGGGGGTTATTTAGGAAGCTCAAGATTTCATGAGTAAAAAGAAAAATTGCTATTTTTTTACTGCAACTCAGAGGAAATTTTCAAAACTCACCATTCTCAAAATTGAACAAAGCCATTGCCAACTAACCTCAAAATAGTCGACACCATCTGACATGGGTTGTTAGTCATGAATGCTCTGTAATGACCATCACAATGAAAACAGAATGTGCGGCTTCCACAGTTTGACAGAAATAACAATAGTAAATAGAATAACTCACTTCAAATGGCAAGGAGTTCATCGGTGCTCGTTTAATTGTTCCAGGTATGTCCTGAAGCTAGGTAAACACTGTACAAACCGCACTCTGCTGATATTCACCAGCCTTCAAGGAAAATCCATTAAAAAGTGATCTTGTAAATACAGGAGCAGGAAAAGAGAGCCGCATATTTGTGAAGAATAAACACACAAAAATAATTACCACAAATCAAAATGAAAGGGGGTGGCGTGGCCGAAATAAGCAGCTTTGCACGTCTACACGGACGATTCCTCCACAGCCAACATGCATGCAGCTGACAGAGCTGAGGAGAAGCAACTAACTCAATAATTGCTTAGGAATTACGGTCTGAATTTGCCCTGGATTAAATACTAAAGTAAAGGTTAGTTGCTGGCCAAACAAGGAACAGGACAAACATAACAGAACTCTATTTTTTTATTTATTTAGATACACACTTGTTTTCAATTGTAACCCATTGCCAACTACGGCTTCTGCAAATCAGTGGACAAAGTTTTTGTTAATTTTTGCTGCAAAATGGAGGTGAATTGGAGTCACTTGTTGTGCCTCGAATAGCCAATTTTGGAGTGTTCAGTTTGTGATAAAAGTTCACATTTCTATACGTTACCTTGAATTCAAAAAATGTCGGTGCCAATTTATTAATAATCAACAGAGTGCCCTGAAGTACAATAGTACATGTGGAAAAAGCATCAAACATGCTCCCAAATTGCCTTTAGTGAATACAGGAATTATGAAAATGTTTGCAACTGAAGGACACATTTGGAACTCATGAATTACATGAAGTACAAAGTCTCTTTTTTGTTTTTAACCTGTGTATTGTGCACTGAGGGTTAAATGCCGTATACTTCCAATAACTGTCTGTTCTTTTAATTTTTTTTATGATAAGGCAATCAAGCTGGTTTTTTTTTCTCGTTACTCTATGTCTAACAACCAGATTAACGGAAAAAGAAGAAAAAAAAAAAAAAAAAATATATATATATATACATATACATACACACACACACATATAAAAGGTTGAAACAAAAAGCACATTTCAATTACTGCCCAGGCCCTCTGTGTTATTTGGAAAGAACCATAATTAATTTCTATTAGATATCTGCATTGGCAAGGTTAGCCATTGCGGTTTAAAAAGGAACTGTCACTTATAAGAACTATAGATTAATCAATAAAACATAAAAAAAGTGTATATGCCCTGTTAACAGATTTTAAACTGGTTCAGCAGTTCCCAAGTTATTTTTAGACAGACTACCAAACAGACATCCTGACACCGAACTGTGATCCGGTATGTGAACCGCACGACTGCCAACAACACACGCAGTTCTACTCACACTATCTGATGTTTGGTGGATGTTAAACTACATATCCCAGAAATCAGTGCTTAACAGAGAGAGAGAGTTACAGGAGCGTTGAACCTTTTTTCAAATGGTTTAACATTGAAGTCAAGTGCCCAGGCACCAGACCAACTTCCTATCTGAGCAGCTGTGATAAGCTTAAAGCATCAGAGTAACACTTAAAGGTAAGAAGGCTCCAGGGAACTCTTGGCACCAGAACTACTTAATGTATATGAAGTGGTTATGGTGCCAGTTTCCCTATAATGTACTTTTAAATTACTGCAATGGTATGTAAATTTAAGTAAACGATAAAAATCAAGACCTGCACCCACATATCTTTGCACTTTAAAGGAACACGTTCACCCCTAAAACAACCTATTATTATTTAAGTTGTTACAGTGGCAGGAGTGTCCTTGTAGGTACCATTTTTCTCAATAGGGGATGCTCTCAGCAGCTGTACGGCAATCCTTTCCTCGTACTGAACAGTGGATTGGAATGGTAGCAAGGAGGCAGGAGCATTGAGCACCAGAGCATGGGGTTAAACCACTGTCAAACGGTCCACCCAGACATCGGATGGGGAAAGGAAGGAGTCAGACAAATACACCCATGGTACAAACACTGCTTTCTAGTCCTTTTAGATTGTTCACTGTTGCACAGATACATTTTGTTTTCATGTGCTTATAGTACCATTTTAAGTTTTACAAAGAAAAACCTTTTTGGTCTTCGGATATATTTCTTCTCATTGTTTTGCCACCCTTAACCACAGTACCATAGAATACCCAGTCTGTGATAATGTGCGGTTGGTAAGGACATTTGAATCCCACAGTGGTACAGTACTCTCTCAGTACAGTAGTACATGGACACATTTAAGGCTAATTTCTTTCTTAGACAATTTTTGTATCTGCCTGAAAGTACATTGTGACCTTTCCTAACAATATCTTGTTCTTTTATTTAAAATTCACCTGGGCTATTTATAATGATACATAAAGGGACTCGCATTCAATATAAAACCCGTACTTAGGAATTTCAATATATACGGTTTTCCTTTCATGAAGTGGGTATCAACTGCTCAAATATTCTGTGATCCCCAATCGTCACTTTTTCAACTACAGCTGATCAGACCAGCTAATAGATCAGTATAAATGACAAGACCTGTTGAGCAGGGATCTTAAACTCCAAATAACCAAGATGTCGCCATACTACAACTCCCACAATTCCCAGGCCATATATTGCACTCAAAGAATTCTGGGGTGCAGTAGGCCATTGACATCTGGGGCATAGAGTTTGAAATCTGTATTTTAAAGGGTTTACATGACCAACTAAAAAAAAAACAAAAAAACACAATAACCAATGTTCTTCCTGAATGATCAGCCATGCTTTCAAAGAAACAACCTTTGTTAAATTAAAAAAAAATAAAAAAACTGTAAAAATTTAAATAAATAAAAATGGCTTACTGTGTACGCTTTTTTTCCCCTTTTAAATAACCCAAATTTTATATGTATATCATAATCTGTATTCCATCTTCTCCTGTTTTGGCCAAGAGCAACGAAAAACGGAGGATCAAAAGGTGTTATTTTGAAGTGTTACCTGGAACAGGCACCGGTCTAAATGTTCCTGTTTAGATAACTTTTCTGCTCTAGTGATAGAAGTGCCTGGTGGAGTTGCACATGACCAATCCGCTCTTCCCATGCTCCTTTGTGCTGTTCAAGAAAAGGTTCTATACCTAAAAAGTGCCTAGACATAAAACTGAATTTAAAAAAACAACAACAAAAAAAAACAAACAACATGTTGAGAAAATCTTACAGAATGATAATGTGTGGCAGGCAGATCTATTGCTTTAAAAAGACAAGTTTACATTTAAGATCTTTCTTTACGTTGCTATACGTGAAATCTCCTATCACCAACTTTCAATGTGTGACCCATTTCCTTGTATGGTCTGATAAACAAACCTATGACCAAACATTTGTTTTTATTGGCTGAGCATAAATTTTTTTATTATATTCCCTCGAAAACACTATTTGGAAAAGTGACCAAAGAAAGACCAGTAATAGAAACAGTGCCTCGGCACCATGACTGTGGTACTCACAACTCTTTATAAGACCCTAAACTGGTATGGACAAAAAACCTCAATGAATATTTTATTACAATTTTGAAATATCAACATGAAATCTTTAGAATTCCTGACACTCCATTAAAAAGTCGGGCAATACTGCTAAAGAAAATCTTACAGAATGCAAGTTGACAAATGGTTTGTCACATTCGAGTAAGATGATATACCATTTCTAAAGTTTCCTCAAAGGGCATCACACTTACGCAAAAATATCCATTTTAAGATGAAAATTGTGTTTTCTTTACTGTTCACAATTGAGAAACAAAATACAATAAGGCAATTTAATGCTGGAATGATTTCACACACATAAAATCCAACGGACAAATTAAAACGATGTTATGTCTGGCAAAAAAAAAAAAGCTGTAATTTGGGCTTACACCTGCGTAATACGGATTTTCATTTATTTCCAAAAGTTATTTGTAGCTTTTAAAGTATGGCTTATAGCCCCAGTTCACATCCTTCCATACAAGAGAGACAACGTGTGGAGAAACTATGAATATTGCACATCACTAAACAATTCTCAAGAGAAGGGGTACGAAGACAAAAAAACATTGAATGTATCATTCCACTGAGACACTTGTATTTCCACAGCACTATGAAGTTGGTGTTTAGGTCCGGGTTTAAAATGCTCTGTCATAGAAATGTCCATTGTGTCAATAAGAAAAACACTGTAAAAGTACCACTGTTCCGCCTGACACAGCCACTTAAATGAAACGGAAAGGATCGAAAATATTCAAAATGAAAAATTTGTATAAAAGGTGGATGTGCGTGCTCGAATACCATAACATGATATGGGCACCGGGCCAAATCCCAGAATCTAAAGCTGTGTCATGTACTTAAAATGCATCCAGAGGAAGCACACATCAGAAGCTGATGGAGCTGTTATCCTGATGAAATACTGTGGTAAAACCCTAAATTCCTTGCGTCATTCTATGGATAATTTCAAATTACAGAGAGCTACTAAATAACTGGAAAAAATAAATCACACAAAGCAATTATCATTAATGACGGCTTGTGTTAAACAGTCACGTTTTACAGAAGTTGATGGGTACAGAGAAATGCACGCTTCTTTAGCTCTAGACATGCTGCAAGTATTCATTATTACCAGGATGTCAATCATAAAATAAGGTCTAAAACAAAGAAATGTCCAGAAAAGACAAAGTAACTCACTGTAAATGTAAAGCTGCCTATAGGTTGTCTCTAGCCATTGCACCAAATGCATGTGATTTTCTCTTCACTATATCAAAAAGAACAGTAACGTACAAAAGAATGGGTAGGATTGTGGAGGTCCAGTAATAAATCACTGTGTGCAGGACCGTACCGGATCTAGTACTAAATAGCTGTACAAAGCCATATCAATAATGTCACATACATTTGGGGCAAGGATTTGCCCAGAGGATCACTTCACTTATGTCCGCTCTATATGGATTTACCAGAGAGGTAGTTTTTACCTAGCTGGTAGTAACGATATATATTTTGGTCCACAATTTTAGAATTATTACATGATTGTAGCAGATTTGTTTTTTAAAACAAGTAAAACATTTGGAGGGAAAACATTAAATCCACATTTAAATGACTATGTTGTTTCATCTGTACTTTATGATGTTAGAGCTTTCTAAACATTAACGGTGAAGGTCATCACTGTGTCCTATCTGTCGCATGGTTGGCTTTGGTTGATTTACAGCCCAGGCTATTCTCAACTAATACAAGAAATAATCACCCTACAGGCAGCTAAAACAGCAAGACAGGCGTTTAAAAAATATGTACAAAATTGAAAGTCTGGCTGCCACAGTACAGCAAAAACAATTAAAAACCAACCCACTAGGAACCATCATTTTTCACTACACAATATATAATGCAAGTTTCAAGACACTGGGATTTCCATTAAGACGTCCTCAGATCGACAGATCTTTCCTGTTTAATTAAAAGTTCTGAAACACATTGGCACTTTGTCCATTTTTTCCTTTTTTAATTTTAAATTTTATTTTATTTCAGTGTTGATGTCCTATCGATAAGACCAGTGGTATTAAACAGCCAAAAACCAAAGCGGCCACCTCCAAACGACTCAGTCCCTTTGCAGCACCACCTTCTGGTTTGTGACTGTGTCCCATGCCCCCCACCTCAGGGAGAACGTGGACTGTGGCCACGTAAAGGAACGTCCCAGCAGAGAAGAGCATTGCGACTCCTGTGGCATTTACTTCAGAGAGGGCCTCTTTACTGCTCTGTAGAAAGACAATGAGATATGGCACAGAGTTTAAATTACAAGCTCGTATGTCCTTAAAAACAGTCTATTAGACTGTATCTTAAAAATTCAGTCTAAGCACAATAAGCATTTAGCATTATTGCAGAGCAGATGGTAGAGAGTACCCTGCAACCTCTCAGCTCAGAGAGTGGTTTAGAGCAGCAGCAATTAAAAGACAGCCAGCACCTGCACCTCCAGGCTGACAATATTAATTTTATCAAAATTGAGTGTGGAGGCTCCATGAACAACTTGGACTGAGCTCGCTCTTAACCACGAAGAGAGATCCAAGCTCAAGAGTGGTCAGCGGTTCTGCTAATCGATGCTCATGGCCTGATTGGTGAACCTGAGCTGTGTGTAAAATGACCTAATCCTAGGTGATAAGTGGGACTGCTCTTGGATAATCAACTATTTATCCCATAAAAATGAACACAAGCATTTGCTTTAAATCCTAATATTGAAAGCAGCCAGCCAGACACCTTATATCTTAATGGAACAACCTCTTAGAATCTTTCGAATTGCAAATTGTAAATCTCTCTAGTAGCACTTGGAATTCTGATTTGTTACTGAGAATGCGTGACTAGCCTCACCTTGCTTAGGCCCAGGTATGTAAGCATTGAGAGAACAGGAGCTGCCAAGGCAAACACCAGGAGATGCTTGCGTATCCGATTCCGCTCCAATCCAGCATGCATAAGGAAAGACACCAGACCGAATGCCGCCGGCGCCTGGAAAGAGTCAGAGCAGGAATAAGTCTGTAGCATAGTATACATTACCCAACACATAATTCTGCACTCAGGCTTGCCAAAATATCATTTATCTAACACTGCACACAAAAAGGATGGAGCCATACACATACATGCCTTTGTGCTTAAATGCAAACACAGGAAATAAGGAATGTAGTCGGGATGAGGACCTCATACCTTGTGCAACATGATGGCCACAAACACAATAATCTGAACACTAGTCTGAGACGTAGAAGCAGCAGCTCCCAGGGCAACACCGTCGGCTATAATAAAAGAGAAATACATACAAAGATTTTATCTAAAGATAATGTCAAAACACATGAAACATGACTAAAGAACAGATTAGAAAGGAAGGGATCACTAATAGAATGCACATGACACTATGTCAGGAATTGCTAACATGGCAATTACTACCCCATTCTATTTTTTCTGGCTAACACAACAGTGGATTGTGAGATACCATCATGCACGGGGGAAGGTAAGGAAAAATTAAAATCATTGTACATGTTATGGTTACAGAGCCAGATCAGCAATCTATAATGGAATGACACAGAACAAAATGTAGCAAAGTAAAATAGTGCAAAAAAGCCTCTAATTAGTTAACTTGCAAGTAAAATACAAGTCACACATTCTTCTGCTTGTTCTGCAGACTCTGAAAGTAAGCATGCTGCATTTTTGTAGGTGATGTGCAAATTTAGCCCATGTTATATAACCATTACGCTATGCATGTATGTTGACAGATGTTTTGAACACAGTCCTGTATGAAAGGGTCATGTGACCTACTCTCTGGTCAGAAACACAAATCTCCTGCTTACCCTAGTTATGGTTGTTGCAAAATGTCATTTATACCGGTCAGCAGAGTCTAAACTGAGCTTTCACCAAGATGATATTAACAGTACCGATTCTAATTGCAACCAAAGCCAGAAGGCACTAAAGCAGCACGGAAACATTTTTTTTATTTTTTATTTTTAGCTCTCTTTTCGGGCCTTGTATTTTAATGATTAGGCTCCATTCTTTGCCACTTGCCTTTAATATTTATTATCTTTTTTTCCTTGCACTGGATCTTAATACTTGGACGCCTCCATTTTGTTCTCCTCTGTCCATGAAGTCTGCACTTTGCCCTTCTGTGGGATTCTTTTAACTGATGGATTGTGGGTAAATTAGCTTAGCATCTGAAATGGAACTTTGCTCAAGTTCCGCTCATTGCCAAAAATCATGCATGCCTTGAGAAAAAGTAGTCCCTACTTTTTCTTATATAGAAATAAACTAAGGTGAATTACAAAAATTAAAAACAAAGAGAAATAGGGGGACAAAAAAAAAGGATTACTACAAAAGCAAAATCTGCAAAGTGACAGAGCTACTGTAATACAAGATAGTCTGTCCTTACAGCAGAGCAGTGTATTCAAGTTTAGACCTCATTAATAATTGCTGGGGTTTTTTTAAACAAATTTTCATATCCAACATTTACCACATTTTCTCTTAAAAAAATGAGGTCACTGGTAGATGCTGAGGTTACAGCACCTTCATTGATATTTACAGTAAAAATTTATCTACCCAGACATTCGAATCTTTCTTGTAATTTGTTTGGATGGGAACCTTTAGCTTCAAGACTTTGACAGTAGGGCTTTCTGTTAGATCTTTAACATAAGTTTAGAGGTCTTTGAATGACAAGAAGGATTCTATGTTTTCGATCTTGATCGGTCTGTTACGGAGTATGAGGGGATAGATTGGGGTACAAAGCCCTGGAACAGTAAGAGTCTATCTTCTGCAGTTACATTCCCAACATGCCTGGGTCATATCATTGTTGTCTCTTGTTCATTAAACATAGTACCATGTACTTTGTGCTTAATCATTACTTTTTTCTTTTTTTTTTTTACAATGTTAACAGCATTTCTGTAAATTTAGTGGTATGTTATATGCTCATATATTTTTCTCATAGTTTCACCACTTTTGTTTTACAATAAAACTTTATTTAATAAAGATTGTTACACATGTTTACAGTGGGGGGAAACAGACTTTGCTTTGCGGTCTGATCTGGCAGCTTATATTCTCAATACTGATTTTATTAGAAAGTCAACATTAATTAAAATAAACACAAACCTGCAGCGTGGACCACAAGACCGAGGGTCGTAGTGATCTTAGAACTGGCGGCTCTTGCTGCCTCTGGATCTGAAACACAGAGCAGCAACGAAATGTTAAAAAAAAAAAAAAAACAACAACAAAAAAAAAACCCCCTTACATTCAGCTCCCGGGTTCCTTAAAACCCCACCGATCTTTACTTACCATCCGCAGAGTGCATGTGAGAGCTGCCAATCTGATCTACCAGTAGCATGAAGACAAAGCCAAGTACCAACGAGACTCCGATATAAGCATGCAACTGAGAGTGGTCATGCTCATGTGCAGTGGCAATTTCAGGTCCTGTTTCCACTTCTTTTACCTTCTGAATCTCCCCATCTCATGATGCTTTGCTAAGAAATAGAGCAGACCACAAATTTTCATAGAAGTACTGAAGAATTTCATAATATAAGGAACAAATAAATATAAAATTAAAAATTAAACTAAAATATTAAAGGGTTACTCCAGCGTCCATGACCACGTCTGTTTTTAGAAGCTGTCATGGAGGAAGGAATCTGTATGTGCAGTGACATAGGGGCTAGTTACACTCCTGATACCCGTGACGTAGACTGCCCGGAACTCTGTTCAGGAACATTTTCCCAATACTTGTGTGCAAAAAAAAAATATATATAATAGATAGATATATATATATATTATATCTGTGGTCAGCGTGCACTGGAGACAGACATTGTGAGCTTCCACTATTGCAGGCAGCACCTGCAAGAAGCGTCTACCTTCCCTACCACCTTTATTTCTTCACATTTGCCCATTTTTGTTTTTTTCTAATCCCCTCCTTTGCTCTTTCCCTCCCAACTCAGAGCACACGCATTTACTCTTAGTGAGAACAGTCCAACCAAATACTGCTCTATGAGAAGTATTTTATTGGGACGGAGAGGGACGTGGTGTGCAGCCTAGTATATAGAGAAGGTTTAACTTTATTTTGCAGAGTTTTCTAAAGTAATAAAGGGGGGGGGGGGAGAGACCTATTAACTAATGGCCTGTAGAGAAACATATACTGCAATGTAAAGAAAAAAGACAAAAGAAAAAGGGTTGGAATAAGCCTTTAAAGTAAATAAAGGAAAACAGTAATTATTTACAGTCAAATATCAATCTTCATTGTGGTGCAATACTGTGTGTAATGGTAAACACTGGAGTTTGGAACATGGAAGAGGATAAATAGAAACAAGGAAGGAACTCTGCAACGTGAATGGTTTACTTTTATCCAACTTCGCTTTTACATGAACTATGGTGGACTCTTCCTTTCACACAATCAATTTACTATCTTATGTTCTTTAACATGATTGCATCAACATTTTAAGAAAATTTACAATGAAATGAATTATTAATGTACGTTTTTTGTATTGTACTGATTTTTAATGAATCATTGTCACTTGGGACAGAACGTTAGTTTTGCTTTTGGAAAAGACGAATGTAATCTCCATCAGTTTTGTGCATTTATATAGAAAATACAATGAAATCAGACCAACCTTCAAGTATTTCTTCATAGAGAGAGTGAACACCTTCTGGTATGATGACAGCTAGCGCTGTACCACAGAGAAGGCCAGCACCGAGAACAGTCACAAGTTTTAAGCGTTCCTACACATAAATAAATAAATGGTACTAGTTTTAACAGCATTGCTAATATCAAAAGTAAACAAAAATCTGAGCGCCAGGCATCACCAAAACACCCAGGATACTTAAAGGAACACATCAGGATGGAAATGACAATTGAAATGCATTATATAATGTATATAAAAATAAAATTAATAATTGACAAAACAGATTTGTGATTCACACTGTATTTTAAATTGGTGACATAAAAGCATAGGTAAATTTCATTCATATCCCTACTCATGCCCAGTCATTTTTTACAGGTGCGTTCTTCCTGGAAACTCAGGAGTGTAACACAGAATAGCTTCCCAAAGCAAATAAGAACAGCGAGCGGGAAGGACACCAATTGAATCTAAACACCTGGACAAGCATTGTGAGTGTACCTATAGGAACGGCAGGAAGATGACAACACCCACGGATCCACCAATTATTTTAGGGGTTATCCCTATATATAGTGACTCAGAAAGTGGGGTAATTAGATGACCCATTGTTACTTTTATTGCTGGATTATCATTGGTCCCTGAGGAAGTTCCCGTGGTGGAATGAAACGCATAGGACCTGTATTCCTTTTTATACCATCTGCTGGTGGTTTATACCCACTTTTTTATAAATACATTTCTAATTTCTTACCTCATTTTCACCTTTGGAGTCCTGATTTTCCATCTCATAAATTGGAGTGGACGTGAGAACATCTAGCCACCCATTTTCATCGGGGAGGCACCCTTGAGCGCTTTTAAAGTCTCAATCTTGTGAGTGTACACCATTTTGGAGCATTATATACACACTGACTGTATTACACAATATATGTTTTTATGTACCTTATTTTAGATTAAATTCAGCCGTATCCCATATCTCCGCAGTTTTTTCCATATATTGTGTAAAGGTCGTTTATGGGTTAACGACCTTGAGAGGCTGCTTATTTTGATTCATAGATAAGTATATTTCATACTTATATTAACACACTGGTAGTTTTTTGGTGTTGTATTTGGCTGTCCAAATAAGAACAGCGACAGGCAGACAGATCATTTCCTGTCTTCACGGTTGTCTTCTAAACTGCAGTTCAGCTCACTGACCAGTGCTGTCAGTGGCTGAGCGGCACAAGTATGAGAGGAGAAGTCATAAATGAAGTTCACCAACATTTAATGAGACGTGCTAGGCACCATTATCCCTTAAATTGACAAAATAGGACCAACAAAAAGTTGATATGTCCCCACTGCCAGGGATCAATGCCTGCAAGTCTAAAGACTGCGCCTTTCTTTCTTGACGATTGGTGGGCAAGGAAGCACTCAGCATAAATAACACACACACAATTTGTACTTGCAAGCTCCCCTCCTGGGATGCAACAACTGCAAATCTCTCCACGTCAGCTCGGTATGTGTGCTAAAAGCTAGAGGTGGAACAACTAGCCCTTTGATAGACAAGTTTTTAAGCAGATCTACAAGTTTTGCATTTAAGGAGTCTATTTTGCAGGTTTGAAAGAACAGTAGTGCCCTGACACCATAACCACTAACAAACAGTTGTGCCTACAATATTTCCCTTTAAACAGTAACTACATAAAGTCAGCCCATTCTGCTTGCCTAGGTATTGCTGAACCTTAAAATTTAGGACGTGATTTGTATGTGTACCTTCCCATACACTGCTAAATGACAGAGGAAAATTCTATTATCTCAGGAGACTTACTTCAGAAAGCACACTATTTCATTCTTATGCTTAAAGTGCAGGTACGTGTCCTTTGGCAAGGACGACGGGAAAAATAAAAAAATTTAAAAAAAACTGCTTCATGGCTCAGTACCCAAAGCTATCATTTTAACACAAATTACAGCTAAGAAGAAAAAAAATCAGTGCCTGGAAGATTTAAATGGACAATGGAAACTTTGTTCATGATTCCAGTAATTGTATCTTTCTTTCTATCATCCAGTACAGCAGTGGCTGATGGGTAGTCGTCCCACTTAAAAAAGGATAACAGAGTTTAAAGTGATTCTGTCACGACGGACTAAAGGTAGCAATAATAAAGTACATAAATGTATAGGTTTTAATTAAAAAAGGAGTTTAAAATGGAGTCTCTCCCAATCAATTAATTCTTGACATAGAGGTCTAGGTTGAAAACTGAGTGACAGGGGAGAGAATGAGAACACTACTAGAGGCGGTTCTCCTGCTCACAGCACTATACCTATAGCAAGTGGGCCTTGTGCTTGCTCAGAGAATATATGAAGAGTGATAATTATCTCTCCATTCTAACGCTAGTAGACGTGTTCCTAAGCAACGCCAGCTGAGTTATATCAGGGCAGGAGCAAGGTAGGAGCAGACATTAGATGTTACATGGCTGTGCATATACCAGCTAAACATTTGAGTGCAGATCCACCGAAGGGCAGGCTATATCTCTCATTCATTTTGGATCAATTCTGGCCTTTTGGGTGGGATCAGTCTAATATGTCCTGGCACAAGATGAGCTAAAACCAGATTGAGATCTGAGCGGGGACCCACCGAAGGGCAACTACTTTCAATGATTCTATGGTATTTTTTTAGGTTACTTTAAGTAATTCTGGTGGGTTGTTACTCAGGGTGGATAAAAATAAGTTTTAATAAAATGATTTTGGATGTAAAAACGGTCTACAGATAGTTTTCTATTGAAGATACATTATTGTCCAAATGTCATTAAAAGGACCACTCTAGGCACCCAGACCACTTCAGCTTAATGAAGTGGTCTGGGTGCCAGGTCCCTCTAGGGTTAACCCATTTTTTCATAAACATAGCAGTTTCAGAGAAACTGCTATGTTTATGAATGGGTTAAGCCTTCCCCTATTTCGCTTGCGTGCTTCTCACTGTGATAGCACTCAAGCGTCCATAGGAAAGCATTATGAATGCTTTCCTATGTGACCGGCTGAATGCACGCGCAGCTCTTGCCGCGCGTGCGCATTCAGCCGATGGGGAGGAGAGAAGGAGGAGGAGAGCTCCCCGCCCGGCGCTGGAAAAAGGTAAGTTTTACCCCTTTTCCCCTTTCCAGAGCCGGGCGGGAGGGGGTCCCTGAGGGTGGGGGCACCCTCAGGGCACTATAGTGCCAGGAAAACGAGTATGTTTTCCTGGCACTATAGTGGTCCTTTAAGCAGGGGTTAGTTATGTAGCACAAGGCTGTATATATATATCCAAGTTAATTACACTGAGTGTCTAAAAAAAAAACATGCACTTTTTAACAGCCAACATGTTTTCAAATAAAGTACAAAAAAATACCTTACTCCCTTTACTATTCCGCAAATATATGTACACACAAAGAACACCAATGTCAATCACAATAATCACTTCAGGACCCATTTAGGTGATTACTGGTTGGTACTGATAAAACAAATATAAAACCTTTCTAGTTTTACAGGGATCCAATTGGCAAAGCGCAAATAAGAAAACGTATACCGGATCTTAGAGTTGCCGAACCGGCATTGCAAGCCTAACTAGCAAGGACAGAGAATAGTCAGGGGCGAGCCGAGGTCAGGGAATCCAGAAAACAGGAAAAGCGATAATCACAAGCAGAGTCAAAGGGAAGGAGAACACAGAGTAGTCAAAGCAGAGCCAAAGTCAAATAACAAATATATATCAAACCAGAAAACGCACTAGAGGGAACAAAGTAACTTGAACCACAACAGGGCAATGATGATGACAGCGCTGATCAACTTGTAGGCAGCAACCCTTAAAGGGGAATCCCTCAAAATACCCTTAAAACAAGATAGATAAAAGGAACAGATAGAAAAGGCTGCGATACATAAAATATAATAAAAAGGATGAAGTCCACATAAAAGTCCAACTTGTGTGTCCTTACGGATAGTCTTTCTGGGAGGCTGGTACAATGGTAGATTCTTCAAATAAAATAGTGGGTCCTCTTATATAAAAGAAAGAAGAGAGGGACAACCAATAGTGCAATATGTTTAACTCAAATTTAGACGTAGTAAGAGATAATGATTGAAAACTCACATTTACAAGAGCTTATATCCAGCTCTGGGGTAAAGCGCACACAGCGGTATAATCCCCACTTATGGGATATATGGTGGATATCTCTTAGTCAGTGGTGACCAATTCTCGAGAAGAAGAAACAACCAATAGTGCTCACTGTAAAATGTACTTACAAATAGAGAGCAGGCAGACTGCTCTATGATGTCAGCATAAGTGGATTAATCCCCACTTAGGATTTCTTGGGGTGCAGGAATCTTCCAATTAGTTGATAAAACCAAAATTGGTTAAAATAATAAATTAATTTTAAAAAAAGCCAGGGTAAAAATAATAAAAAAAAGTTGTGTGTAAAAAGGGATAATTGGCACAAGCAAATAACCAAATTAACTTTTAATACAATAATACACAGTATAAAATATCCATAACGCGTTTCGTCAAAAAAAAGACTTTTTCAAATGGAAAACTGCTAGGTTTACAAATGGGTTAATCCAGCCTCTAGTGGCTGTCTCATTGACAGCCGCTAGAGGCACTTCCGCGCTTCTCACTGTGATTTTCACAGTGAGAAGACACCAGCGTCCAGAGGAAAGCATTGAGAATGCTTTCCTATGGACTGGCTGAATGCACGCACGGCTCGTGCCACGCATGCGCGTTCAGCAGATGACGGGGAAAGGAGGAGGAGAGTCCCCAGCGTCGAGGGAGCCCAGTGCTGGAGAAAGGTAAGTGATTAACCCCTTCCTCCCCCTAGAACCTGGCAGGAGGGGGGCCTTTTGGGTGAGGGAGACCCTATAGAGCCAGGAAAACGCGTATGTTTTCCTGGCACTATAGTGGTCCTTTAACATGAAGAGTGGATGGGACTTCCAGAAGTATATGGTAAGTCATGGAATTTGAACCTCTAGGGTAGCTGGATAAATAGGGTGAGCTTGTACAGGTCTCATGTATTGTTTTTCTACAACCAGGAAGGGTTTAATGTGGAGCCATTCTTTTCGAAAATGTTTTTTTCCCAGAGTAGCACTTACAGGGTTTTACACAAAGGGAGAATTCAAGGTGAATTTCAAATTTAAGATGAAAATAGCTGAAATTGGAGACATTATCCAATTCAGTTAGCCTTCCAAATTAGCTACTTTTGCCTTAAATTTAATTGGACCAACTCCCAAGGCTGTGAGACAATAGACTTCTCCTGCCTGGCAATATCTATTTTCTTCAAAGTTTGCCTCTGTTCTAAGTACACAGAATGTGCTAATCTCAGTCACCTAAAACAAGCTGCCCATGGCTGAGTGAATAATACAAAGCTCCTACCCTCCTCCTCTAACTTCCCAATAATTAAAAATGTAACTTAAATTCTGCCCTACCTAGGAATAGAGAAAAGTATTATACTCCTTACATCATAACTTTAGATCTTCAGTTATAATACACATTCTGCAGGGAGACAGAGACCTTACACCACAACCGTATAGCTGCAGTTACAATATACTATGTGCAAACAGAAAGGGACAGGGGACTTCATAAACCATAATGTTACAGCTGTAGTCCTAATAAATTGTTTACGGGGAAAAAAGGACCTCCTTACACCATTTGCAATGGCTACAAAACAAGTTCAATAAGATGCAGTAATTTTGCAGCTTAGTGTGTCCCTTTAAATATCATTGTGTAAAGCCATGCTCATTGTTGTTGTCACACTCTAGATTATCTACAGACCCAAAACCTATGAAAGGGGGTGGGGGTGGGCTCAGCTATCCCCCACTCCCCTTCCAGTGTATATTGGATTTTTTCTGAACGTACACTTGGACCAAACAATTTATATTGTACATTTTTATTTTAGCTATTGATTTAGAGCAAATTCTAGTTAGCACAAGTTTTCTTATCACTGATACCATCAAAAACAAGTTTGGAGTCAACCACAGATGGAAGGCAGCAGTGATTCCGATATTGAAATATCAATGACGAAAGTAGTGATTCTGGTCCTGACCATGCATCACCTCTGCACATTTATCTACTCCCCCACCTATTTCTGCATTGTACAACATGATTCCAGGCCACAACATTTCCCACTTTGTTATACCTGCCATAAAGCACAGACTATAGGCAAGAACATGTTGTGCTTTTATCAGAAGAAGCAATGACACTGTTCCTTTATGAAATACAAATAAGGTGCATCATGTCATCTTAAACTGTCAAATGGCTGTATGTGTATACACTAGTGCAGGTCAAACAATTAAAGGGACACTATAGACACCCAGATCCCTTCAACTCATTAAAGTGGTCTGCATGCAGTGTCCCTGTCACCTTAACCCTGCAGTTTTAGAGAAACTGCAACATTTACATTGCATGGTTAAGACTGCAGTTTCATGGAGGACTGCATATGAGGACTTCCTGCGTCTTCCAAATCTCCATAGAAAAGAATTGATTATTAGGTTCCTCAGTGCTGGAATAAGGTAAGTGTTTATCCGGTTATTTAACCCTTTCATTATCACAATGTGTGATGGGGGGGCATCCTCCTCTAGGAGATTTCTCTTGCTCTCCAATGTCCTTCAACTGGTAACATACACCTCTGCGCTGTCAATTGTTCGACAAGTGATGGAGGAATTATATTTTTTTTCTAATCATCTATAGATTTGCTAGCATTTTTGCCAGCTGAATTTATATTTTCTCTAAATATCTGCTTCATGCTTGAAATTTTGGACTATGTAATAAGATATGAAACAGGAACAATTGCTTACCTCTGAAAAATTAATTGCAAGTGGAATGATTCCAGACACGTAGCAGCCAATCAGCATGGCCAGGGAAAGAAGGCTAATGGAGCTGAAATCGTCCATGGTAACCTTGTCTTAGAAGACTTGACCTTTTGAGGAGACATAAGGGACATGCAATATATTATATCAAAAGAACCATGCACCTAATATTTGGTATTTTAGCATAGTTTATTAACTAGGTAAATAAATAATATAGAGTTTGGATCTTCATACATACCAAACAGTAAACCATATTTTATTCACACAGCACCAATCTTTCAAGCTCTTAATGCAGTGAGCATAAGGTAAAACGTAAACAAAAACAAACCAAACTGGTAAAACTATCACTAAGATTTACTAGACAAAAGGAGAAAGGTTAATAGTCGATAGTTATTTACTAGCCTACCAAATACTAGACTTTGGGGAAGGGGACATTAATATATTTTTTAGTTGTCTGTATAGGCACAAAGATAGGCACTTTAGCTTATATAAGTGGTCTGGGTGCAGTGTCCTTGTCCTCTTAACCTTGCAATGAAAAAAAAATAATTAAAAACTTCAGTTTTAGATAAACTGCAATGTTTATTTGGAGAGTTAAGATTGTGTCTGGTATCTGTCTTCTAGCAGTTTCAAAGATTTTTAAATCAGTGAAACCATGCTGAACGTCTTAAATAGTTTCAAATTAGAGGGACAAAGGTTTAAAAATAATATCAGGAAGTATTACTTTACTGAGAGAGTAGTGGATGCATGGAATAGCCTTCCACCTGAAGTGGTAGAGGTTAACACAGTAAAGGAGTTTAAGCATGCAAGGGATAGGCATAAGGCTATCCTAACTATAAGATAAGGCTAGGGACTAATGAAAGTATTTAGAAAATTGGGCAGACTAGATGGGCCGAATGGTTCTTATCTGCCGTCACATTCTATGTTTAACGTCCTCACACTTTTCATGAGGATGTCCAGCATGTTGGAAAACCCCATAGGAAAACATTGATACATTTAAAGGTTCTTTAGGTTCTTGAACTGCCGTGATGTCGATGAGGCAAAGTCTGACCCAGCTCAGATGGACATTAGCACTGGAGTCAGGTAAGTGAAAAAATACCTTTATACTTTAGAGATATACCAAGAAATTACCCGAGATGAGGCTCTTTCCTGGCATATCACGTAGCAGCTGTTACCATAGGTTATAACTATCAATTCAGACAAGGCCAGGACCGTCATGAGATTAGGAGCTCCACACTGCACAGTGTCTATGACAGTGTGCATTATGTCTTTAAAGCATGACCTGTCACCAGCTGTTCTCGAATCCCATACTTTACAATCCGCCAAAATAACAAGCAAATCATGCATTATCTAATTATGTAGATAACGCCTATTACAATAACAGTGTTGTGTGCCATGTAAGTGGAAGGTAAACATAACTCATAAACACTTAAAAAATTAGATTTCAAAAAATGTAATTTCTTTTTTTTTTTTTTATTGCAAGTAACAAAAATGTATTTTCCTTAATAAAAATGTAAACATGGAAAAATAAACAAAAAATAAGAAGACTAATTACAACAGATGTCACACTGCACTATATAGTGGTTATAGTGATAGGACAAATGGTCAAACGGTTTCCATTTTCACAATTTACCCCAGGTCCACCCTGTGCTGTTCACCTCCTTCAGGAGAGTTGGAAGTGTTCCGCACTGACCTAGCTTGGCAATGTATGATTTATCCCACAGGAGCTAACAGAAACCCCATGCTAAAACATCTGGTTCTCCTGGAGGCTGCAGACCACAGGTAACTTGTCCAACTGTTTGACTACTTATACATGGTAGGGTGCCTGAGCAACTTAAACCAGCTTAACTATTTACCTGCCTATTCTACAGTTCAGTTACAGCTGAGAGCTCTGTTCATGGAGTTTTAAGCCTGACAGTGCAGGTTTAGTTCTTCTCGGACCGCAGGTAAAAAGTTAAATTGTTCTAAAACTGTCACTATGTACAAGGAGGGACCACCAGGGAACTCTAGGCACCTGGATTCTAGAGATGACCCAATATTTTAATGGATTAAAAATATATGCAAACACAAATCAAAATAAAATTGCATTATGCCTTTCAGGTTATATAGCTTTAGTCAACCACTCATCCAAATTAAATTATTTTCCGTATCCCATGCCTTCATATAATCCGATTTATCCAAAGACCTAAATGTTATGGAAAAAAATAAACAAAAAATAATGATATAGATTGCGTTCTACCTGTGTCCTAAAGGCAAATTTATTTTTTCCAAACTGTAATATTTTTAGACGAGTGCACTTACGATCTAACTCAGGGACTTCCAAAATGTTTTTTAAAGTCTATTAACCATAATTAAACTATTTTAAAGAAAAAAAAAAAAAGAAAAAAAAATTAATATATATATATATATAAAATTAATAATAATAATAATCTGAAATTTTAACATTTTTTGCACTGGGACAAAGCAGAGATCTTGAGAATTGCAGTTCAATTGTCAACTTTCTGCTGTACAAAAGCTACTGCTGAACTACATCATGACCAGCAAAGATAAAAAAGGAAACACTGCAGAATGTTAGAGAGAGGGGACAGAAAGGGAGGGCTGATGGTGCAAGAATTATTAACCTCCAACAATTATATCAAAATATAAACTTCAAACACAATGAACAATAAAACCCTCATACATGGGAGCAGAGTGGGTCTCTCTCTAAATAATCTCAGTGGAGTGAGGACCTGTTTGTGACAGAGCAGTAACAGTGGACTACCCCTCCTACCACGCTCAGCCACACACCCCACAACCCCACCCCCACCCCCACCATGGCTGCCTGAGGGTCCTAGGAGTGGTAGTCCAGGTGAATAGTTACTGTCATGGCGTCCTGCCCACTTCATACCAGGCTGTCCAGTCACGGCCGGTGGATTGAGGGAGGACACCTCTCTCTCTGGTCCGCTGGTCCGCTGGGCTGATGGGGAGCTGTCAGGCCTTCAGCAAGTGTTCCACGTCCCAGCGGCCATCTTGGTTCTCCCCCTCCTGGTGTAAAGCTGGTGCCATGGTGTCACAGCGCCGACTGCTTCCGGGGTCACCGGGCTGGTGACGTCACAGGGAGGCCTCTTAGAATGCACACAGAGTAAACAGTGCAGACAATACAAAGCACCCAGTGTCACAACATGGTACATGACACAGCACAGGCAGAGAATTAATGTCTGAGCTGGAAACATTGTATACAACAACCATTTTACAGCTTCACTAACTAGTGGTGGTGTTTTTTGTTTTTTTTAATTTAGTGCAATAAAACCCTTAAAATCACTGTTGTGGGATTATTCACTGAGGAGTGAATTGTTAGGAGTTACAAGTCCATTTTTAGGTTTTAGGCCACAAGTTGTTAGTAAATAAATCGCTTTACCAAAATACTAAAAATAAACACCTTTTCAGTATATACCCCCAATGAAAACATTCAAGCATTTTTAGTATAAAGTATTTTTTTTTTTAAAAAAGCATTTTTAGTAGATCTAATAACAGCTTGCAAAAGCTGCAGCTCCCATGTCTGTAGACTTTGCAAGCCCTCCCCTTCTAACCCCGCCCAGACTCTCTGTGGCTGTCCAATCACAGACTTCCCAATGGAGCTCAATGGGAAGGCTTTGCAAGGCAGGTGCTCTGACCAATTGGCTGCCTCTTAAGTTTAGCTCCACTGAGCTAAAAAACCAGGAAGTAACAGGACTGGTGGTCTGATTGACAGCCGGTGGGAGGGGGGAGTAACCAGGGAAATATAATAGTGTCAATTTCTGTGGAAAAAAAGGAGAACACACTCCGGATGTTTTATTTCATTTTCACTTACTTATTTCCAGTGCCAAGACTCCCGCGACGTCATCAAGGAGGCATGGTCTCCACCAGCAATGGTCCAATCCAATACTCCTTTATAAGAAGACATAATGCTTTCCTATTGACTTCTGCATCAGATGACCGAGTTTTTGCGCAGTCATTGCAGCGGAAGCAACTCTAGTGGCTGTCATCCTATTTTCACCCTGCAATGTAAACATTGCAGTTTCTCAACAACTTTAATGTTTTACTTTGAGTTAAAAGGACAGAGCCACTGCATTCAGACCACTTTATTGAGATAAGGTGGTCTGTATGACTCTAGTGTCCTTTTAAACTGAATTATTAAATCAAATCGTCTCATAGAGACGATTTGATTGGTGCAGCATTAATTTTGTTGCGCATATGCAGTAGTCTACCAATATTTTCCTGTGGTTAAACATTGGATTAGATGAGATCATCAATCTTGACAAGTGAGACCAGCTCGATGAGAGTGAAAGACTAAAGGCAGGGCTCGAGTCCTGCAGGAAAGCGTGGGAACGGCGTTCCTGCACTTTTTTTACAGCAGGAATGACGTTCCCCCTGCAGGCACTAAACAGGGGACGGCAAAAAATGCCACCCCCAAATGCCCTGTGTTCCCCCTGTCATGGCTGTGGTCACCTGATGGACCCCCGTCCCCCCGGCAGGCGGCTGTCTCCCTGTCACATGCGGCGAGGGAGCTGTGTTCTCTCTGCTCTGCTCCTTCGCGCGCCGTTTGCTGATGCCGTGAGCCGGAATATGACGTCTTTTTCCGGCCCCTGGCATCAGTAGACAGCCCGTGCGGCTAGAAGGAGCAGAACAGAGAGGACACAGCTCCCTCTCGCCGCGTGTGACAAGGAGACAGCCACCTGCCTCACTGCAGCCCCACTGGACCCCAGGGACCCATCCATGCCAGCTTTCCCAAAAGGTAGGGAGGCTGGCTGGATGGGAAATGTTAATTTTAATAATAATAATAATTTGTGTATATGTCTGTTTGTGTATGTGTGTGTGTATGTATGTATGTATGTGTGTGTGTGTGCGTGTGTATGTCTGTTAGTGTGTATGTATGTGTATGTCTGTTAGTGTATATATATATATGTGTGTGTATGTCTGTTAGTGTTTGTATGTGTATGTCTGTTAGTGTATGTAAGTGTGTGTGTATGTATGTCTGTTAGTGTATGTATGTGTGTGTATGTCAGTTTATGTCTGTTAGTGTATGTGTTTGTGTCAGTGTGTGTGTGTGTGAGTGTATTTACGTCTGTTAGCGTATGTACGTGTGTGTGTATGAGTGTATGTGCTTCTGTTAGTGTATGCACATGTGTGTATGAGTGTATGTGCTTCTGTTAGTGTATGCATGTGTATGTTTGTGTGTATGTGCTTCTGTTAGTGTATGTGAGTGTCTGTCAAATCAGTGAGAGTCTGTTTCTCATTTAGTGTTTGTGTGACTATTAGTGTGTGTCTGTCAGTGTATTTGAGTGTGTCTCTCTTTCAATGAATGAGTGTGTGTCAGTGAATGTGTGTGTGTCAAATCAGTGACGTCTGTGTGTTTGTCATTGAGTGTGTGTGTTACTGTCAGTGTGTATCTGCTAGTGTGTGTCAGTGAATGCGTGTGTGTCTGTCAGAGAGTGTGCTTAAAGGGACACTATAGGCACCCAGATAACTTCAGCTCACTGAAGTGGTCTGGGTGCAGTCCCCTTAAACCTGCAAGTGTAATTACCTTGAGGGGTAACTCCACCTCTAGTGGTTGTCTACCAGACAGCCACTAAAGGGACTTTCGGGTGATTAGGTGATCAAAAGTCGCCTAACTGATGCTGGACGTCCTCACCCTGTGCATGAGGACATCCAGCATCTGCTAAATACCCATAGGATTTTACCCCTTCAGTGTCGAGTGGGGGAGGGGACGACACGAGGGAGGGGGACACTATAGGGAATTATAATGCCAGGAAAACAGCTTTCTTTTCCAGGCACTATAGTATTTCTTCAAAAGGAGCAGAAAAAGGTGGAGTCTAAAGAGGAAGGGGTGGGTTCTTAATCAGGAAGCGGTGCGCCCTTGACAGGAAGGGGTGGTAAATTTAGATTAGGGGGTGCTCAGGTATAGTCATCTTAGGGCAGCACAAAATTAAAATACACCACTGTGTGAGTGTCTGAGTGTATGTGTGTGTCTGTGAGTGTATGTGTGTGTCTGTGAGTGTCTGAGTGTATGTGTGTGTCTGTGAGTGTATGTGTGTGTCTGAGTGTATGTGTGTGTCTGTGAGTGTCTGAGTATATGTGTGTGTCTGTGAGTGTATGTGTGTGTGTGCACGCGTTTATATATGCATATGAGTGTTTTGGGGGGAGGGGTTTTGGGAGGGAGGGGAGGATGATGGGTGAATTCCCACACCTTTTTCCCCAGAACTTGACTCCTGACTAAAGGTAAGCAAATCTCACATTTTCAACCCTCACAGTGAAGGGCAGCTAAATGAACATCAGTAATTATACAAACAGGGGATAAATAATGAAACACACTGATACAAAAGGGGATGAGAACCACAGGCAGCACAGCATGGGTTCGCACTAGGATCAGCAGTGCTCCCTTTATGGTTCTAAAGGCTGGCGATGCCTCCTCTATGGCCCGTCCATCCCATGCCGATTCTTTGGCCACGATTGTTGGGAGTTATGTTTTTGATTGTGTTGGACTTGCAAATAATTCCATATATGTGTAATTTTCATAATATTGATTATACCTTAATGAAAAATTCTAATGGGACAGATCACTAAGTTTAATTTTAGGCTATAAGACACACACAAATAAGCCCTGCACTCAAACTCTCACTAATCTTGGGCAGCAGAAATGGCTATAGTATAACAGCATAAGTCAGCCCAAATATATAATCAAAACAAAAAAAATGAATGCGCACTATCCCTGTACATATATTGAAAACAATATGTTTTTTTTAGTACCACTACTGACAAATCATTAGAACTCAGCACCTTTATTGGCTCCCATAAAAATACAACTATCATAGCTCCCACAAATGTGGCAACATTTAGCAAAGGCCTACATCAAATTCAAGTAAAAAAAAGGTCTAAGCACTGTTTTTAATAACCATTCAGAGTACATTTGATTAATAGGGAGCATATCTAATTAGCCTTTAGGACCCACACACTAGTACAAGCTATCGCATTTTAATTGCTCCGTGCTCTGGTCGTGGCAGGTAATCTAAGAAAAGACAGCATTTAGTTTGGCATTTTAGCTTACGGTTGAGGAGTGTACTTTATATGAACTGCTAATATTAGAGACAGTCCATCAATCAAAAGTGTAAGAGAACGCAGTGAACCTGATGTCAAATGAGCTCCATGGATTGGAGTAGCACATCAGCTTAATTGTCCTAAAGTAGTGTGCAGAACCATAGCACTGTTTAATTACATATAACGTGCAGCAATATTTGGAGAATACAGAAGATGTAAGCTCTGCTGATTTGTGAATTCAGCGTGAAGTTAACCTATACAAATCCAGAGAAGACTATAATGTATTGTAAATAACAAGGTCAAGTTCATAGGTTCTCCCTTTCCAAAGGGAAAGACCACAATAAAAAGGGCTGAGAGTTAGAGCCTGGAGGAATGTCTGGGGAATGGGGATGTCTGTTGCATGTCAGGTCCTACCTAAGTTCCAGAACAGTGGTGTATCTAATGGTCAAAGACCAAACCGATATGTGTGATGAAGAAAAGTTCGAACAAGATGGTTTCTTCAAGGCTCAGGAATCAGAGACTCAGCATTACTGCTGCCAAAATAACAATAAGACTGGAACTTCATACTGGCCATTTAGTTTACAGGCTGAGCCAAGGATGCATATTAGGCCTTCTATTTGGAAGATAGACTTTCGAGACTATAAAGGCAGCCCTGCTCACTGAATTCATTCCAACGTCAAAGCCTTACAAGCACAGGTTTTAGGAATCCTAGCTGTCCTTCATAGAGCCCAACATTAAATCTGGGATCCAAGGGATACCACGATCCCTAGCCATGACAAGAAAGTAGCATGCTACACAAAGCACAGTAGTTATTCAATCTTTACTGTTAATAAAACAATTTGTTAATGATAACGTGTAATGATATTATCAGGGCTCAGAATTTCAGGTCCTATGCTACAAGACACACCTAAAAGTAACTTTGGCATAAAATGTCCATGGCAAACTCACTAAAGTTGAATTTCATTTCACTTGCCAATGGCTAGTAGGCAAGTAGAAAATTTGAGTCCTGATGTTGGAAATCACGTGCAAAATATGTTGTTTTCACTTTTTAAACAAAAATAGTAAGCAGTTTTGCACATTCTCCCTCATTGTTTAGAGGGATATTATAGGCACCCAGATCACTGCATCTCATTGAAGTGGTCTGGGTGCAGTGTCCTTGTGCCCTTAACACACAATGTAAAACATTGCAATTTTAGAGAATCCAGACAGCCACTAGAGGCACTTCCACCGTTCATATGGAGTTTAACTCTGTGAAAAGTCTCAGGACATCCTCACGCTTTGCATGAAGACGCCCAGAGTTTTCAAATTCCCATAGGAAAGTCAGGTGGAGGACTAATATACACGCAGCACTTACCGCAAGTGCGTTGTAGGTAACTCCATCACCGTGACGTTGAGGGCTCTGCGATCAGGTAAGTGAAAGGAAAATGTTTTTAACCCGTGCGTGACCTGGAGGGGGTAGGCCACGTTGGTAGAGGGACACTATAGTGGTATTTTAACGTTATAGTGTTCCTTTAACCCCTTAAGGACAAAACGTCTGGAATAAAAGGGAATCATGACATGTCACACATGTCATGTATCCTTAAGGGGTTAATGTATAAAAAAATCTTTAGCATTTATCTTATTTTGTGATCAAAGGAAAAATCATCAGGAATAATCGGAAAAGGAATAAAAAGATTTGGCGCACTACAGAATGGCAGATAGTAGGGGCAGCTCAATACGTTAAAGGGGCAGAGTGTCAGTTTTATATATAAGAACATGGTGTAATTTGTCGTGATGCAAGGCTGGACGACCACAGAATGTTTCCAAAACACATACTAAGTACGTAAGTAAGTACCTATGTACAATTCAAATGATACACTGCAGGTAGATTTTCAGAATCAAGTAAAATCTGAATTTTATAATGCACTGCTGCACGTTTTTATTTTAATGCATTGATAGCTATGTGACTTCAGTTCTGAAAAAAACATGGTAAATAAGCCAACCATAATTGAGATTGGTTCAGTATACAGAGAGACTGATGGATCGCTTTGCCAGGACTTGTCATGGCTGCCAGGACTTCACTGGGGGGCGGAGGGGCGGGCGTCACTTCCTGTCCTTTGGAAAAAAAAAATCGAGGCTTGCGACATTTCCGCCGGAAAGCGATTTCTAGCACTTCCTGTCTCAGATACGGTAGAGAGTCGCTGTGTGCCCGAAATCTGGAAATGGTGAGCTGCTGATATTCCTGCGATCTGTGTGATAGTAAATATCATTGCTGGGGTAGGGGGAGAGGATGGAGGGCGAGATATTAGATCACAGAGATGGGGGAGCACGTGGGTCTGAGTGTGCTCTCTGCAGGCTCACAATGTGTTACTAATACAATGGTCTGCTGGGCCCTGGGCTATAGTACTCCTAGGAAAACAAACGTGGAGGGACAATAATAATAATCACTTAGCCAATTTATGGACATTGCATGCTTTATCCTTATTAATATTCATGTATGTTTGCAATATACAAAGGGAAATTAACCAAAGGGTATGTAGAAAAGAAAAATAGATTTTTTAATATATGTGTTTTTTTATTTTTTTTTATTTTGTTTGTGTGCGTATGCACATACACCAGCACAAGAGCCTCATGGTATTCGTCTCTTCCTGGTCTGTGAAGACAATTATTCTGCATTCCTGTGCTAGTGCAAAATCTGAACAGATTTTAAGTTAGTGCGTGTGTGTATATATAATATGCACTAACTTAAAATAGAAACATAGAACTCTGTTCACATTTTGCACAGGAATGCAGAATAGTTGTCTTCACAGACCAGGAAGAGACCCTGACTACCGTGAGGCTCTCATTCCGGTCAGTGTTGTCTTATAACATCCCGTCCCTGACGTACAAGGTTATTGGATATCTAGGCCGGCCTCCAGCAGGAGCCCCATTCATTTTATTTCTGATGAGTGAAGCTCCATTCGTTAAATGTATCCTATGTTGTGAAAGCTATGGTAACTTGCTCACTATTAAGACATTTTCATGTGCTCGCCCGTGATTCGTGAGTGAAATGTACAGCGCTGCTGAATCTGATGGCACTATATAAATAAAATAGTAGTAATAAATGTGAGCCCAGGCACTTTCCACTGCATGTGATTGCGCTTGGTGCGCTCAAGAGTATTTCAGTTTATAATGGCAGTCTTATCTGTGCAACCAGAAGAGGGGCTGTAAATCTAGACAGATATCCAGGAACCGATGGATAATATTAGAATGTGACGGCAGATAAGAACCATTCGGCCCATCTAGTCTGCCCAATTTTCTAAATACTTTCATTAGTCCCTGGCCTTATCTTATAGTTAGGATAGCCTTATGCCTATCCCACGCGTGCTTAAACTCCTTTACTGTGTTAACCTCTACCACTTCAGCTGGAAGACTATTCCATGCACCCACTACCCTCTCAGTAAAGTAATACTTCCTGATATTATTTTTAAACCTTTGTCCCTCTAATTTAAGACTATGTCCTCTTGTTGTGGTAGTTTTTCTTCTTCTTTTAAATATAGTCTCTTCCTTCACTGTGTTGATTCCCTTTATATATTTAAATGTTTCTATCATATCCCCCCTGTCTCGTCTTTCCTCCAAGCTATACATGTTAAGATCCTTTAACCTTTCCTGGTAAGTTTTATGGATTGCGGGATAAAACTTACCAGGAAAGGTTAAAGGATCTTAACATGAATAGCTTGGAGGAAAGATGAGACAGGGGGGATATGATAGAAACATTTAAATATATAAAGGGAATCAACACAGTGAAGGGGGAGACTATATTTAAAAGAAGAAGAAAAACTACCACAACAAGAGGACATAGTCTTAAATTAGAGGGACAAAGGTTTAAAAATAATATCAGGAAGTATTACTTTACTGAGAGGGTAGTGGATGCATGGAATAGCCTTCCAGCTGAAGTGGTAGAGGTTAACACAGTAAAGGAGTTTAAGCATGCGTGGGATAGGCATAAGGCTATCCTAACTATAAGATAAGGCTAGGGACTAATGAAAGTATTTAGAAAATTGGGCAGACTAAATGGGCCGAATGGTTCTTATCTGCATATTATGCAAGTCTTAATGTGGTTGCTGTGAATTTATTGACAATCCCAATCTGCTTTGCTGAACGGGACTGCGCTTAGTATTTCTTGGAATGGGCACCTGCATGCAGCACTGCAATCTGCAGATGAGTTGATAGTAAGTTGACCTGCGTGCGCATGCTGTGCAAATACTCGTAGAGAAGTAGATCTTCTTGTTATGAAGTATGGACAAAAAGGGACTGTCTTGTATCAATGCGCCTACAAGGTGCCTTGAATGCTGACTAAGCATCTCATGGACCAACTGCAACAATAAAGGATTGGCCGGGTGTGAGAGGTCTTTGATCTTGGATTGTAATCTTGTTTGGGCAGGGCCCTTTTCACCAACCGTTCCAGTATGTTGATCCCGTTTTGTGAGAATTTAGTGATTTTGTTTACCTATTGTACAGCTACTGATTATGTTGTTGCTATATAAATAATTGTATTCCCCGACAGGCCTGCATGTGGCTCTGTATTCTGAATAAAGGGCTCAATGTTTTTACAAATTTAAGGTTAAAAAAAGTCCTATATTGCAAAACTATGGTAACTCTCTTACTATTAAAACTTCCACTTGCTCACCAATGATTGGTAAGTGAAATGTAAGCCGTTGCACTTGGTCAGCTCAGGATTATTTCATTTATAATGGCAGTGCTCTCTGCACAATCAGCAGAATGTCTGTAAATCTGGACTGAGGTACCCAGGGCTTTAGCTACTGACCCTACACTTCATTAATCCCCTGTACTCTCGCCTATCACAAAGTCAATGCCTGGTTGGAAGTTCTTCCTTTGGTGCACATGGCTCCAGTCTATCTCCTTCTGCAGAGAGCTTAGAAGTTGTGCCAGTTTGACACATTTGTAGGTGAGAGAGGCATTAGCAAATTCTCTCCCCTATAAATCACATTCAAACTGCATCCAGTGTGTCAGGACAGCCTTGTTTCTTGGTTTAATTTTTGCATAACTTGGCACTGCTCAATTAGCTTGAGTGGACTCTGAGAACTGACAGTGCTGACTAAATCTAGCCTGTATTTAAAATATGCAGTAAATACTTTATTTGGCATTCTTAGATGCCTTATATTTCGTAAAAATGAACTACTGTATGATACTAGTAATGCATTATAAAATATACAAAAAGGAAAAGGCTGCCTTTTGAAGATCCCATATTTGCTTCAGATTTTGAAGGAGTTGCTACATCCTATAGTATACTTCTCCCATTCATTAAAGGACCACTATAGTGCCTGGAAAACATACTCGTTTTCCTGGCACTATAGTGCCCTGAAGGTGTCCCCACCCTCAGGGACCCCCTCCCGCTGGGCTGGATGGTGAGGAAAGGGGTTAAACTTACCTTTATTACAGCGCCGGGCGGGGAGCTCTCTTCCTCCTCTCCGCCTCCGAACCTCCTCTTCGGCCGAATGCGCATGCGCGGCTGGAGCTGCGCGCACATTCAGCCAGTCTTATAGGAAAGCATTCGTAATGCTTTCCTATGGACGCTGGCGTCTTCTCACTGTGATTTTTCACAGTGAGAAGCACGCAAACGCCTCTAGCGGCTGTCAATGAGACAGCCACTAGAGGCTTTAGAGGCTGGATTTAACCCATTTATAAACATAGCAGTTTCTCTGAAACTGCTATGTTTATAAAGAAAAGGGTTAATCCTAGAGGGACCTGGCACCCAGACCACTTCATTAAGCTGAAGTGGTCTGGGTGCCTAGAGTGGTCCTTTAAGGGACTTAATGAACTTATTCTATATATATCTCTTTATGGTATATGAAAGGGTTACTCCAACCGCCATGACTACTTTGGTGATTTGAAGTGGTCATGATGATTGGAATCTGTATGTGCATCGTTTTGAAAGTAATTTGCACATTTTGCTGAGGCTAGTTACACCCCTTCCTCCTCCCCCACACCTTTTAATTTACCACAGTTGTGGTTCATTCACAATAATCTGCAGCATTGTTTACAGATGTGTTTTTTTGTAATAAGCAACTGTGGTTAGGGTAGTCATGGCAGAAGACCTCCTGCACCATAACTAATGCAAGGGACATAGGTTACATGTTGTTGGAGTCTCAATTTAAGGTGGAATGTCCTTTTTTTAAAATTGGTCGTTTACCTTATAGATAGATATAGGGGTGTGTGTGTGTGTGTGTATATATATATATATATATATATGAATTAGTATGATTGGTGCCAATAATGGTCATCATCCCTCAGACCTGATGATGCATTTTATATGTTCTAGTATTTTTAAGCCAATACATTTTGAATCTGGATAGCTTCTTGTTCAAATGTTTAAAGCTTCAAATCTCACTGTTTTTCAGTCTCACACAATCCTGCTCGTTCAGCCCACCAAGAGGCCAGAAGGAAGAACCTATGCAGACTATGAGTCGGTTAACGAATGTATGGAAGGTATGTATTAAGAAATGTTTTGTAGTGCTGTCATATAAAATGGATGTTGGCATTTATCCCCCAAATGACTCCCAATAACTAGATTCTCAAAGTGCAGTGCCAATATAAACATGCATCTGATGGTTCTATTCCTCTATTGTATGGGAGAAAACAGAGAGGATAGGTGGTTGGATTATATATGAGAAGATGCAGCTGTTTAGTATTCGTGTTTCTGACTGGTGTGCCATGGAGCACCCGGCACTATATGTTCTTGAATGTGTCTAGTTTTAATCATCAGTTATTCTTTTAGAAATTTTAACTCTGGTTTTTAGCACCAAATCTACTTTAGATTAACGAAGCAGTTATATTATATACGTTATACGCCTCACTCTTCAAATTTCTGCAGCTTAGGTATTAAATCAATTTGTTCATACATATTTCTGCTTGAAATGCTGCACCCAAAAATTTGCATTTTTACACTTATTTTCTGACTGCCTAATGTCAATTCTGTGCAAAAATTACATCTGTCAGCAGTGTGTTGGCAACAAGTGTAATGAACTTCTACCCAACAGGGCTGCCAGCAAAGGTAAACCATTCTCATCCCTATGCGCATTCATAGTGATTTGTTTTATATTTATTTTTTAATACCTCCCGGTGCATACGCTCTGTGTCGCTAGAATGATCCAATCAAATGCTTCTGAGACCAGAGATGATGACAGATTTTTTTTTTTTGTGTTCAGAATCAAAACTTCAGCTTCTGTAACTCTGAATCTGCAGAAAGGAATTTCATGGTGTGTATAGATCAGAGATATATTCCCACATATCCCTATTGCGGTATTTCTGAAAATACACCATAAGTGGATTGAAGATATTTCATTGATATTCAAAACACTCCCATAAGAGCAATTTTTAGGGGACGAGGCATTCCCTAAAGATTGGCTACTTATTGCTAATCTGGGCGGTTGCCCTTTAAGTCAGGTAGCTAGCAGAGTGCTACAGCAACATGGTTGGATACGGAGACTATAATGTATTTTCTTCTTCTCCAGGAAACTTTATTTTTATTTTTTTGAGGTTTGTGTTAACCTTAAAACGTTACCTCTGCATCTACTGCACTCAATAAAGGAAAGGGCAATTCTAATAAAGCGAAAATGCCTCCATAAGAACATGAAATGAGATTGCTGCGATGTCTGACCTCTTCAATTTTTTGCGGTCAACTGGGCAAAATCTGGTATAGGCAGCTACAGTGGAAAATTCTCTAATGGGTCAAAATGTGGAAATCTTGGATTTCTGTCTCCCAGACTCTCTTCGAAAAAAAGCGGAAGATCGGCCTATCTGGTGGACAATGTCAAGTTTTTTCCGACAAGTCTGTCCTTTCAGCATATAGGAGGAGTAATTTTCACTGCAGAATGCATCTAACACAGGATAGGTCGCCTATCTAATTTCCCTAATGTGCCAGCGTTCTTGGTCGTAGGGAAACTAATCCACTAATTTAGAGCTCTTAAGGCAGTTCTTCACTCCCCTCACCGATTCAGATCTTGGTTGATTTGAGGGACCTATTACAAGGTGGTCAGACCACGACACGGTTTCCTTCATGTCAACAGACAGGATGCCAGAGGCAAGGTCTGTTTCAGCTATGTACCAAAACGGTGTATTGGGCTCAGGATCTCTGGGAGGTCCTCTCTCCATTACACTCATGTGTCGACATTGTCAACCTACAACCTCCGCACAAGAAATTGGGATCAAGAGTAATGGTCTATAAATCCGATTTTTATGTTCACGGTCTACAGAGATTTGGAGTGCCCGGATAGACCTTATGGCAAAGAGGGAGAACATAAAGATTCTCAGGTTTGCCTCTCTGTACAGGACAGAGATCACGTTGAATAGTTAGTCTATCTAAGGGTATTTCTATGGGCTTACAGATTTTTCTCCTATAGACTGTTCCCAAGACTACTTCAAAAGAGGTGAACGGACAGAGCAGAGGTTCTGCCAATCTTTCCGTACTGGCCAAACACGAGCCAGTTTTCGGCCTTGGTGGAGATGACTTTCAAGATCTCAAACACTTTTGGAAGACCGAATATCCTGCTGGAAGTGTTTGAATAGGTTCTTATTGACGGTGGGGCAACTGCATGGTGGATTCTTCATCTCCTGAGTCTTCATGAGTCAGTCCACTTGTTGCGTATAATCTTCTAGTCGTTCCACCTCTTACTTTACATGAGGATTTGGGTAGTTTCTACATTGTTGTAAGGAACGTCATTGTCGTCTAGTTCATTTGTCCAGTTGGTTCATATTTACACTTCCTGCAGGAGATTTCCACAGGTTGGACGTTTTCACGTTAAGACCAAATTGTATTCCCCAAGTTATTTCTGAGAAGGGATTGGTCTTAGTATATACTGGTTAGAAGTTTCTTTAAAGCAATAGGCTTCTTAGACCACCCAGTAAGTTCTGTTTCCCTCCTGGGATCTTTCTTCAATCTTTCAGGTCCCTTTTTACTTTGGAGGTGGTTCCTTTTTTAATATGCTAAAGCTTAACCAGCATTTTTAGTGGCCATTACCTCTGCCAAGAGTGAACGAGCTTCAGGATATATCTTTGGCGGGATTTCTTATATTCCATCAGGATGAAAGTTGTTTCATCCTAAAACTTAAATTCTTCCAGTTATCTTTGAGAGCCATTAACAAGCTCATCCTTCTATAATTATGCTGCTGAACTAGATGGCGTTTTGTAGAGTTAAAATAAGCACATTTCAGATGTATCAATATCAGCCAAATTCAGAAGATAAGATCACCTGTTGTCAACTTCTAGGAAAGTTTTAAGGGGAATGAAGCCTTTTGTAATTCCATTTCTCGTTATTTCGTCAATCATAAGGCCTATGCTTCAGTAGTTTTGATTCGCCAGTGTCTATCACAGCGCATTCCACAAAGGCAATAGCTACTTCGTGGGCAGAGAAAAGCTCTTGCTTCACCTGAAGAAATCCGCATAGCTGCTTCTTGGACAGCTTTTAGTACCTTAAAGGAACACTATAGTTACTTTAGCTAAATAAAGCAGTTTTAGTGTATAGATCATTCCCCTGCAATTTCACTGCTCAATTCACTGTCATTTAGGAGTTAAATCACTTTGTTTCTGTTTATGCAGCCCTAGCCACACCTCCACTGGCTGTGATTGACAGAGCCTGCATGGAAAAAAAAAACTGGTTTCACTTTCAAACATATGTAATTTACCTTAAAGGACCACTATAGTGCCCTGAGGGTGTCCCCACCCTCAGGGTCCCCCTCCCACCTAGGGGGAGGAAGGGGTTAAACTTACCTCTTTCTCCAGCGCCGGGCGGAGAGCTCGCCTCCTCTCCTCTTCCTTGGCTGAATGCGCATGCGCGGCAAGAGCCACGCGCGCATTCAGCCAGTCTCATAGGAAAGCATTCACAATGCTTTCCTATGGACGCTGGCATCTTCTCACTGTGAAAATCAGTGAGAAGCACGCAAGTGCCTCTAGCAGCTGTCAATGAGACAGCCACTAGAAGGTGGATTAACCCTAATATAAACATTGCAGTTTCTCTGAAACTGCTATGTTTATAGAAAAAAGGGGTTAACCCTAGCTGGACCTGGCACCCAGACCACTTCATTAAGCTGAAGTGGTCTGGGTGCTTATAGTGGTCCTTTAAATAATTGTATCTCAATCTATAAATTGAACTTTAAATTACATACAGGAGGCTCTTGCAGGGTCTAGCAAGCTATTAACATAGCAGGGGATAAGAAAATCTTAATTAAACAGAACTTGCAATAAAGAAAGCCTAAATAGGGCTCTCTTTACAGGAAGTGTTTATGAAAGGCTGTGCAAGTCACATGCAGGGAGGTGTGACTAGGGTTCATAAACAAAGGGATTTAACTCCTAAATGGCAGAGGATTGAGCAGTGAGGCTGCAGGGGCATGTTCTATACACCAAAACTGCTTCATTAACCTAAAGTTGTTCAGGTGACTAGTGTCCCTTTAAAAAAATATGAGGCATTTTCAGGCTAGATGTACTCTCTGCCTCTAAAATTGCGTTAGGGCGTAGGTACTTAAAGCTGTTTGGGAATCTTGCTATATCCCATACGTACTTCCATCATATGTCAGAAAAATATGAAATTTTGTACTCGCCGTAAATACTTATTTTCTTAATATGGTGGCAGTACAAATCTCCCTCCCACTAAATTACAATTTTGCTTAGGTGTGTATTCTTGCTACGACTGAGGTGGTTTTGCCGGAGGAAGCCCTTCTACTATTACTGGCAGTGGGGAGGGGGAGAGATTGGACAGCTAATACTGGCAATGTTTTTTTTTTTTTGGAGGGGGGGGGGCAGAATTGGACAGCTAATACTGGCTGTGGATTGTTGTGGCTCCTGCACTCCTCATGGAATGGGGGGATAGATTGACCAATGGAGGTGGGTGACCTACAAAAATAACCAATAATATTCTTGCATTTTCACATGCTAAACCTTGCTAGTAATTTTAAGAACTGAATCTTTGCTTCTGTGCATGAATAGGTTTATAATCTCTAACATGATTGTGCTATCATTAGTCTTCATACGCTTTTCAACCCATTGTTTGCATTATCTGGTAAAACTAGACCGTTACTGATTTAAAGTAACACTCCTCCCACCCCATGGTTATTTAATCTCCATGATCTTAGGGAGTGACTGAGCACCATCTTTCCTTCATGGGTGAAACCGTTTTCCAGTGGCTTGCCCCCACAGTTGATTTCCCTGGTGCCTGACACCTTTATCTCCTCCCTATCTACCTCCAGGCCTCCGCAGTGAACAGGATGGTTTTCCAGAGCAGCTGGTGATAGGCTGAGAGTGTCATCTGATGCTGTCAGTCTGTCACTGTTAGAGTAATAGTACATACTATGTATTAGTACGCAACGCGGCAAGGGTTAAATGTTGGAAGATGGCTCCCAGACACTCCTTCCCTGTAACAACGTACGCTTTCATTATTTCACTTAATTCTATCCATAATTTTGATCTAGCTATTTTGTATAAATGTGGATTATGTTAACAATAAAAATATTTAGCCAATCCATAACCTGCAAACATGCTTGATGATTCTTAACTGTCAAATGTGAAACATGGTATAAAAGTCTTTACTTTTACAAACTTAATGCAGATATTGACTAACAAATGCAGAGGCAGCATTCCACCTCACTTCTGTATCGTAATGATCTGCGGTCAGCATACCCATATCTTAATAACCAGTACTGGCCCAAACACGTACATTCTAACTGAACTTTTATTTGCATTCTTATCAAATAGTTTTTCTTTGCCTTTGCCCTCCAGAATCAGTTGCATATACACTGCGCAATATCATGTAGGTTCCCCTCGTGCTGTCTAATGACTCTGAATAGTCAATGCATGGACTCCACAAGACCTGAACATGTCCTGTGGTATCTGGCACAAAGACATTAGCAGCAGATCCTTCAAGTGTTGCAAGGTGGGGCCTCCATGGATCGGATTAAGGCATGTCCCACAGATGCTCAATCAGATTGAGATCTGGGGAATTTGCAGGCCAAGGCAACACCTTGAACTCATTGTCCTGTTTCTCAAACCATTCCTGAACAATTTTGCAGTGTGCATTATCCTGCTGAAAGAGTACACTGCCATCAGGGAACACCATGAAGGGGTGTTTGTGGTCTGCAATAATCTCTAGGTAGGTGGTACTGTCAAAGTAATATCCACATGAATTGCAGGATCCAAGGTTACCCAGCAGTATATTGCCCAGACGCGCGCACACACCCTGCTCTCCACCTTATCTAAAAATAAACGTAATTCATCAGACCGGGAAACCTTCCATTTATCCATGGTCATGTCCCCAATGAAGACGCTTTTGGCAGTGCACAGTGGTCATCATGTGCACTCTGGCCTGCCTGTGGCTAAGCAGCACACAACGATGCACTGTGTTCTGACTCCTTTATCTCATGCCCAGCATTACTTTTTTCAGCCATTTGAGCTACAGTAGCTCTTCTATGTGATCAGACCAGATGGGCTAGCCTTGGGTTCCTATGTGCATCAGGGAGACACGGTTGCCCTTGACCCTGATGCTGGTTCACCGGTTGTCCTTTTTTGAACCAATCTGGGTAGATACTAACCACTGCATACCGGGAACACCCCACAAGACTTGCCGTTTTGGACCCAGTCGTCTAGCCATCACTATTTGGCCCTTGTTAAAGTCACTCAGATCTTTTCGATTATCCTTTTTTGCCTGCTTTCAACACTTGAAATTCAAGAACTTACTATTAACTTGCTGGCTAATCTATCCACCCCATGACAGGTGCCATTGTAACAATATATAATCAATGTCATTCACTTCACATGTCAATGGTTTTAATGTAGTGGCTGATTAGTGTATTCTTTCCATTTTATGTTTATTTAAAAAAAGAATTGTCAAGCAGAGGGTAATGTACTCCCTACTTTGTTTTATATCTTACGCCACAAATTCAGTGGAATTTGAACACTGAGTATATTTCATTTTTTTTTTTTTTTTAAATTTTTTTTGTGGGCGGAGCAAATAGTCTTTAAGAGTGTCCAAATGTAGATCTCTAGCTGTCGCAGTATAGAATACCCTGTCTAGTGTTCACTGTCTAAGCTCCCCCTTTGTTTTTGTGCAGGTGTGTGTAAGATGTATGAAGAGCATTTGAAGAGAATGAATCCCAACAGCCCGTCCATCACATACGACATCAGTCAGCTGTTTGATTTCATTGACGATTTGGCAGATCTCAGCTGTCTTGTGTAAGTTTCTAAGTAAATTGGATCATAAAATGTTCACTTAAAGAACTACTCCAAACATCATAACCACTACAGCCCGTTTAGAGATGGTTTGCCCACTTACCTGTGATGCGTTTCTGGCTTCTGCAGGAGTCGTAAACCACGGCTGTTGATATTCATTGGTTTAGCATGCCTGCTGACCACTTTCAGCCCAAAAGTTGTACAGCACTGATATTAGCGTTCCTGGCTGGCTGAATACACCCCTATGATGCTGCCGGAGGTGGAGTTAAACCTGGTAATGGGGTTAATCTCCATATGTACCCTTTTTTTTTTTTATTTATTTATTTTTTAAAGCGAAATGCTGCACTTACAGACTCCAGACACTATAACCACTTTAAATTACTGAAGGGATCTTGGTGCTTGGAATAATCCTTTATAAATAAAACAGCTTGGCTCCATACACTAGATCTTTCCAATGGCTCTTATATTTTCTTACCTGTAGAGTCATCCTTAGTACATCAGATTAAAGAGAGCTATCATCCCAGGATTTTTAATATTTAGCTTGCTTATCCTTTATAAGGACACGTCATCATTTTCCACTGGTAGGCTGAGAATGTCAGTCACCAATTCTTCTCCGTGATTCCCTTCTCTTGTCAATATGGTAACAGAAGGGACAGGAGCACAGACATCTGAGTCCATCTAAAGGTCCGATGATACCTTCGAGGGAAGAAAGTCCCTTTTTAAACTTTCCTAGTTTTTGTTATGCAAGGTCGAGCATAATCAACCCAATGTAGGATACTGAACTGTATGTTTTGTGAGATTAAATGCATAGGAAAGACAATAGCTGATCAAAATATTCAGTAGATAGTGGGGCAGTCATGTAAGAAAGATAGTCATAGCTATCGAGCAAATTAAATTCCCCTCGTATAAATAAAAAGTATGTCCACATCAATAAGGTAGTAGAATACATTCCCTAAACAAATCTGTGAGGTACTACAACGGATCTTTGGTGACATGTATACCAGAATTAGATTGATGTTCAAATAGGTTGTGTAATTTATTTTAACATTGTTCTAGCATTCATGTTCTTGTCTATATAGAGCAGTTCATACTTTTCTTCCTAGAAATCAGTTCTCATTTCGTATTGCTTTCATTTGCCAACAGTAAGCAATATAGCTGACAGCTGCTGTCTGATTATATCCCCGGCTAGTCATCTTCTAACAGCTAGTGACTAATAGATTATGTCATATACTGCAGTAAATGCAAGGCCATCAGGAGGACAACTGCAGATATGACTCTTACAGGCTAATCAATGTTTTACGGATAAAAAGAACAAAGAAAAAAAAATAGCATGCCATATAGTGTTAGAAGATGCAAATTGAAACCACTTATTTTACTGCCAAACCATTTGAGATTTGGAAGGGGGTGTTTTTGTTTATTTATTCTACCCAAAGAAGTGCTATTCTGTATAATCAAATACCTTTTTATAAATTAAGGGTTAAAGAGCAGGCCGCTCTCCAGCTGTTATGGAATATGAAGTCCCATGATGCAGAATAAGTAGCCAAATACGGTCACGTCCTTTTAGGATGAGCATAGAATTGATTCAAAACCATTCTAGATCTACATGTTGATCATAGCTGACCTACACAACATTACATTTTCCTTGTAGAATCTACCCATGCAGACCTGATGCATTTCTCCTAGTTAAAGGTTTACCCTGCTTTGTCTACAGGTATCGTGCAGACACTCAGACTTATCAGCCCTACAACAAAGACTGGATCAAGGAGAAGATTTATGTGCTACTGCGTCGGCAGGCCCAGCAAGCTGGCAAATAGTGGGCGTCCTAGCTCACGTGTACAGCGCACAGTAGTGGGAGTTTTGTTTTGTAATATAGTGGTTTGTGTTTTATTTCAGCTAAAGGAGACAGAGTTTTGCCCTATGTGGGGAAATGCTATATGTTAACTTTTTTTATATATATATTTACGTATTCAGAGTGGTTTCAAAGACCATCCGCAGTAAGCATTGCTTGCTGAATCCTCGGTAAACTCATGACCCGATGCCTTGTCACTACAGAGTACAGATCTACCAGTTCAGGATAGCCTGGCTGCACAGAACATTTCAGAGACCCACGCATTTGGCAGATAAAACATGTTCAAACGTTATTTTAGTGGAACAAATAAAAAAACGAATAGTTTAAATATTATGCTTTTGTTTTGTTTTTTTCCCCCTCATAAACTGGAAACAGTGGGTACAAATTGTTTAATGGTTGGGTGTGAAGAGGATTTAATGCATTTCGTTGCCTAAATCTCTGCATAAAGCTTTTGTGCTTTCTTTTTTTTAATGTGATTTTTTTTTTTTTTTTTTTATTCACTTTAGACTATATTACAAGACTCCTTTTAGCTATAATCTCAAGTAATGTGCAGCTCAAAACAGTACAATTGAAGCAGGGCTCAAAATATCCATAAGCCATTGGCAAGTGAAAAATCATCTCTGGCAAGTAGAAATTCACCTATGCTTAGTGTTCTATGGGCCCTCCCGGTATGCAATGGAAGATGTTTGACTGGTGTTAAGAATCACGGTTTCTTTGTGTGTGTGTACGCACACTGTTTACCTGGGGAAGAGATGAAAGCAGGATGCACTTTGGGAAGAGGGCAGGCTGGCAGAGGTGGTGTTATCGTCTGGGTAATCTTCTGGGAATGCTTGAGTCCTGGCATTCGTGTGGATGTTACTTTAACATGTCCCTCCTACCTGGTGATTGTTGCAGCCGTTGTATACCCCTTCATGGCAATGGTGTTTACTGATAGCAGTGGCCTCTTTCAGCAAGATACGGCACACTGTCATACTACATAAATTGTTTAGGAATGGTTTGAGGAACATGACAACAAGTTCAAAGTGTTGCTTTATCATCCAAATTTCCCAGATCTCAATCCGATTGAGCATCTGTAGGATGTACTGGAACGAATCTGATCAATGGAGGCACCACCCTGCTACTTGTAGGACTTAAAGAATCTGATGCCAATGTCTTGTTGCTAGATACCACAGGACACATTCATAGGTCTTGTGGAATCCATACCTTCACGCATCAGAGCTGTTTTGGCAGCACAAGAGAAACCTACACAATATTAGGAAGGTGGTTTGTTGCTGATCACTGTACAATCCTATCATTTTTTTTTTTTTTTTCTTCTTCCCTTGCCCAGCCCACAGACAGAGTAAGGCCAAGGTCTGGGATAACATAGATACACATAATTGATCGTCAGACCAAGGTCAGAAACCAGTAAATCAATACACAGTACAAGAACCATGACAGAGCAAGGAAACTAGGACAACCAAGAAGTATATATACTAGATTGTGATTGGTTACAGAAGGCCATGATGTCACGAGTATGTATACATCATCAAAAAGTGACCAATTGAAGAGTTCCATGTAATATATGATGACCGAATGAGGCACCAGGAAGCTAGGGATGGGTGAGTGTTCATCAGAAGAAACACAATTTCTGTGATTGCGTGGTGCCTCAAGGACATGCATCATGACACCCAGCCCCTTTGTTCCATTCCCCACTCCCTCTGTGTGTCATTGTCCCTTTGTGTTTGTTGCTCTCAGTGAGCACTTTCTCTCAGACCGGGTAGAGAATACAGAAGATCCTCTACCTCAGTCCACATGGCCACACTACATGCAGTGACCAGCAGGAGAGGGAGCTCTGTGCAGTGTGCTCCCCCTCCTGAAGGTCACCTAGTCCCAAAGAATGTACCCCCCGGGATGGTGTACACTTCTATACAGTGTATTAGACCTTGCCAGAGTCTTGTCCTCTCCAGCTTCCTTGGACCTTTTCTTGTGCTTCTCTTTTATATCCTGCATGTTGTGATTCTCTAACCACTGGTTTGATACATTTAGCCTTCTCCCCTGACTTTCTGACCGTAATTCTGACTCGATCCTATCAGCTTCAAAACATTACTCCTCCTGATCTTGGTTCCATATCATTAATCATTTATTTGTGATTTATCCTGTATGTAATGGTCATTATGATAACACACACTTCCTTGTGAGTGCACATGTTAATATCATCAGTTCTACATTTTAGTTTGTGGTATAGATATGTGACTACCCTGGGACACTGGTAAATTAAGAAACACTGAGCAGAATGTATGAGTGGGTGGATACTGCTATATACATTACTAGTCCTCTAAACCGGGTTATGTCCTCTTATTTAGTAACACAATGGATCTATGCTGTCAAACATATACAAAAACTGCAAAATTCAATTCCAATTAGAATGAGGGCAATTCAACATGCCCTTTTGCTAAAATCAAACTTGGTAATAATTCCCTCACCCAGAAACATTAGACATATGCACAAATCCTTTTCACCTGCCTCAATCTAATCAAATTCCTGTTAATCTACACCCGCACTAATTGGCCTGTCCAGGATTTACGTGATGGATCGATTCATTCAGGCGTAGCTTTTACAGGACTTTTATTCATTCATTGCAGGTGAAAAGGATTTGTGCACAAGTCTACCAAACATTTTGTATTTAATTTGAATTATAGAAGGTTTCTGCTTAATCACTAAATCCCAAATAAATAAACCAACGTGGCCAGCTGGAAACATGAGGAACGAAAAAAAAAAAAAACTGGTGAGAAACTGGGGTGTTTCAGGGTTAAAAAAAAAATAATTATTTATATATATATATATCTATCTATCATACACTATAAATGGGAATCAATGTGACCCCCTAATAACCAGGGGTTCCACCTTTCAGATTCCATACCAATGTGTTGTAATTTAGTGGGTTTATCTCCAGAAACCCCTGGTGTGTTACCAAGTGGAAGGGAGACAATAACTCCTCTCTTCTCGGAATGTTGATGTATTTTTGCTTGAAACGGTTAACGTGTGTTGGCAATGAGAGAGGATTTCTCTATGTAGGGACGGCGGCTTTTCCATTAGTTTCCATGGAATTATTGCCCAAAGCAACTGTCAACAGCAGAAGTAAAACAAATTTGTTTTATGCGACAGCTGCAGCTATTCAAGTGACCTTGCGAAAACTGCCTCCGATTCTAATGTTAACAGAACTACAACCTGCAGATAGTGATGAGTCCGATATAGAGGGCACGAAGAGAGATACTGGACAATATATTTAAAGATTTATACAAATAACCCCCATCAACTTCACTATAATCACCGCAGAGAAGGTTTTGTTTTTAAAGGGGGCCCTAGGCAATACTTTGATATTGCACTCCTTTTTTTTCAGCATCCTAGGTACCAATACTACTTAATCTGATTGAAGTGGTTATGGTGGCTGGTGTTCCCTGGCACCTTCCCACTATTTAGTATTAAGCCGTTGGGAACGAGGGTTCACAGGTGCCCACAGCTCATCTTCTTATTGCTGCTTAGGCTGATGCGTCCTCGTTTGCCAGAGCAGATAGAGGTGGCAGTGGTCAGCTGCCTGCTCTCAGCGAATTATGACTGCCCATTGTCGGTATGAGTTGGTATCGTTAAGACCAAGTGTAAACCTCTTAACTGTGAGCAGACTTTAGGCACCATAAATGCTTCAATGAGACCAAGCGTTAATGGTACCAGTAGTGTTGCTTACAAACCAACATTAAAGGACCACTATAGGCACCCATACCACTTCAGCTTAATGAAGTGGTCTGGGTGCCAGGTCCAGCTAGGGTTAACCCATTTTTTTTTTTTTTTTATAAACATAGCAGTTTCAGAGAATAGGGTTAATCCAGCCTCTAGTGGCTGTCTCATTGACAGCCGCTAGAGGGTTTCCGCGCTTCTCATTGTGAAAATCTGAGTGAGAAGACACCAGCGTCCATAGGAAAGCATTGTGAATGCTTTCCTATGGACTGGCTGGCTGCGCGCACAGCTCTTGCCGCGCATGCGCATTCAGCAGACGAGAGGAGGATGAGAGCTCCCCGCCCGGCGTTGGAGAAAGAGGTAAGTTTAACTCCTTCCTCTCCATCCAGCCCGGCGGGGTGGGGTCACCCTCAGGGCACTATAGTGGTCCTTTAACCATAAATGATCAGTAGTAGTAATATGGCAGTCTTTTTCGATTGGATAAATTATTGTGGATCTATTTTTTTCATTTTCATATCCCAAAAATAAATGCATCTAAATGTATCCGTATGTGTCGCTATATGTAATTGGCTATGACAGATCATTGATTAAATAAAGAGGTCTTAGTAAAAAGTGTCATGAACACATCTAGGTATATAACAATATTTGACAACAATGGTTGTATGGAATGTTTCCGATTTTGTTATTCCAATGCTAGTTATGGAATCTCTGAGAATACAGCCTGTATCATAGAACACTACTGATGTTCTAATCCTTGTTTTCCTTTTACATGTGAAATATTTAGACTATACTTCTTCCAGGTGTGTGTCCTGCTCCGATTTAACCTGTGACGGTTAACTCCAAAGGTCCCAATGTAGGGAGGTGCTAAAAGGCTATGGTTAATATATTTCATGGCTTCTGACAGCAAGGTCTCAAGGATTTGTAGCTAGTACTACCGATAATAAGGATACTTCACAGTAAGTACTTTCTACTGTAAGCTCATTTGAATAAAGTCCTCATCCACCTGTTCCTGTAACATTTTGTCAGAGAATCGTAGAATGTGACGGCAGGTAAGAACCATTCGGCCCATCTAATTTGCCCAATTTTCTAAATACTTTCATTAGTCCCTGGCTTTATCTTATATCTAGGATAACCTTATGCCTATTCCACGCATGCTTAAACTCCCTCACTGTATAAACCTCTACTACTTCAGCTGGAAGGCTATTCCATGTGTCCACTACCATCTCTGTAAAGTAATACTTCCTGATATTATTTTTAAACCTTTGCCCCTCTAATTTAAGACTATGTCCTCTTGTTGTGGTAGTTTTTCTTCTTTTAAATATAGTCTCCTCCTTTACTGTGTTGATTCCCTTTATATATTTAAATGTTTCTATCATATCCCCCCTGTCTAGTCTTTCCTCCAAGCTATACATGTTAAGATCCTTTAACCTTTCCTGGTAAGTTTTATCCCGCAATCCATGAACCAGTTTAGTAGCCCTTCTCTGAACCCTCTCTAAAGTATCAATATCCTTCTGAAGATACGGTCTCCAGTACTGTGTACAATACTCCAAGTGAGGTCTCACCAGTGTCCTCTACAATGGCATGAGCACTTCCCTCTTTCTACTGCTAATACCTCTCCCTATACAACCAAGCATTCTGCTAGCATTTTGTGCTTGTCTCATTTATTATTACAATTCCCCCTTTTTATA